GAACTTGCCCTGGGTGACCCTCACCTTGACGCACTTGCTGCGAAGCCATGTCGTCAGAAGCAGCACCTGCTGATGTTGCGGCCGTTGCGGCGCCGGCAGACCGTTTGGCAGATTTGAAAGCAGCGCGACAGGCGCTGAAGCGGCAGTTGGCGCAAGCAACCCGAGAGGTGAAGAGCCAGGACATAGACTGGTGGCCATCAGACATGGTATAATGTCCTGTCTTGATCAATGCTAGCTTGTTTGCAGCAAATTGTCTGTGCCGGGCGCAGGAGAAAAAACGCCGTCGCATCATGCAGCAAGCTGGGAAACTGAGCACGGCAGATTTGTCGTGGCTGTTGGCGGTCAAGGGTGCCAATGGTCGTCCCTGATGTTTGCAGTTTGTCTGCATGGGCATGTCTCTGACAAGTGCAGAGCTATGCAGGAGACTCTGTGTTGGTATTTGCCCGTGAAGGGCGCCAATGTCGTCCTGCATGTGTTACAATGGCACGCACACGCGTGAGGAAGTTGCAAGTTTGCACACGAAGTGTGCACCTATGTCTGATTGACAACCTGACGCCAAAGGTGTCTGAAAACAATCGCAGCCGGCCACTCATGTTGCATGTTGGCTGTGGGAAGTGAGAGCGATTCAGTCAGTGGAGTCAGACGATTGCTTTGCATATTGGCTGTAGGAGTGATTATTCAGATTCATTCATTGGATTCAGAGGCCTGCTTGATTGACGCACCACTGTGTGACACATAGCACACGCCGTATCCTGTCAGTGATTTAACATTCTCTTGCTGCGGCGGCAGCGATGGCTGCTGGTGCGCTGCGGCCGTTGCGCCTGGTGCGTGCACGACCTGGCGATGCTGCTGCCGTTCTGGGGCCTTTGCGCCTGGTGCTGGCGGCTGGTGCTGTGCCACATTGCATCTGGGCACATGGTGCAGCTGCCTGTCCAGGGGGGAAGTGACTCTACATCTAGCAATTGTACCCTTGGTTTCTTGGTTCATGTTAAATTCCCATGTTTGATGGTGATTTCTCGCCAGTTACCCATAAGGCTCAATCAATGATATAAGCCCATCGTTTGATAAATCCCCAATGGTCAACCGCGGTGCACCACCATAAAAAATGACTGGCGAATCCCTATATGGTTACAGTGATTTACCCACTGGTAAATTAACATAGACCCTTAATATCACCAAGGTTTAATGGCAACTAGTCTTCCATCCCTATCTCCCACGGTCTATGTTAATTTACCAGACGGTAAAACGCTGTTGAGGTCTATCAATCTTCCCCGGTTCGACCACCACTTTTGATGGGTAACCAACCAGCATGACACCCAGTTCCCAGGTCTAGCATCCGCAAAATGAGGGTGCTTGCATGAATTAGTAGATTGTCGGAAAAGGGTAAATGATAACGACCTCAATCATCCCCAAATGGCCAAACCATGCAGGTGAGTGAACTATTGGGATTGCAATGTTTCATGACAGCAAATGTCAAAGATGATATGGGATGATAGATACGTACGTACATATATTTGTATATACATATATTAATATAAGAGACTATATAATTAGGAACTGATTTGGTCAATTGGGGGGAGCGAACCGCTCCGTGCGTAGCAACTTCGAAGCACACCCCCATTTGATTAAATCGGTGTAGGAACCCCCCCAGCGGATTAGATAGCTTGGTTGCTGGATATTATATAAGGGTTGGTTGAACCGGGAACCTCCCTATCTCATCCGCGACAATATTTTTGGGGTTATGCTAATTTTTGGGAGTGTAATGACCCCCTAAAGGATGGATTGCCCAATTCAAGGAATGTTGATGCCTGAATTGCCCTATCCATCCAAAACCACCAAAGGGGATAATGACTGGAATAAAATCTAGGAGACGCGGACAGAAAATCTATGAGACACAGCTGAGCTTTGCGAAACGCAAAACTTTAGGTTTGAAGAACTTTGAAACGACTTCAAGGTGGATTCTTTACAAAAGACAAGTCGGAACATACCCCAGAAAGCCTTATATCGATCTAGATAGACATGTGATTTGGAGAATAGAGACCTCGAAATAAAATGCGTACAAGACTAGTTTTTTAGGAGGTGGCTGATATGAAACTGGTCGCTTCCTCATCCCAATGCGTTCGTTTCACTTTTCAATACAATGGTCGAGATGAAAGTCGGTGATCGGGAATGTTCGTGATCCGGGTCGAAAGGAAAAGAATGTTCGAGATGCAAGTCGGTGATCGGGACTGTTCGTGATCCGGTTCGAAAAGCCAATGCTTCGCGTTGGGAATTTCAAGCATTCAATGCCATGCTGCATTTTGAAAAAAAACAGGAGATGTGTGGCTGATATGAAACTGGTCGCTTCCTCATCCCAATGCGTTCGTTTCACTTTTCAATACAATGGTCGAGATGAAAGTCGGTGATCGGGAATGTTCGTGATCCGGGTCGAAAGGAAAAGAATGTTCGAGATGCAAGTCGGTGATCGGGACTGTTCGTGATCCGGTTCGAAAAGCCAATGCTTCGCGTTGGGAATTTCAAGCATTCAATGCCATGCTGCATTTTGAAAAAAAACAGGAGATGTGCACATAAAGATCATCTTTTGGTTTTACCTGGTTCGAAGCTGTCAGCATGAAAGTGCTCAAGATCCCGCTTTCCAGTCGTTAGAGTATTTCATTCTAGTACCGATTCTAGATAGCGATAGACATGTATATGGAGATATATAGATCGAGAATAAAAGAGCGATAGAGAGATAGAGAAAGACATGGAGAGAAAGGTATGTATATATATATATATGTCGATGAAGAGATATATCTACGTAGATATAGATATGTATGTATAGGTCTGTAGACCCAGAGGAGGAAGAAAAGCACCATGCCTGTGGGAAGGGACACCTTTAGAATGGTGGCGACACAGAACAACATGCTTCAACATGGTCCTCCAACCTCGCTTGTAGCTACAAATAATTCTATTCTCCCAGAGGCGGATTTGGAGGACCGCCATTTTTGCCCCCGTTTTTCCATAGTTTTTCCCGTTGCTTGGTCCTCCGCGGTCCTCCGACCGATCCTGTCCGTGCTGTCGTCTGGGTTTTGTCGCAGTCCATACCCGTCGCTTGGTCCTCTCCATGCTCCTGCCAAGGTTTTTCAGCCATGCAAGCGCTGGGACAACAGTCTCGAGTGGCGCGGAAAGTCCGTGCGTACTTGACGAAAACAAAGCTGCTGAGCCGCTGCCCACACTTGTTTGCCTTGTAGTCTTTTCTTTGGCCCGCTCTTGTGCATTGCACTCTGTGAAAGACCAGCTATTATACCAGTTATGGCCATTGACCAGTTATAAGTAGTCATAACCCCATTTCGACCTTATAGACTCCCATTTATAACCAATTTGAACTCATCAATGTCCAGAACTGACGCGTCTATCTCCTGCTCCTCTATGGGAAGCTTGCTTGTCCTCATGCCTGCGAGCAGGCTTGGTCTGCTGTTTGGGTGCCGCCGCCGTGCCCACATCCAGACAGAGCATGGTGAGGCATTGCATGCTGTTCATTGTACGGTCGCTTTGTCATCGACTGCTTAGCTGCCAGGGTATTAACTTCCCATGAGGGCCCCTTCATGTCACGCAGCAAAACAAGAACATGATCATTGAGCCACAGTGCCGCCATGCCTGTCCGACGGCGACTCTGTGGTAAGCAGCCGCCGCCAGACGGCCCCCCTGACCGGGAGGCACGCAAGCAGCTGCTGATATGGCTGCGCGACAAATGGGCTGCGCAGCGAATGGCCGCTCGGAATGAGCACGGACACGCCAAGCGGCAGCGGTGGAGAGCTTCATTTGCACAAGCCGACAGGCCGCAGATTTTGCGCGACATGTTGCCGCAAATTCCTGTGAAGTTTGCACGTGCTGCACGTGACCTACTGGCAGGGTGGCATGTCGAAGAGCCGATTGTCAACGAGCCATCGCCGCAAGCATACAAGGGCACTGGTACTATGTTCCGATACAGTGGCTCCTTTAGCATGATTGAGCATCAACCTTCCTTGGACCTGCTTGCGGCAGGACCATCTGTCGACATTGATCTGCTCAGTGCCGGCCTACGACGAAACGCACCGCAGGTGCTTGCCATTTGGGATGACTTTCAAAGTTGGATGACCGAGCTCGGCAACAAGTACCGCTTTGAACGGGTCAGCACCGCCCTGGAGCTCCACACAGAGGTGACGCTGCAACGCAGAGTGCCTTCCATTCACTTGCACATGATGTTTGACACCCGCGACTCGGCAGCAATGCGGGCACCTCTCTCGCAAGCCTGAATCATGTCATTTTTTCTTTCATTCCCAGTGCCAGTCATTCTTTTTCGCAGCCCAATGTGAGGACGCACCTTCCCCATACTTTTCGGTCCTGTTTCATGTTTGGTTCTGATGGCTAACAGAACCAGATAGGCTCTAGCACCGTACCTTCCTGGCCCATGCACCCGCATGTTGCGGCCAGGGCGACAAGTGCATCTGTCTGGACAAAGTTTGGCATTTCGTGGGTGCAAGCCGCACATCTCCTTGGATTCCTCGCAGGCTCGTGGGCGGTCAGTCCGTCGTGCACTGGATCAAGGGCACTTTTATCTCCAAGTGGAGAAGAAAGGGTCCATTTTTCGCCAGACCACTTGCCCAGCATACCAGACTTTCACAGTGAGCCCCGACTGGGTGACTGGACTTTGGCAGGGGGATAAGATTAACAAGGAGTGTGCCGAGCAGCACTACGTCCAATGCAAGCGCAACATTCGTGCTTACTGTGAGAACCTGAAGTACCATGGCCAGAAACAACGGGAGCTGTACATTCAGCAGCAGCAGGCTGCTGCAGCAGAGCTCTTGCGCCCACTGCAGAAAGAGCCAGTGGAACTACCAGAAGTGACGCAGCTGTTCTTGCCACAGTTCACGCGGCCTATGCATCGCCGAAAATTCTTGGTGCTGAATGGCCCAACGCGCCTGGGGAAGACTGTCTATGCACGGTCTCTCTTTGGCGCAGATCACACGTATGAAACCAATTGTTCCGGGGTGTTGGAGCCCGACATGAGGGAATATGATGTGCTACGGCACCGGTGTGTGGTGTTTGATGAAGCTAGTGTCCATCTTGTCTTGAAGCACAAAAAATTGTTTCAGGCGCCGCCTGCCGAAATTTCACTTGGGCACTCGGCGACAGGCATGTATGTTTATCGCATCTGGGTTTGGAATGTCGCTCTCATTGTCACATCCAATGTCTGGACCACCGAACTGGAGCAGCTCGCTGCAGAAGATCGGGAATGGCTAGAAGGGAATGCGATTCTCATTCAGTGTAGCCAGCCCTTATACAGACAAGACTGAGGCCACGCCCGGTTCCAAAAAAAGGGGTCGCCAGACGGTTGCAAACTAGCTGTCGTCAGTGAGGGCCCTTGTTGTGACATGCCGGCTGCTGTCAACGCAGCGCACTTGCAGACTTGGATTCCTTGGGTGTCACTTTGCAGCATGGCCACGTCGCTTGCTGCTACTTGCAGAGCTGGGACGGGCTCAGTTTGACTTCTGCGTCAGCATGGGTGACCGGCATGTTTCCATGTTTCCGTCAACACTGTTGCTCATTCTCTGAAGCATGAACTTTCAACAGTGTTTCCTTGTCATACAGCTTCTTTGGGCAAAACACATGGCCCGTAGGCAGGAGTCTCCATATTGTCTGCCTGTGTGACACACGGCTTGCCGGCGTCCCTGTGCATGCCATGATGCCGGATGCAGCTGCAGCTGAAGTAGTCCGATTACAGCAAGCTTTAGTGGCTAACCGGAACGAGTTGAAAGGCGCTTACCAGCAGGCCAGACGGCAGCAAAAGAGAGTGCAATGTTGTGGCCTGGGGCCTGCAGCTCGCCGAACGACCCTAGCTGTGTATGTGCTGTCCAACTACAACATAGCTCTCGCTGTCCGCGTGGCTTGCAGGTTATCCACGTACAAGCGCCCTGAGGATGCTGGGTTCCCAACAGCTGCAGCCCTAGAAGAGCTTTTTTTGGAATCCCCGCCAACAGACTGGCTGGAATTCGGCGAGCTAGCAGCGCAGAGGGCACACGCCTTTTTGGCAGAGGCCGCAACTTCGGATTGGGTGCGTGATTGCAATGTCTTGCATGGTGTGGCCCCTTCCTCGATGGACGTCTTCTTGCACTGGGAGCATGCCTTTATCGGCCATCAGCTCGACGTGGGTGTCCCTCCGCGACGCTACGTGAACAAGTGGGCGCAGAAGTGGCGTGCGCGTTGGGGTGTCCGCCGCAAAGTGTTGAAACAGGTGGTGCACAAGGACCCGGCAGTTTTAAAAGCGAAAGTCCCTTGGACGGGAGGAAACTGCTGCAGTATTTTGGCCCCCTTTTTGGGTCCAGATTCCGGACCCAAAAAAGGGTCCGAGTACGTTGCCGTATATTGTTTGCATGCACAGGATTAGCCTTAAGGGCCCCATTTCTGGTCCCAGTTTTCGGGTTTGTTTTGTCGCCCTCTATTGCTGCACCCTTTTGGATGCGTCGGTGTTGTTTCCACACCGCATGCTTTGTCCTGCAAGGTCAATGCTTTTTGGCGGCATCTGCGCTATCTATACCAGAAGTTTGCCGACCGAGACATTCTCATGTTGAATGTTGATGAGACGAGCGTAGGGTATACCATGAAGCCGCGGCTTGGCAATGTGGTGGCTCCTGCGGTCGCGAAAGTGTCGAAGCAGGATCGGAGAGGAGCTTGGACATACCTCAGCCTCATTTGCAATGCTACAGATGTCCAAGGGAAGTTATCACATTACCTGATAGGTTCCAAGACGAGGCTGACGCGCAAGTTGCTGCGGGCACAGAAAGCCTTGCCACCAACCCGATTGAAGATCATTGCGCAAAAGTCTGCATGGACTTCTGCTGCGAACATGGTGCAACTCTTGCGAGACATTGGTGAGGTGCTGAAGCTGTATCCAGGCAAACAAGGTATCTTGTTGCTGGACTGTGCGCCTAGCCACTTGCCAAAGGAGGTCATGCAAGCGGCAAAGAGGCAGAAGGTGCAGCTGGTTTACATACCGGCGCAATGCACTGATGTGCTGCAGCCGCTGGACATTTGTGCATTTGCTGGCTTCAAAGCCTTTTTGCGGGCAAGGCACGAAGGTCTGAAAGCAACTTCCCAGCATGGTTTGGTGAATCCCCTGGCATGGATTTGGGAGCTGATGCAATGCCCGCGTGAATTTTTAGCGCAGAAGGCATGGCGCAGTAGCTTCGCAGCGGTCGGATGCACCAATCCGCCTGATCCGCAAGTACTCCATCGGGAGCTGCGGGAGTTAATGGATTTTCCGGTGAGTTTCCCCGAAGGGGTCAAACCAACCCGAGAGGAAGTGCAATGTTTGTGGCCAGAGCGACGCCGTATGGTGTATGCTTACAAAGCCTTGTTTTGACTTGCCTGCGTACAAGTGAAAATGTTGTGAGACTATTAGGGTCCAGCTTGTGGAAGCCGAGTTCTATGCATAATCCCAGCCCCCATTTTTGGGTTCCCCGTGTAGGCTAGTGTTAGTGTCATCTCTTTGCAAGCATGTGCTTGCAGCGTGCAACCCTGAAGCAACTGTCAGAAGACTCTGCAAGCTTTTGGCCAGAAGGAACTTGCCCTGGGTGACCCTCACCTTGACGCACTTGCTGCGAAGCCATGTCGTCAGAAGCAGCACCTGCTGATGTTGCGGCCGTTGCGCCGCCGGCAGACCGTTTGGCAGATTTGAAAGCAGCGCGACAGGCGCTGAAGCGGCAGTTGGCGCAAGCAACCCGAGAGGTGAAGAGCCAGGACATAGACTGGTGGCCATCAGACATGGTATAATGTCCTGTCTTGATCAATGCTAGCTTGTTTGCAGCAAATTGTCTGTGCCGGGCGCAGGAGAAAAAACGCCGTCGCATCATGCAGCAAGCTGGGAAACTGAGCACGGCAGATTTGTCGTGGCTGTTGGCGGTCAAGGTTGCCAATGGTCGTCCCTGATGTTTGCAGTTTGTCTGCATGGGCATGTCTCTGACAAGTGCAGAGCTATGCAGGAGACTCTGTGTTGGTATTTGCCCGTGAAGGGCGCCAATGTCGTCCTGCATGTGTTACAATGGCACGCACACGCGTGAGGAAGTTGCAAGTTTGCACACGAAGTGTGCACCTATGTGTGATTAACAACCTGACGCCAAAGGTGTCTGAAAACAATCGCAGCCGGCCACTCATGTTGCATGTTGGCTGTGGGAAGTGAGAGCGATTCAGTCAGTGGAGTCAGACGATTGCTTTGCATAGTGGCTGTAGGAGTGATTATTCAGATTCATTCATTGGATTCAGAGGCCTGCTTGATTGACGCACCACTGTGTGACACATAGCACACGCCGTATCCTGTCAGTGATTTAACATTCTCTTGCTGCGGCGGCAGCGATGGATGCTGGTGCGCTGCGGCCGTTGCGCCTGGTGCGTGCACGACCTGGCGATGCTGCTGCCGTTCTGGGGCCTTTGCGCCTGGTGCTGGCGGCTGGTGCTGTGCCACATTGCATCTGGGCACATGGTGCAGCTGCCTGTCCAGGGGGGAAGTGACTCTACATCTAGCAATTGTACCCTTGGTTTCTTGGTTCATGTTAAATTCCCATGTTTGATGGTGATTTCTCGCCAGTTACCCATAAGGCTCAATCAATGATATAAGCCCATCGTTTGATAAATCCCCAATGGTCAACCGCGGTGCACCACCATAAAAAATGACTGGCGAATCCCTATATGGTTAAAGTGATTTACCCACTGGTAAATTAACATAGACCCTTAAAATCACCAAGGTTTAATGGCAACTAGTCTTCCATCCCTATCTCCCACGGTCTATGTTAATTTACCAGACGGTAAAACGCTGTTGAGGTCTATCAATCTTCCCCGGTTCGACCACCACTTTTGATGGGTAACCAACCAGCATGACACCCAGTTCCCAGGTCTAGCATCCGCAAAATGAGGGTGCTTGCATGAATTAGTAGATTGTCGGAAAAGGGTAAATGATAACGACCTCAATCATCCCCAAATGGCCAAACCATGCAGGTGAGTGAACTATTGGGATTGCAATGTTTCATGACAGCAAATGTCAAAGATGATATGGGATGATAGATACGTACGTACATATATTTGTATATACATATATTAATATAAGAGAATATTATATAATTAGGAACTGATTTGGTCAATTGGGGGGAGCGAACCGCTCCGTGCGTAGCAACTTCGAAGCACACCCCCATTTGATTAAATCGGTGTAGGAACCCCCCCAGCGGATTAGATAGCTTGGTTGCTGGATATTATATAAGGGTTGGTTGAACCGGGAACCTCCCTATCTCATCCGCGACAATATTTTTGGGGTTATGCTAATTTTTGGGAGTGTAATGACCCCCTAAAGGATGGATTGCCCAATTCAAGGAATGTTGATGCCTGAATTGCCCTATCCATCCAAAACCACCAAAGGGGATAATGACTGGAATAAAATCTAGGAGACGCGGACAGAAAATCTATGAGACACAGCTGAGCTTTGCCAAACGCAAAACTTTAGGTTTGAAGAACTTTGAAACGACTTCAAGGTGGATTCTTTACAAAAGACAAGTCGGAACATACCCCAGAAAGCCTTATATCGATCTAGATAGACATGTGATTTGGAGAATAGAGACCTCGAAATAAAATGCGTACAAGACTAGTTTTTTAGGAGGTGGCTGATATGAAACTGGTCGCTTCCTCATCCCAATGCGTTCGTTTCACTTTTCAATACAATGGTCGAGATGAAAGTCGGTGATCGGGAATGTTCGTGATCCGGGTCGAAAGGAAAAGAATGTTCGAGATGCAAGTCGGTGATCGGGACTGTTCGTGATCCGGTTCGAAAAGCCAATGCTTCGCGTTGGGAATTTCAAGCATTCAATGCCATGCTGCATTTTGAAAAAAACAGGAGATGTGTGGCTGATATGAAACTGGTCGCTTCCTCATCCCAATGCGTTCGTTTCACTTTTCAATACAATGGTCGAGATGAAAGTCGGTGATCGGGAATGTTCGTGATCCGGGTCGAAAGGAAAAGAATGTTCGAGATGCAAGTCGGTGATCGGGACTGTTCGTGATCCGGTTCGAAAAGCCAATGCTTCGCGTTGGGAATTTCAAGCATTCAATGCCATGCTGCATTTTGAAAAAAAACAGGAGATGTGAACATAAAGATCAGCCTTTTGGTTTTACCTGGTTCAAAGCTGTCAGCATGAAAGTGCTCAAAATCCCGCTTTCCAGTCGTTAGAGTATTTCATTCTAGTACCGATTCTAGATAGCGATAGACATGTATATGGAGATATATACTAAGACCACAAAATGAAGATATTTTCACTTTAGGCACTTAATGAAGATATTAGTAGTTATATGAACTTATCATAGAAGTGTTTTTTCTTTATTTTTACTTATTTTCACTTATTTTTCAATGTTTTTTGATGATCAGAATTGATTATAGACGATGCATTTTTCTGTTATATATTTTTTGAAAATAGTTGTCGACCTTTTTGTTTCCTTTGGAATATTTTTTTCTTGCCTTTTTTCATTGTTTTTTTTCATTCTTTTCAGGCATCATCCTTTTAGAAATCACCCTTTTCAGGATTTATCCTTTTCAGGAATTATCCTTTTCAGGACTTATCCTTTCAGGATTTTTTTTATTCAGAATGAATCCTTTTCAGGAACTATCCTTAACAGGAATCTTTCTATTCAGATTGATTTCATTTTCAGGAACAATGCTTTTCAGGAGTTATCTTCTACAGGAAATGGTTCTTCTACAGGAATATGCGCGGCTGCGAGTGACACAAAGAATCTTGAAGTACATCTGTGGAGAAACCATTCAGAGGCAAAAGGAAAAAAACATATAAAGGATGCTTCTTGGAAAGAACAATTGCTCTTTTGATGTGTCTTCTTCAATTGTATACGACTGCCCAGAATGAGATCTTTCACAACATGAGGCTTCGGTTACTACTTCCAAACTACATAATTCAGGGATGAAGATGGATACCTAATTTGGAAAATATTCTATTATATTTTTTTGTTGGTAAAAGATTTAAAGCTAGCTGGCTTGCTTTTTGTTTTGAAAATGTATTTTCTATAATTGCTATTTATGTTTTATTGTTCATATTGTTCTACAATTTACTTTCTTTTGATTTCGCATACTTTGTTCATACGGTTTTTTTGCTGAGATTTTGGTGGTTGATTAATCGCAGGCAATTATTAATCCTAACTTGACATTATTATAAATACTTACTTATCCTTTTTTTTCCTCTATAAATATTTCCTGAATTTTCTGAAATTTCTGAATTTTCTGAAATTTCTGAATTTTCTGAATTTTCTGAATTTTCTGAATTTTCTGAATTTTCTGAAATTTCTGAATTTTCTGATTTTTCTGAATTTTCTGAATTTTCTGAATTTTCTGAATTTTCTGAATTTTCTGAATTTTCTGAATTTTCTGAATTTCCTGAATTTTCTGAATTTTCTGAATTTTCTGAATTTTCTGAATTTTCTGAATTGTTTTCCTTTTAATTTAAATTGTAAATTCTGAATTTTCTGAATTTTCTGGGTTTCTGAATTTTCTGACTTTTCTGAATTTTCTGGGTTTCTGAATTTTGTGAATTTTCTGAGTTTTCTGAATTTTCTGAAATTTTTGAATTTTCTGAATTTTCTGAAATTTCTGAATTTTCTGAATTTTCTGAATTTTCTGAATTTTCGGAAATGTCTGAAATTTCTGAGTTTTCTGAATTTTCTGATTTTTTCTGAATTTTCTGAATTTTCTGAATTTTCTGAATTTTCTAAATTTTCCTTTCCAGGAAGTATCCTGCAGAGAACTATTCCCTACAAATTTTTTCCTTTCCAGGAAGTATCCTGCAGAGAACTATTCCCTACAAAAGTTTTCCTTTCCAGGAAGTATCCTGCAGAGAACTATTCCCTACAAATGTTTTCCTTTCCAGGAAGTATCCTGCAGAGAACTATTCCCTACAATTTTTTTCCTTTCCAGGAAGTATCCTGCAGAGAACTATTCCCTACAAATGTTTTCCTTTCCAGGAAGTATCCTGCAGAGAACTATTCCCTACAATTTTTTTCCTTTCCAGGAAGTATCCTGCAGAGAACTATTCCCTACAAATGTTTGCCTTTCCAGGAAGTATCCTGCAGAGAACTATTCCCTACAATTTTTGTTCCTTTCCAGGAAGTATCCTGCAGAGAACTATTCCCTACACAATTTTTCCTTTCCAGGAAGTATCCTGCAGAGAACTATTCCCTACAAATTTTTTCCTTTCCAGGAAGTATCCTGCAGAGAACTATTCCCTACAATTTTTTTTCCTTTCCAGGAAGTATCCTGCAGAGAACTATTCCCTACATTTTTTTTCCTTTCCAGGAAGTATCCTGCAGAGAACTATTCCCTACAATTTTTTTCCTTTCCAGGAAGTATCCTGCAGAGAACTATTCCCCACACAATTTTTCCTTTTCAGGAAGTATCCTGCAGAGAAATTGTCCCTACATTTTTTTTTCCTACCATTTTTTTTTCCAAATAGGCGCCTTCAGAGAATTGTTCTTTAGCAGCATATTCCTGTTCAGGAAGGTTTCGTCAGAAAAGTAGTGCTCTGAGACAATATTGTTTCGTCGAAAATCAACATTCCTGCGAATCTATCAAACACACATAAAAATCAAATTTCACTTCTTATCACTTCTTTTCGCTTATTTTGGCTTATTTTTGACTAATATTCTACTATATTTGCTTATATTTTCCTTATTATGTTATAAGTTCACCTAAAAATTTAGTGGAACTTATAACAAAATATTTTTGAAAAAACAATTTGAACAAGATATTAGAAGGATAATAGTAACTTATAGTATACTTATAAATTCATTAAGTGCCTAAAGTGCAAATATTTGCATTTTGTGGTCTCAGTATAGATCGAGAATAAAAGAGCGATAGAGAGATAGAGAAAGACATGGAGAGAAAGGTATGTATATATATATATATGTCGATGAAGAGATATATCTACGTAGATAATCGTAGATATAGATATGTATGTATAGGTCTGTAGACCCAGAGGAGGAAGAAAAGCACCATGCCTGTGGGAAGGGACACCTTTAGAATGGTGGCGACACAGAACAACATGCTTCAACATGGTCCTCCAACCTCGCTTGTAGCTACAAATAATTCTATTCTCCCAGAGGCGGATTTGGAGGACCGCCATTTTTGCCCCCGTTTTTCCATAGTTTTTCCCGTTGCTTGGTCCTCCGCGGTCCTCCGACCGATCCTGTCCGTGCTGTCGTCTGGGTTTTGTCGCAGTCCATACCCGTCGCTTGGTCCTCTCCATGCTCCTGCCAAGGTTTTTCAGCCATGCAAGCGCTGGGACAACGAGTCTCGAGTGGCGCGGAAAGTCCGTGCGTACTTGACGAAAACAAAGCTGCTGAGCCGCTGCCCACACTTGTTTGCCTTGTAGTCTTTTCTTTGGCCCGCTCTTGTGCATTGCACTCTGTGAAAGACCAGCTATTATACCAGTTATGGCCATTGACCAGTTATAAGTAGTCATAACCCCATTTCGACCTTATAGACTCCCATTTATAACCAATTTGAACTCATCAATGTCCAGAACTGACGCGTCTATCTCCTGCTCCTCTATGGGAAGCTTGCTTGTCCTCATGCCTGCGAGCAGGCTTGGTCTGCTGTTTGGGTGCCGCCGCCGTGCCCACATCCAGACAGAGCATGGTGAGGCATTGCATGCTGTTCATTGTACGGTCGCTTTGTCATCGACTGCTTAGCTGCCAGGGTATTAACTTCCCATGAGGGCCCCTTCATGTCACGCAGCAAAACAAGAACATGATCATTGAGCCACAGTGCCGCCATGCCTGTCCGACGGCGACTCTGTGGTAAGCAGCCGCCGCCGGACGGCCCCCCTGACCGGGAGGCACGCAAGCAGCTGCTGATATGGCTGCGCGACAAATGGGCTGCGCAGCGAATGGCCGCTCGGAATGAGCACGGACACGCCAAGCGGCAGCGGTGGAGAGCTTCATTTGCACAAGCCGACAGGCCGCAGATTTTGCGCGACATGTTGCCGCAAATTCCTGTGAAGTTTGCACGTGCTGCACGTGACCTACTGGCAGGGGGGCATGTCGAAGAGCCGATTGTCAACGAGCCATCGCCGCAAGCATACAAGGGCACTGGTACTATGTTCCGATACAGTGGCTCCTTTAGCATGATTGAGCATCAACCTTCCTTGGACCTGCTTGCGGCAGGACCATCTGTCGACATTGATCTGCTCAGTGCCGGCCTACGAAACGCACCGCAGGTGCTTGCCATTTGGGATGACTTTCAAAGTTGGATGACCGAGCTCGGCAACAAGTACCGCTTTGAACGGGTCAGCACCGCCCTGGAGCTCCACACAGAGGTGACGCTGCAACGCAGAGTGCCTTCCATTCACTTGCACATGATGTTTGACACCCGCGACTCGGCAGCAATGCGGGCACCTCTCTCGCAAGCCTGAATCATGTCATTTTTTCTTTCATTCCCAGTGCCAGTCATTCTTTTTCGCAGCCCAATGTGAGGACGCACCTTCCCCATACTTTTCGGTCCTGTTTCATGTTTGGTTCTGATGGCTAACAGAACCAGATAGGCTCTAGCACCGTACCTTCCTGGCCCATGCGCCCGCATGTTGCGGCCAGGGCGACAAGTGCATCTGTCTGGACAAAGTTTGGCATTTCGTGGGTGCAAGCCGCACATCTCCTTGGATTCCTCGCAGGCTCGTGGGCGGTCAGTCCGTCGTGCACTGGATCAAGGGCACTTTTATCTCCAAGTGGAGAAGAAAGGGTCCATTTTTCGCCAGACCACTTGCCCAGCATACCAGACTTTCACAGTGAGCCCCGACTGGGTGACTGGACTTTGGCAGGGGGATAAGATTAACAAGGAGTGTGCCGAGCAGCACTACGTCCAATGCAAGCGCAACATTCGTGCTTACTGTGAGAACCTGAAGTACCATGGCCAGAAACAACGGGAGCTGTACATTCAGCAGCAGCAGGCTGCTGCAGCAGAGCTCTTGCGCCCACTGCAGAAAGAGCCAGTGGAACTACCAGAAGTGACGCAGCTGTTCTTGCCACAGTTCACGCGGCCTATGCATCGCCGAAAAGTCTTGGTGCTGAATGGCCCAACGCGCCTGGGGAAGACTGTCTATGCACGGTCTCTCTTTGGCGCAGATCACACGTATGAAACCAATTGTTCCGGGGTGTTGGAGCCCGACATGAGGGAATATGATGTGCTACGGCACCGGTGTGTGGTGTTTGATGAAGCTAGTGTCCATCTTGTCTTGAAGCACAAAAAATTGTTTCAGGCGCCGCCTGCCGAAATTTCACTTGGGCACTCGGCGACAGGCATGTATGTTTATCGCATCTGGGTTTGGAATGTCGCTCTCATTGTCACATCCAATGTCTGGACCACCGAACTGGAGCAGCTCGCTGCAGAAGATCGGGAATGGCTAGAAGGGAATGCGATTCTCATTCAGTGTAGCCAGCCCTTATACAGACAAGACTGAGGCCACGCCCGGTTCCAAAAAAAGGGGTCGCCAGACGGTTGCAAACTAGCTGTCGTCAGTGAGGGCCCTTGTTGTATATATACGGTCAAACCCCTCAGTTTGCCCGCGCCGACGCCGACGACGTGTCCGAACATAAAAAACACTGTGTCTTGTCGGACAAAATGCACATGTCCATGATCATGGCTTTCATCTTGCAACGCACAGATTTGCTACCTGTGCGTTGAGTGTTACAACAACATCGTCATCATCCTCATCATCATCATCAGCATCATCACCATCATCATCATCATCAAACCCTTATTGAAGATCTTCAATGAATGTAGGAGTGTAACGGGGTGGGAAAACTAAACCCTCATTGAAGATCTTCAATGAATGGGGGTGGGAGAATTAAACCCTCATTGAAGATCTTCAATGAATGTAGAAGTTGAACGGGGGTGGGAGAACTAAACTCTTATTGAAGATCTTCAATGAATGTAGAAGTTGAACGGGGGTGGGAGAACTAAACCCTTATTGAAGATCTTCAATGAATGTAGAAGATTAACGGGGGTGGGAGAACTAAACCCTTATTGAAGATCTTCAATGAATGTAGAAGTTTAACGGGGGTGGGAGAATTAAACCCTTATTGAAAATCTTCAATGAATGTAGAAGTCTAACGGGGGTGGGAGAATTAAACCCTTATTGAAGATCTTCAGTGAATGTAGAAGTTTAACGGGGGTGGGAATTTATATTCCTAATACCCTTGTTGATCTTCCCAATTGAATGTAAAGTTTAACGGGGGTGGGAATTTATATTCCTAATACCCTTGTTGATCTTCCCAATCGAATGTAAAGTTTAACGGGGGTCGGAATTTATATTCCTTCAAAATCCCTAAGAAGTTGTGTGGGCGAACTGGGGGGTTTGCGCGTATATCATATATATATATATATATGTGTATTTATTTATACATATATATATATATAAATACACATTATACCAATGTATATATACATATATATACTTAATATATACATATACCAATGTATATTATATATATATATGTATATACATGTGATTGTATATCCAGATATGTAGAACATCAACAGAATACCAACAGTATATATGGTGACAAACAGTATGGGATACACGGAGATATGTATCAACATATCGGGATCGGTCAAAGTCGAACAGCAGGAGGGAAGCAAAAAAAATGGTCATATTTCGTGTTGAAATGGGTACCCTCTGGTAATTTAACATAGCTATGGAAAATGGCCATTTATAGTGAGTTTTCCCATTAAAAATTGTGATTTTCCATAGTTATGTTAGTTTACCAGAGGGTATGTCGGAAAATTTGGTACCCTTCAATCCAGTGGTTCGAAACCTCATTGTACCTTTCAAAATGCAATTTTTAGGTATATGATTTCATTTTGTCATATTTTGCCGACAAACTATCAGGATAGAATGGGATATAGAGTCTTAGAATGTGATATAGAATGGGATGCAGAACGGGATATTATAGAATGTCATATAGAATGGGATACTCTGCACATATATATATATGTGTGTTTTCAATGTGATATTATGATATAGACAGCCAAATATGATGTTTCAATAAATCAATGGGAATTCCAGGATCCTAAGATGGAGGTACTGTACCATATTTCTGGCCATATTTTGTGGGGTTATTCCCTTACATAGGCCTAAAGAATAGGCCTTATATATGGTAGGTACCTCCAATTTAGGATCCTGAAATGGCCATTGAATAAATTATGAATAAACATTGGTTAGTTTCCTGGCAAAAGATGGACCCACAGAGATTGGTCTGGGATCTCTAGACTTAAATTAAGAATACCTTCTGGTAAACGTTTGCATAAGTATGGAAAGTCACCATTTTATAGCTGGGTAAATCAACTATAAATATGCCATTTACAATAGTTTCCCAGAGGGTATATGTCAGGATCTATGACACGCTGTGGATTATAGCAAGTAAAGCTATTTTGTATGTCCATGGAAATTTGCAGGAGTCTAGCCTTTTACGTTTGGTGGTTTTTGATGCCATGCCACAAGTGGGGATGTATACAACAGATTTTTTGTAGGGTACTGAAATTTGCCATCAAACATGGTTTGTTCAAATCAGCGTCGTAGGGGAAAACAGTTGTTAATAATCTAATGAAACTACAAGAAATTACCCCTCTGGCCCTCTGATTTACAAACATGGAACCCAAAAGCAGTGATTTGCAACAGGACATCAATCTATTTTCCATTCTGCACCCATCCTTTTGATGGGAGTTTCCATGTTGGGTGCCAGGATGCGAGCGGCGCGTTTTCACGACCTGAATTTCTATTGGCGCAACGCTCATGCCGGATATGTCGGCCCTGCCACGTTGCCCGGTGAAAAATTCGCCATTGGGACCACCCCATTGGGACCACCACGAACGATTCTGTATGGATCATTTTGGACCGGAATCCCGGGAGATGGGCGGTACATGGCAGGGAAATTACAGCAACATCAGCATCATCAGCCTAGCCTATCTTAGGTTGGTGAATTGTTCTCAGTGAGAATTGTTTGCTACAGGATTTGGACTGGAGTCATTTGGAGTCGTTTGTTTGGAAATTGGGGCAATTCTGCGCAAGTGTAGTTCAGATGCATGATTTTTAATTTTGAAGCTATACTGTGGGGTGTAACGGCTTTTCTGCAATTATATCATACAGCGCGAAACTACGATCTGATGCAAGCAAGTTCATCACTTTGACATGCAAACATTAGCATAAACGCGAGTGAACCTAACAACGTTTTGCAGATTCAAAAGTTCTATTTATTTTGATGGTCAATGTGGGATGCCACTTTTTGGCTGCGGGATTTGCCCCTCAAAACCGGGCATACGTTTTGATACCCGGACCTCTATTGGGACCATTTCTTGGAAGATTTGCCACAGAGGGCCAAGAGTCCAGAATCACCTCAAAAAATGTCTTTTGGGGGGGGCTCAGGCATGCAAGTAAAGTCCAAGTAAATCATTAGTAAAATTAGTTATGTTGATATATTACATAAATTGTGCTAAAACAAGATGGTTACGAACACGGGTTTGCGACATCATGTCCGGTCCCCTCTCCAGGTGAACTTAGGGCAAAATATGAGATCCTGCATTACAAGTCATACATATGTACACCATTTGTACCGTTATTTTAATATGACATATTATAGAGTATATATATATATATGTACCTATATATACTATATATCATTGTGTTTTTTGCATGCCACAATACTCGGACAGTTTTAATATGTTAAAAACATGTAGTTCTAGCAGTAGCAAACCCCAACAAAGGGTAGACTTGTAGCACAATTTGTGGATGCGACTGAAAATTATTAATTATATATTATTGGTTGCTGGCTATATCACAATGTATATATATATATATATATATTGTGATAATAATTATGATATTTATGATCTATAGTTGTCTATGATAATTTCAGATGGATTATCATCATGTTCCCTATTCTTGAATTGCTATTTGTGGGCATCCACAAACAAAGCCAAATCCAAACTGCTGATGGTTAAATATCACATTTACACTTGTTTGTTTCCCATTTATAGTATAGTAGGATTTATAGATGAATTCCAGTTGAGTTTCCCATTTATAGATATTTATAGTTGATAATCCCACTCACTCACTCACTCACTCACACTCACGCACGCACGCACGGACGGACGCACGCACGCAGTCACTCAGTCACTCAGTCACTCAGTCAGTCAGTCAGTCAGTCACTCACTCACTCACTCACTCACTCACTCACTCACACGTTCAGTCAGTCAGGGAGTCAATGCTCATCCCATAAAAATCGTACAAGGTGGTGCCCCCCCCAGATCTAAGTTGGTTTATAAACCATAGCAACTATAGATATAACCCCCAAAAACCCTAGTTATTGGATATCTCACACAACGTTCCCTTATTTTGGTGGTGAGATTGATGTTGCCGCCCAGGGCAGATGCCATTGAGCAGGTGATCCAGCATCTGGACCGTGGAATGTGAATCCGAGGTAACTGGTGGTAAGTGTGTATATATATATAATTATATATAAGTATATAGGATATAGGATAGTATATTCAGATATAGTTTATGGGTAACCTATATAGTTGGATACCTATATGTATATATATACACATATATTCAGATATCATAGGTTCCTATTGATCTAAACACTGTCTGAGAAGGTACTTAATCCCCTAAATCATATCCCAGATACTTCCTAAGAAGGTACATGGATCCATAGGTAATTACATATATATATATATATTTATAACTAAATCATTAGCTGGTAATATACCTAAATTACACCTGGCTTGTATCCCCGAAATGCATGCTCTGGAATAAACAAAACAATGTGGAAAACCTATGGGGAAACCCGTTCCGAAAATTATCTACATTTATGATGGGTTTTCCACATCTATGTTAGTTTACGGGAGGGTAAATGGGGGTAAATGGGGCATGGTAGCATAGGATGAGTGCGGAATTCCACATTCGATTTCTGCCTGATGTTGATTCTTTACTCCCATAATTCACAGAGCAACATAAGCATGGTTGAGCCTCTTTGGGTGTATGAAATGGTTTGTCCAAAAAATGGATACTCCTAAATTCTTTGGTTGTCATCACTTTCAAATACTTTTTTGAAGGTATCTTAGATGACACAACCCAAATCTTCAGACACTAATTGTGGTTCCACTGCAAACTGGTCATTTTCGCGATACTTCTCTCTGATTGAGTCATGGATGTATTTGTTTTTGCATGGTGATTTTGCAAAATACCCATGTTAAACACTCTGTATCTCTGTAACTTGGGCATCGACAAAAATGAAACCCAATTGGGTATGTATGGCTTCAAATATTCCCTTGAATGCAAAATCTACTGTACTTTGGTTGATCGCCGTGCAAATCAATGCATCAGACTGACCAACATATTTAATGGCACATGGGGGATTGAGATTAAGTAAGTAGCGGGAAGAACTTATACAACCAATGTATTAAGGACTGATTTGCTTAATGTCCCGGTATTTTTCGGAATGAATCAATTTTATCAACTCCGAGGGCAGTAGTCGCAACCCGCTTCTGTCATTTTTAAGAAATGGCAGTGTCACAGCGCATGACCAAAGCACGATTGCATGATTATCAGGATTGCGACCGTTCAGCTCAACATGTGGATTGCAGGACCACCTAGGATGACCAGGCTTCCACCACATCCGACCAGCCGTTGCTTGCCGACCGCTTGGATCTGGGGTGGCTGGAAAGAAATGCCGCTGGCCAAAGGTCAACGATTGCCGGAAGTCATTCTTCCACCATCTTCCACCGGAATTGCACCATTTTTTGGCGTTGCCTTTTGTTGCCTAGTACCTAGTGGCCCAAATCTCGGCAGCTCAACAAGGCTTCCCCTAGCACTATCAACTATTTTGAGCGTGCCTTTGTGTACCAACACGTGTCTTCGGGAGAACTCGTGAATATGATCTGCCTATCCAGCAATCCTGAAATCTGGGTAAAGCATGTTACACCTTCACTTGGTTGATTTCAGGGAACATTTACAGGAAACCCTTATATTTCATGGTCGAAACTTGAAACCATGTTTTCCGGTTAAAATTGTCCCAAGAAAACCAATCGTATCCCTGAGAAGTATGGTTATACTATATGAGTATATATGATATTTTTCCGACTCTCTGGTAAACTAACATAACTATTGAAAATTGCCATTTGTAGCTGATTTACGCATAAAAAATGGTGCTTTTCAGTAGCTATGTTAAATTACCAGAGGGTATATGGTGCCATGAGAGTTCCCCCAACCTAAAGGGTCGTACCAATCCATTGAAATCTTGAGGCCTGACACCGCTTTGCCACAGACTTCACTTGCAGAACTGCACCTCGGTGGTCTTTGGGTCCTGGCTTTGTCTGAAAATGGGACCCCAACATGATTCAGAAAATGTGGCTTTCGTCATGGGGGTACCCCAAGTTCTGGATTTATTTGGTGGGAAAATGTGACCATAAAATGGATGATTTGGATATGGGGGTACCAGCATGTCAGGAAAATCACATATTTTTTTTTGAATAGGTAAACCATCCATTTCTATGGGCCATCGAAAAACCATGGCAAACTGTTAGTCATCACCAGAGGGTAACATCATCCCTAAGGCGTATCATCCCGGAAAACATACGCAGAGTGAGTGAGTTCATCGAAGTGGAGACCAGAAAAGACGGAGACTTAAAAAGCAAAATCAAGAGGTGAATGAAGCCACAAAACCATACAAAACTAGGTATGGGCCTGGGTGAAAATTAAAGATGCCACCACAGATTGGAAGGTTATTTTTGCACTTTCCCTCTCCTTCGAAATGGCGTACTTAATTTCGAACCAATTCTGGCCGCTGGGCATCAACCCCAGCAACCCCGAGTCATGTCGAACATTTTGGAGTCCTGGGATTTAGGTGGAAAACATCATCAAACTACCATCCTGGCTTCACACTTTGGCATCTCTCCGAGGGTTGCTAATACCAAGGCACATGCCCGGCCCTGCGCATACCTTTGTGTCCCATTCCTGGCAATTGAACGTCACCCGGCCATCGAAGCGCACGGGATTTCATGATGATTCATATCATGAAAAAGGGAGGTAAGGAACACGGGATATATTTGCAATAATTTGACACTATCCTTTGTTCTCATTTTGGTGGCGATAATATATGAATATAGATAAATCTAGATACCACCTGCTAATTGTGGGTGGTTCAGTGTTTCTCCATGTTGTTTTGTCTTTTCTCCATCTCAGCGACTATAACGACCACCACTCCGAGTGCGTGATTGAAAGTTGACTCCTTATATTTCATTATCATTATTCTCGGTTTGTACATTCACTCAGGTTTTTGTTCATCCTCGATTGTCCATTGGTGTTTGCTTACAATATTGTCAAACTGTGTGTTGCCTAAACTTCCACCTTTGCTGTAATAATTTGCATGTACAGTTCATTCTATTCACGCCATTTTGGTCGCGACTTGCAAGTTGGCAGGCCCCTTTTTGAGGTGTTGTTCACCATGACAAGCCCAACAACAGAGGCATGAAAGCCCTCTTTCAGGACATCTACCCCTTTAGATCCATTAAAAACAAACAACAATTTGACCTCATATTTCATGTGAGATACCAGCATATACCAACATCAAGCCCTATGAACAGGGCCAACATTAAACCCATGTGGTTTATCGACTGTACCACATGTTTGTTGGCTAAACCCCATGTTCGTTGATCGAAACCATGTCGTTTGTTTTTTGTGCAAGATAATTCTATGATTGTTGGTTGAATCCTGCCGTTTATATTCCTGAAAAATACCGGCTATAAGAACAACCGTCCTTGGTTTGGTACAGTGTTTGTTCAATACTATACATTATGTTTCCTTGTCATTAACTGGGGATTACAGATACAAGTCAGCTGAAGATTGAGTTTTGGACACGGTATCAAAGGTACTTCCCAACAATTGGGGTAAAACAGTTTTCATGCACAATTGTTGATGGTGGCTACTAACCCCTTAAAACGAGGCCTTATTGTCGCATCAAAAAAATGAAATGAGTTTTGCCGTATCGTCATTAAATCCCGTTTGGTTGGTGAATTCTCAGTCACTTGTTGGATGATTCATCTTGTAAATGTTAAATCACTGGGTTGTCCGTGAAAAAAGTGCCTTGTGTCTTGTGTAATGCTATATACACCGCTAAATCCTTGAATTTCTGGATCCAAATTGAATGCTGTGCTACCCAGCATTCAATCCCATGATTCAATGCCATTATAAACCAAATAAACCAAATAAACCACCATTTGTTTCACCCATGTTTGGCGGTTAAAACGTGTCACAAAACCTCAATCTTTTCCAGCGCCATGGTTTCCCGGGGATTTCTCGGCAATGTTTAGTGAAATCCGCACGTGTCACCAATTCTTGGTGGATTTTTGCTGGTAAACATATTAGGTATGGCCATTTCAAACTTGTGGGTATACCCTCTGGTTATGTCAAAATAGCTATTGAAAATGGTGATTTATAGTGGATTTTCCCATTGAAAATTGTGATTTTCAATAGCTATGTTAGTTTACCAGAGGGTATCCCCTTTCATAGCCCTGAAAAATAGACCTGAGATATATGGTAAGTAACCAGGTACCTTACAAGCAGCCACTGAAGGAATTATTATTGTAGGTGCCTGATACAGTCCTTACATACCCTTTACCTACAAATGTTGGGATTATTATGGTGAAATGATAATATTAAAAATATTACCCAGCAGATTTTGGGATTATTATGGTGAATGTAATTTAAAACCACCAATCCGAGATAAACCTGTTATTACCATTGTTTCTATCTCAACTTTCAATTTTTACTGGTGAAATATGGTGAAATCCCCGATGCTGAAATCGGTGGGATTTCCCTATTTTTGCGGAAAACACATGGTAAAGTCCCACTTTTTCTGCGGCAAATCCCAGGTAAATGACATTTTCAGCTCCTTGCAGCGTTCCTTCGCGGGGGCCGAGATGCTTCGTCTGTGGATGGCCGTCTTCAGCTTGAACCACTGGACGTCTCTCGGGCCGAAGCCAGTCGTTAATTTTGCTTAGGTCAAACTTTATGGGAATGTGTATACACAATTATGAAAATACAAAGCGGAACTGGGTCAGGTTAAATGTTGAGAACATTGAGAGTCTTGTGCCAAAATGTCCTTTTGCATGTTTTTGGCAATACATTTGGGGTTGGAATTCCTCTCCGCAACCCAGGGTCCATAATGGACATGTTTGGATTGATCCTAAACAATTATCCACCAGTCCCAGTCCACAATAGTCCCTGGAAAGGGCATGTGTTGGCCTTCATAACTACCATCTGGTTATTTAACGGAAAATCACCATGCTATTAAGAACGGTAAACCATCTATAGCATGGTGATTTTCCATGTCTATGTTAAATAACCAGAGGGTACAGTAAACAGTGCATCTTTGAAGATGTAGAAACTGTGGGAAACTGTGCCTCTTTTTACAGGCACCGCTCTCAAGAAGGTGAACTCCCAAACAGTTCTCTCGGCTTTGGCAAATTTAAGGCTCCGTCACTATCAGATCTATCAGTTTAGGACCCCAAACGGGAGAAACGAGTATTTCCAGAATCATGACTATTATTATAATATGAGTATTTCATAGTATTTCCAGAATCATGACTACAATACAATGCTAGATAATGCTATATATATTGCTATATATTATAATTATATAAATATTAATTTAAACATTGAATATACACGATCCATGGGACTGGCACCCGAGGTCACAAGCGATGTCCATCGAACAGAGCTGCAGCGCAGAAGTTCTGAGGAGTCGTTGTCAGAGCTACTGGGCGGTGTCAACACGCGGTCAGGGTCAATCCTTGGCTTAGCTGAAGGGACCAGAGGTGGCTGAGAGTATGTGTGACTAGTATGTATCAACTGCATTAACATTTAAATTAACATGTATTAACCATCTATTTTAGATGGCTTAGTATGTGTGACTAGTATTAATATTTCACCAACATGTTTTTTTTCTGTAACTGTATTGACATGTATTATATCATCACCTAGTTTTTGGGATACCCAATGACTTGACCCATAGTTGCCATGAAAATTACCCCTATCTCCATCTCCGTTGAGGCTTTGCCTTAGTGCTGGGCCCGGAGCTGGAGAGTCTCAAGCGATTGTGCCTCGGTGACCTAACGGTGACCCAACTGGATGTGTTCAAGTGGATCATATCTGACCTAAATTACTGTTTGGTATATAGATGGTATAGCAACTGGTGATATGAGTGGGAAAATTCTATAAATGGTTCCCATTTATTATATAGTAGATGGTATATAAATGATGATTAAATGGGATCGAGAAGAGTTCAATTGCCCTGGGCGGATTCGTACATGGACCATGGACGCACGCAGTAGTTTGCACCAATTTTTGCGGCTTCACGAGAACTTTCTGTTCCGGCCACAGCCAAACGTGCCGGTGAGCTTGCAGCCGACGTTTACGCTCTTAGCCGAAGAGGAGCCGCTCTTAGCCGAAGAGGGGCCAAACCTGTACAAAAATGTTCGCCGACACTGCCAAGATGGCGCAGATGGAGATGAGTTGGCTTCCCTGATCATCAGGCGTCTGGTCAGGACCACGCACTGGGTTGCTGACAAGCGCAATGTCATAGAGCAACAGCGCCAACAGCGACGAGCACCTACCGAAGGCACAGAAGTGACCAGTGTTGTGCTTGTGGTTATGTATGTATATATATATATATATATCTGACCATTTGCCAAAAGTATTAATGGGAATATGGGAATATTAATGGGATATTAAGTTGTATATAAATGATGATTAAATGGGATATTAATGGGAATAGTAATCCCAACTGGTATACTGCTTGGTGCTTTGGAACCATAGAATTTTCATATGACTTTCCATTCAGTTGGGAATGGAAAATCATCCCAACTGACGAAGTCCATCATTTTTCGAAGGGGTAGGGCTCAACCACCAACCAGATTATTATTAATCATCATTAACCATCATCATTAACCATATTATTAACAGTATATTAACCACAATGGTAGGTGGCTCAACCACCAACCAGTAAAGGCTTCAAAACAACATCACTGCTTGATGACCTCATTTCAGCTTAGCGAACTGATGTGAATTAATCGAATTTGGGCAGATTTCTGCGCTGGTGAAAAGCGTGGTTATAACCCAACATGACAATGTCAATAATGTGTGCCTCTGATTAGTGTGAGGGCCCCCCCCCCCCTAAACAATTTGAGGATACTCTATAACTCGCACTTTTTTTTCCCCCCCCCTCAACATTTTTTTGGTCAATCAACTTAAGAAAGGATTTCAATTTACTTTCAATTTATTTCAATTTACTTTCAATTTAATTTCAATTGATTTCAATTTACTTTTAATTTACTTTCAATTTACTTTCAATTGAATTCAATTTGCTTTCAATTGATTTCAATTTACTTTTAATTTACTTTCATTTTTTTTTCACTCCCAAAAGTGGGTGCTCACAATAGAGTACCATCCAAACAATTATATTATTGAGTAATTGGGCCACTCATGAGGTACCACCTTGAAAAATTGTCTGGATGCTGTTTTTTAATAAGGGTTTAATAAGGCATCTAATTATTTGGGAAACCTTGCATTTTAAAGCTTTAACACAAACATTGCTTTCTAAAGTAAAGGGACCAGCTTTAGCCAAAGAAAGGTGGAGAAAGGGTTTTTGTGTTTTTTTTTCACTCCCAAAAGTGGGTGCTCACAATAGAGTACCATCCAGACAATTATATTATTGAGTAACTGAGCCACTCATGAGGTACCACCTTGAAAAATTGTCTGGATGCTGTTTTTTAATAAGGGTTTAATAAGGCATCTAATTATTTGGGAAACCTTGCATTTTAAAGCTTTAACACAAACATTGCTTTCTAAAGTAAAGGGACCAGCTTTAGCCAAAGAAAGGTGGAGAAAGGGTTTTTTTTTTTTTTCACTCCCAAAAGTGGGTGCTCACAATAGAGTACCATCCAAACAATTATATTATTGAGTAACTGGGCCACTCATGAGGTACCACCTTGAAAAATTGTCTGGATGTTGTTTTTTAATAAGGGTTTAATAAGGCATCTAATTATTTGGGAAACCTTGCATTTTAAAGCTTTAACAGAAACATGGCTTTCTAAAGTAAAGGGACCAGCTTTAGCCAAAGAAAGGTGGAGAAAGGGTTTTGTTTTTTTTTCACTCCCAAAAGTGGGTGCTCACAATAGAGTACCATCCAAACAATTATATTATTGAGTAACTGAGCCACTCATGAGGTACCCCTTGAAAAATTGTCTGGATGCTGTTTTTTAATAAGGGTTTAATAAGGCATCTAATTATTTGGGAAACCTTGCATTTTAAAGCTTTAACACAAACATTGCTTTCTAAAGTAAAGGGACCAGCTTTAGCCAAAGAAAGGTGGAGAAAGGGTTTTTGTGTTTTTTTTTCACTCCCAAAAGTGGGTGCTCACAATAGAGTACTATCCAGACAATTATATTATTGAGTAACTGAGCCACTCATAGGGTAATTAATATGTTAATGAATAATAAAGCAATAAAAAAATAATTAAAAAAGGAAACAATGAAAAAAATGAAACAATAGTAAATAAAATTAAAATAAAAATTGAAAAGTAAAAAGTAAAAATAATTATAAAAAAAATAGATAAACTAAAAATAAAAAGAAATAAATAAATAAAGTAATTAATTAATTTAAAAAAAAACATTTGGAAAAAAAAGTTGAAAAAAACATAAATCTGGAAAACAATTCTCACAATAGAGGCTCCCCCCCAACAATTAGCATGTTACTGAATTAGGAGCAAGAAATTTCTCACAATAGGGTACCAGGCTTCTAATCAGAGGCAAACATTAATGTTTTACAACACCTATTTCTGCACAAGGGGATGATTTTCATGGTGTTGGGTTTACCACAGTAGCCATATACCGCTGGTTTGCAAGCGATTGATGTAAAGTGGTTAAGAACCATGCTTATGATTCTGTTTATGTTTTATAGATACTCTCCAGTAAGTCTGGAATCTGCATTCATATTGATATCCTCATATAATGTGTAAATCTGAATTCTGGATTACCTCCTAGATGTTAGCATTTCCCACATTTCGGGAAACCTACAATTCCAATATAGTTTCACGGTTAAACATGACCAGTTTGACTTGGATAATGACTTGGGGTCCCGTTTTTTGAAAACTTCGATGCGAAGGGCAAGAGAAATATTATCTACATACTACATATATATATATATATATAACATAGTTCTCACACACCAATACATGGGATATACCAAAGTTATTTCTAAATGCATCTTTCCTAAGGTGTGAAGCAAGAGAACCTGCTTGATAAGACGAATTCGGATGGTTTGAGCACACGAGCAAGATCATGAGCATAGCAGCGACATGTATGAGCAGCAAGCAAAACGCTCTTGTGTGGCAATCTTTTGTGCTATTCTTGCCGCTTTTCCCAAGTGCAAGACTAAGATCATGTGCTCGTCACAAAATATGCAACCTGACCTCCAAACCTTCTAACATGGCACCTTTGGCAGCTTTCGCTACATGCACGGACATGGCCATAGCGATGGCAACGCAGCGTCGAGCCAACACACCTCCAACCCCAAACCCCTCAAGATGAACGATTAGAACTAATTAGAACCCATCATTACACGCATTCCGGAAAGAAGATGTGTGTATGTGTAAGCGATAAAAAATAATGCCTGCAGAAATCTTGACTATCGATAGGGGAGGATCCCAATTCTTGTGTACTGGCATGGCTCCATTACTTCCTCTTCCCGCTGAAGTTCGGGCTACGGTGCATTTTGTTTCGGGTGACAAAGCCGAAAACTTTGGATGCACTAGATCCAAATGAACTGGATCGGATACTGGTAGAGCCATTTTTTGGATCGGATCAGGGCTTGGGGTTTGCTTGATGTACCCTCTGGTTATGTCAAAATAGCTATTGAAAATGGCCAGTAATAGTTGATTTTCCCATGAAAAACTGGTGATTTTCCATAGCTATGTTAAATTACCAGATGGTATATACTACAGTTTTGGATACCCCCAGTTTTAGTCGAGGTGGGACACACCGCTGGATTCAGACGCCTCACGAGTCATTGGAGCCCTCACAGTCAACGAGTCGGTCTATCGAGCCCTCACGCAATCTCTGGAGACAGCGCCCTTTGAACAAGCCAGTCTTGTCCAATATAATATTGCACACGTATTATATGTGTATATATATACATATATACACATATTTATACATATTTATACTCATATACATATATATATATAAATGATATAAATCAATTCTAAGTATATATATATACAAATAGATATACGTATATAATATAATATGATATAATATAATACAATATAATATAATATAATATGATATAATATGATATGCGCATATATATATTGTTTATTATCGTGCACTATATTTTTATCATATGTATATTGTTTTCAAAAACAACAAAGAGAAAGGTATCATATTTTATTTATTTTCTGCATTTACACATAAATGTGTTTTTCCATTGATCAGTAATGGTACCTTTCAGGATTCCTCTAGACTCTAGGTGATGTCAGCCCCATTCAGCCTCCCAGGTGGTGCCTCTATGAGGTCCTCTTAGCCACGGAGTGTGGCAATGCCCAGCGTTACTTGGAATCAATGGAATCAAGACAGCTCTGGGTGCAAGATCAGGATGGGTCCCAGAAGAGCATGGATCGAACTAGATAGTATATGGGCCAAAACCATATTTGGATGGGTTTCAAATTGCCATAACTCCGGTGGTACCTGATGCTCAGACAATCTCAGACACACCCGAAACCGATCCGAAAACAATGATGTTCTGGGTCTCAACCCACCCAAAAGTGAGTACGAAACTAGCTGGGAATCGTGAATGTTCATCTCCCCAAAATGTGGTATGATAGGGTTTGATCCCGACGTCATGGCAGGGATGTGTGCCTAATGAGGACTTGTCTATTGGTCGATCCGTCTATTTGTTTTTCTATCGTTGTATTTGGCCATCTATACAAGTATTTACTTTAAGAAATAGATTTCTTTTAGTGTTTGTATCTAGATGCATAGAAATAGAGACATATATGTTGAAGTCAATGTCCGCATGTATATATGTATTTTTTTGTCCGAACCCAAAAGTGTCATGGATGTGTGTGTGTGTGTGATTGGTGTATTAGCAATGGATACAGACAGACAGACAGACAGACAGACAGACTGACAGACAGACTGACAGACAGACAGACAGACCGACAGACTGACAGACAGACAGACAGACAGACAGACATTAATACGTACAAACATACACAGACGCATACGCATACGCATACGCATACACATACATATACACATACATATACAGATGCACATATGCTCACACATATATATATACATATATATATATATACATATATATACATATATATATATACATATACAGACATAGTATATATATAATTGTAAATTCATGTGATGGGGTTGTAACCTTTTGTAAGTGGATGTGGCAATAGAAGACGCACCTTTTCAACAAAAAAATATGCAATCATTCACAGATGGTGGATTTTCCATAACAACAGATGCAGCTAACCAAAGAAATATGATTATGAAACATCACATCTCTTTGTTTTTTGGGGTACAGAAACTATGTGGCGTCAATCGAAACCACGCCGAGGTCCGATGTCGATGAAACTTTGCTCGCCTCAAGGAGAAAACTCGCAGAGACTGTGAAGGGATTGTGGTAGCATTACTTAATGTGCCCCAGTTCGTTTGCTAAGTTGCTGGCAAAACATGTGAACATACCAACATGGAAATGTGTTGGATAGACGTTGGGGTTGTGGTAGACATGTGACCATACTTGATCTGGTTTAGTACATCAACTTACAACGATGGGCCACCACTTTGCACCATCGAGTGGCGGAGAAAACTGCTAAGAACCATGGCGATCCGCAGTTGGCCAAACCAAACTGGGGAACCAAAGAACTAAGAATTGACTTTCCCACCCATATGCTATACCGAAATGATTGAAATTACCCCCCAATTTCAAGTTTTGATTTGTCTCATGAATTACCGGTGAACAATCCAGAATATGGGGCAGTTGGGTTCCATGTGGGTACAGGGGTCAAAACATTAACCTCTAGCACGTATATATAGATGGTTTTGTGTTTACAATAGACATTTTCACATATTTTCACTATCTACTCACGCATTCTTGGGGTACAACATCTGGACCCATACGACATATGATTGCAGTGTTTTTTGTGGCCACATTTTTTCCGTGGTGAATGGTGGCTGAGCGGCTGATCGATGCCATGGCCATACAGAAATCCTGGCATATTGTTGGCGACAACACAAGACCATCAAAACATGGCTAGGAGTTCGGGAAAACATGTCCAAAATAAGGTGTTTCTCAACCTAGAATTGCAATTTGTCCAGTAAATTGCATCATGTCCCAACTGTTGAATGATCCAAGTGGAAGTAGGACTGATGGTTGGTAATTCGATTAGTAATTTATAAGCCACTTAAAATACCGTCAGTGCAGTGCAGTCAACCGCGCCGCGCTACTAACAAGTGGACCTCCATGACAGACCAAGGATGGTCTTGATTCAGGTTTCCCTGGAGTTATGGGTTCCACATCGAAGCCGTTGATATCCAAATCCGAATGATCAAAGGTATCGACAGGTCTGGGGCTGGGCCACTTTCATGACTGTTTATAGATATCGACATGATCACACATCCACTTGCAACCGGAAAACATGTGTAACATGTGCAACATGTGAGCAGTTAGCAATGTCATAAACCAATATAAACCACCCTAACCCGAAAAATCTTTGTTTTTTTTTTGCACCTATAAAAATTGTCAAAATATGGGGATGGTCAGCTTCATGTTGGTCAAACTCCCCCGATGATGATCCCAGGCTTGTCATTTAGAGGGGCGCGCCTGGCTTAGGTGAAATGGTAGCATCTGGTTCTGGTTATTTAATAAGTGGCTTAACTATGGCTTATGGTAGATATAACTATAGTTAATGGATGTTATAATGGGAAAATGATGATCATATGAATCATATATGAAATACCATCGGGTTATGACTAACAGCAATAGCCATGGAAACAAAATCACCATGCTATTAAGAACGGTAAAGCATCTATTTCGATTAGGGCCATGGCTTCCATGGCTATGTTAGTCATAACCAGAGGGTAATATGAAGTATCAACCCCACAAATAGATAGAAACGTGTCTTCCTAACAATTCCTGGTCAACATCTTTGCGGATAACTCTTAAACGGTTCATGTTTGTTGTTTGTTTTTGCGTCTGCATCTCAACATTCAACGCGCAGGACTTCTAAGTGTTGGCACGGGTGGCATGCCGGTCTCCTACATTTTGAAAGCACTTTGCTTGTCACAGGTAATGATGAGGATCTCGGGGGATGGTCACTTCCACATGTGAAGTTTCTGTTAGCTACGCGGATGATATATGTAGTATTATGTAGTCAACCCCCCAAAAAGATGGAAACATATGGAAACCGTGAATTTCCAGATTCAAAAATCATAAAAATCCAGGTTTCACCACTTTTTAAATCTGTGTCATAACTACATTTAAATCTATGTTTTATGTACGTTTCTCATCGGTTGGCCACCAGAGATGCTGGAGATGGCCGTGTTTGCTCATCCAGATGTTGTAAAGGTGCCAAAGATCTTGAAGTAGAATACATGTTTTTATGTGTGAATGCTATGCTGGTGTGGGAATCCCAAGATCTTAGTGGGATGAAATTTGGGTGTTTTTGTAAAATATATCTTTTGTTCTGTGGATGATATGTCTGTTGGGGAACATGTATTGCATTCCACGGGCTTAAACATGGCAAGAAAACACCAGGAACATTCAATCTCCATGGGGAACAATGCACCACTTTATCATAGGAGAAACACATAATGCAGCATAGTTTTGGTTGAGGTGAGCATATTCGAGTATCTGTCGGCCAAAATGACCAATCTTTCTACGCACCAAATGCCATGTGTGTTTGCAGCCAGTACATGTTCTTGAGTTCAAGAGACTGCATATTTGTCTCATAGCTATGTTTTTCAAAAAACTATTTCTGGTTGGTGGTTTGGAACATTTTTTATTTTCCATATATTTGGAATAGTCATCCCAAGTGACTTTCATATTTTTCAGACGGGTGGCTCAACCACCAACCAGATTTAGAAGGGACAAACTGTTGGATTGATGCCTCTAATTCTTTGGAGTTTGTGGTTAGCCCCGCAATGGTCAACCCAAGAATGAAGGCAAGATGTTTTGGGGTTAGTAAACCCCATGAACCTCTTGTCATCAGGGGAACCCTCCCAAAAACAAAATGAACAGTGTTATATCATAATATATCCCTATTCTTTTTGGTGCCCTCTAAACACCACCATACGGAGCCTGCCCCAGGTCAGCAAGAGCATCTCCAACTTGGACCTTCGCAGCGCCGGCGGCAATCCCGATCCCTGGGAGCAACGGAAGTTGCTGGAGGAGTTTGGAAGGTGCGAGGAGTGCTGAGCAGTTGCTGATGGATTTTCTGAGCAAGTTTCTTCCATGTAATACAAGACCATATATATATACATATATATATACATTTATATATATATACAAATATATATATATATACATATATATATACATATATATATATACATATATATATATACATATGTAGAACCATTTACTATAGGGTTAACTATATATATATATATTTAATTACAGTATAAGTTTTTATCAATATATATATATATATATTTATACATATATACATAGATTGCCTGACCTTATATCTACACTATGTTTCCACATGTATATGATTATACATTACATAGTCAACAAATTTACCAATTTACGGGTTATACCTGGTTGAATGTACAAGAAGAAAAATGTTTAAGCATTCCATACTATATTTGCTTCCGGATGATCATATCTATATATACATACACAATGCGTTTAGTGATATTTGTAGCTGTCGACACTGAAAACATACACTGGCAGTGTGTATTCATGGAATATATATATATATACACAATGAAATCAGTAGCCAGTAAATTGATGGAACCATCATATATATATATACACACATTGTTTTTGTTCCTGGGCAAAGGGTGCAATTGACATGATATAGTAGGTTTAGGGATAGGTTGGTTTACCAGCAACTTTGTTGGAATGCCAAGGATATAAGTGCAGAAGATAGACCAACTATACTTGCTAGTACATATGTTACATTTAGGTCAAACTTGCATGTTTTGCCCAGCACGTAAGACAATATATATATATATAAAAGGTTTAAATCGTTAGTTGTTTCTGTTCCCAATCTAAAAAGTGGTTGACTGACACGTTGCTTGAGTTTATGCTATTTATCATCATCTACATCACCATCAGCACCATCATCATCACCATCATCACCATCATCACCATCACCATCATCATCATCATCATCACAGGGTGGTGCCCCATAGTTAGCTAAGTTGGTTTATAAGTCCAATTTAACTATGGTTTATAGGTGATATATCGAACTAGTTAATGGGATTATATGGGATTATAACCCATTTATAACTTGGGGGGGCACCACCTTGCATCAACACGATATATGTGTATATAACATGTACATTACCATCGGCTTCTCACCGCAGGCGTGGTGGCGTCAGCGCGCTGCGGAGCTTTCTGATGGAAGGTCTCAGCTCCATCCACCGGCGAGGTGCAGCGACGAGCGTCGGGTCGGGTCTTCCCGGGGAAGGGATAGATGTCAGTGATTTGAAGAGCATAGAAGTAGATATTAATGTTGGATTATATGTCTTATAAATAAATAAATCAATATATATATATACATATGTATGTATATCATACTTTGGATGAATATATGTATAAATATATATATATATATATACATATATATATATACGAGCGTCGAGGTTTCCCATGCCCAAACAAATGTTGATGCAATTTCACAAAATTCCTATGGGAAAAACAACAAAGGTACTAGGGAATATTAAACTCCCACCCCCGTTAAACTTCTACATTCATTGAAGATCTTCAATAAGGGTTTAATTCTGCTGCTGTACCAGAGGGCCTTCCACCTCCCGAACAGGAGGAAACGGAGAGAGGAGAAAGCCGTGAACCATCTGTGATGAAGAAATCCCCGATGACCCAGAGAGCATCAAAAGGACTAAGAAGGAAGTGGAAATTCTTCAAGCGATTCCGCCTTTGCTGGAAAAAGTACAGGCTGGTTTCGAATTGACCAACAAGGCCCTTGCCTGTGTGCGCGACCAGTATCAGTAACAAGAGCAAACCCAAAAGGACCTGGCGGCATTCGCCGCGGAATACTCTTCCGACAAAGTCTCTGTCAAGTACAGCATGGCACACATTCAAGGTCTCAAGGCCAACCTTGAACAGATAGAGTGGCTGATGATGATGATGATGATGATGATGATGATGCGTCGCCTGTCGTCATTGCAGGTACGGGCAAAGCCCAGGCATTTGCCGTATATATATATATATATATACGGCAACGACATTTAAATATTTTGAGGGCGGGCCAAACCGCGAAGCCCCGGAGGTAGTATGAAATACCAGTTCGTATATTTAAATGTAGTTACGGTATGTTTAAATGAATTGGATTCCGTATGTTTAAATGGCTGGGCGGGCCAAGGAAAACCTTCCCGGAGGTAGTCTAAAATACCTGTTCGTATATTTAAAAATCCGTATATTTAAATGTAGTTACCGTATATATATATATATGCGTACATGCACAATATAATTATATGTAAAGATCATATGTTAGAGATAGATAGATAGAAAGAAAGAAAGATAGATGTGTAGGTATATTTAAATATTAAGAACGCCAAGCTTTCAGAGGAAACATGCCCAACAAGAACACAGAGGCGTTGGTATATGTGAGATGGAACTCCAAATACGCAGGTGTAGGCCTGGAGGACACAATTGATATAGTTTCAGGCAACCAGCAAAGAAAATGAAGTCTGGCATGATTTATTGAAATCACGTGGCATGTTCTTGAAAACACATTTCCAAATTCATTTACATACAAATTGAACATGCATATGTTGTATCAACCTCTGCATACATACATCAGTATACCCATACAAATTGAAGGTACCGAAATTGATTTCTTGCCGTCACTTACTCCAGATGTTTCACAATATGAGTTGTTTATCCAATTTGATCTCCCGACGTTGGGCATTCGGGACCAAAACAGATCGAAATGTTTGAATTACTGAATGATACTGAATGTACATGATATACAATACATATCTGACTGGTGGTTTCGAACATTTTGTATTTTCCACAATATATGGGATAATCCTTCCAATTGACATTGACTAATATTTTTCAAGATGGTTAAAACCAACAACCAGATATTAACACATTCAATGTATATAAATCTGGGTAAATTATAGTGACCTCACCGCGACCTCACTGGAAATCACAGGTTTGTATAGGGGAAGTATCCCCAAATAGCCTTATTTCAGATAAGTGAAATATTATGATTTACCCAGATGTATAATTATGAAGTTTACCCTCCAGTAAACCTATGGAACGTGGCCATTTATAGATGATTTAGCTACAAAACATGGTGATTTACCTTATATAACACTGTTTTATATTTCTTTGTGCTAAGGCACATGTAAACAAACATAACTATGGAAAATCACCATTTTATAGCTGGGCAAATCAACTATTTCTATTGGCCATGTTCAATAGCGAACTGTAACAAATTAATTACCAGAGGGTAATCCCATATCATTCCATGATTCTGCGTTGTTAGTTAAGCCATTAATAACCATTAAGTGACATTAAATCACCATTAAATCACCATTAAATCACATTGTTTTTTATCACCATTATATAAATCACCATTAAATCACCAATGAATCACCAATGAATCACAATTAAATCACCTTTTTTATCACCATTAAATCACCATTTGTAGTGGTTAAATTACCAGAGGCTAAGTCACATGTCCATCTCCTTTCCATCTCGAGGCCAGGAAATCTTTCTCCAGGCATCACGGGCGGATGCAGGCGCCGACGCGGATCTGTGGATGGAAAATCCTGAGTTGATAGGTGGTTTATGAATGTTTATGCATGTTTATGGTGGTTTATCCATGTTTATCAACTTGTTTATCAACTGTTTATCAACTGTTTATCAACTGTTTATCAACTGTTTATCAACTGTTTATCAACTGTTTATCAACTGTTTATCAACTGTTTATTCAACTGTTTATTCAACTGTTTATCAACTGTTTATCAACTGGTTAATCCCATTATTGACGGTGGTTTCACCCATCCTTTTGGTGGTGCAGGATTTGGCAACCATCTGTTGCTTGTGGCATATGTGCCACGCCGAGCATTGATGACTCGTTGATGTTGCACACATTTTGATGGTGAAATGATATCCCCAACAGTTGATATCTGGAATCCTGGGACCTTTTACCACCTTGTTTCAGCTGAGAGATGTACAAGCAATCTAAGTAATCGAACATGACAGTGGAAAAAGAACATGTCTATGAGTCTATGGCAGTCTATGGGCAATTTGTTTGACCTTATGGTAAATTCCATGTAATTTCAATCCAACAATGCATACAGTACCCAGTAGCCATTCCGTTGGAATATGATGAAAGAGAACACAAAATCGTAAAATTGGATAGTGTTCATTTTCATATCCAGTGGAAGCAAATTAGACAAACCAACACAAAATGGAGTGTTTGTCGCTTTGTACGAACCTACACAATAAACTCGGGTTGTGATACGTTGGAATATCAGGGATGTGCACTGTACGACTGTTATGAATCACATATATATATGGAATTACATATTGGTGTATCCACCGTGACTGTCCAATTTGTTCTATATTGAGCGTAACCTACTTCAGTTGAGGATTGCCACAAGAATCTGGGAAGTACAATCCTGCTTTCGTTTCATGCAATGACACATCAATCCACAAGACGGTACGGATGAGGATGGTATGAATGGGCACTGCAACCAACTGGCACTAAGCCTTCTATAGGGCTGTAGATTCAGACTGTACACTGTAGATCGAACATCTAATTTATTGCAACATATTGCAAAAACAGCTAGAACCCAGTATCAACAATATTTGTGTTTCTTTCAACTGGCCTCAATTTTCTATCAACCATCTATACATCATATTCCAGTTGTGTGAAATCTTCGGGTGTGCCTTCCCTTTCTTCGAACGACCTAGCCGCGGTGGTCGCGTTCCACTTCATATCTGATGGATTCAGCCACCAAGCTCCCAAGGCCAAACACAGACGCAGAAGGTGTTGGAAACCATAGGCTTGATTACAGTATTGGTTTGTTGATAATCCCAATAGGAATTATTTCATTCATGTGCAGGAGAATCCATTCATCCCCAGCTCTAAAAAAACATCTTATACCCTGGGGTAAACGTTTACATAGATGTGGAACACCAATGGTTTCCCGTTCGGAACATGATCTACAAATGGGGGATTTTCCACATCGAACTGTTAGTTTAGCCCATGGTATTTATACTGCATATAAAGTAACTTATCCCCAAGTATCAGTTGTTTGATTTCGAAGCCCCCACAGTGCGGCCAGAAATTTGCATCAGGCAAGACGAGCAGCAAGAGCGACGTCTTCGACAGTGACCGCGGCTGGGCTGAAGGAATGGCATGTATTCCAGGAAACAAATGGAAATTTCTTAAAATAGGGAATGCCCCCATTTTAGGAAACCTCCATATGTAATCATATGTTTTTTTTTTTCAAAACCATAGGTCTGGGTGAGACCCGTTGGCACCACTACAGCAGCTGTTCGTCCTAAAGGTGAATTAAAAAGACTGTCAAAAAGGATCTTCTCGGTTGAGAGCCCATGTTTTTATTTGTTCACGGTGTTCCCTGTTCTGTATTTGAAATGGTATATTGTGAAATTTTCTGCGCCAGCAATCTTTCATTGTTTCATACGTCCACGCCGCTCTAGGGCGACCCACCCTTCTTTGTTCTACTTGTTGTGGCAAAAGATTTCTTGTAGCGAAAGTGGCTTGATGTTGTGGGTGATCTCTTGGTCTTCTGATTATATGCCCCAATACTTTTCTTCGCTTTTCCTGTAGAACATCACTTAGTGGACGGATGATTTCCTCTGCGCCTCGGCCCATTTCCAAATTAGCACGTCTGTAGACTTCATGGTTGGTATTTGTTCGGTCGATGTAGGTTGTGGACATTTTCAAGATTTTTCTGAGACCTTTTAATTGGAAAGTATCCAGTTTACTTGCCGCGGCTTCTGTTGGTTGCAGTGCTTCCAGGCTGTACAAGAGTTTGGAAACACAAACTGCGTTAAATACTTGAATTTTCCATTTGGTTGGCACCCGCGCTTGTTTCCAGAACAAGTCAACTCTTTTCAGTATCGGCATTGTGCTCGAGATGCGTCGATTGATTTCAATCTTAGGGTGCACCCTTTTACTGATCTGCGTTCCCAAATAGATAGTTTCGTCCACACTTTTCAACTTTTGCCCATCTGCAAACGTGATTTGATTGTTTCTGTTGTAGGTGATGCATACGCATTTGTCTCTGTTTAGTTTTATGTTGTAGTATTCTGATTCTTCTTCGATGTATCTCAGGTAATCTTTTGCAGTTTGGGTGTTTTTGGCAACGACTAGAGTGTCGTCTGCGTACAAAAGTTCTTGAAACGTCATGTTATTGACAGTTTTCTGGAAAAACGCATCATTGTTCTTGCACCTCACATCGGAAAAAAATACGTTCATCATTAAAATAAATAGATAAGGCGATAGCGGACATCCCTGTCGTATGCCAGAGTGCTGTTTTTTCCTTTCGCTTTCTTCAGTATTATGGATTGTTTTGAAGAATGGATGCTCATACAAAGCCTTAATGTTGTTGATCATTTTGGCGTCAATCTTCATTCGTTCCAGAGCTTCAAGTAACCTGTGGTGTGATATTCTGTCAAAGGCCTTTTCCCAGTCTAAGAAAATTAATATTATGTTTTGGTGTCAGGCTTCTGCCAGGTCTTGTAATCGGCGCACGCAGAATAGAGGTTCTGAAGTACTTTTGCCCCTCCTGAATCCAAATTGTGTGTCACTTACAAACTGATCAGTGGCGTCTGCAATTCTTTTCTGCAATATTTTGGTCATAATTTTGTATGATGAGTTCAGCAAAGAAATAGGACGGTAGTGTTCAGGAAGCTCTGGGTTGCCTTTTTTATAAATAGAAACCACTTCTGCGTAGGCAAAATCATCAGGGTACGACTCTTCAGTCCACTATTGTTCTCTATTTCCATAGGTTCTTTTACGCATAACCCATCCATCAGTGAGCGACACTCAGGCTCTGCCACGGCCTATGAAGATTCAGATGCCACCGAGGAGCGACCAAGGTGGAAAGCCGGCACGGTGGAAACATGTGGAAACCGAAACGAAGCCTGAAGAATACGTGGTTTCAACGATCAACCAGGTGGGATTACCATGGAAAATCACCATTTTTAATAGGGAAACCATCTATAAATGGGCAATTTTCCATGGCTATGTTAGTCATAACCAGAGGGTAAAGCAAACAGGAATGGGAACAATAGTTAGCTAAGTTAGTGTAGAAGTATCTTGAGTGTCAGGAGTTAACTGGGAGTATAAAGCAACAAACACCACCACGTGCGGAGCAACACACTGCAGGTGTGAATCAACCAAGGCAGGTGAGGAGTCATCAAAGATGGACCCCCTATGCAAAATGGAAGTTGATTTACAGCAAGCCAACTAGCTTTAGTAGTTATGTTTATGCATATTTATACGGTGCAGATATGTACATTATATTATATATATACTATATACATTTATTTCTTTTTGCATAGATATATGATATGTTTGCAGTTGGATGGGTGAAAACATCTTAGCTGAGAACTGGGGGGAGGATATCACATGATTCATCGCCCCAGATCCACCGTTCAGGTCAGAAAAGAAGGCTGAAGAACTGCCAGAAAGCGAGGCCAAAGTGATGCTTTCTTGGGCGAAAAAAATCGAAGAAAATCTCCGGTGAATGTCTATTACCCATGACGGATCCATGGTGCTGGTATATATGCTAACATTGGGGGTATATTGATGGGATCCATGGAGCACCATATATGGCAGCACCATGGATCCGTCATGGGTTATGAAGAATTTCACCTTAAAATAACGAGATTTCACCGACAGCCCCCTTTACAGTGCGGGGACAGCCCCACTTTCCGGCGGCAGGAAACACACGAAATTGACCCTGAAGATGGCGATACGTTGATGGCTGCTTGGACCATGGCCATTGCGGCATGTGGAGAAGTCCATCCATAGCCAGTTTTGATGCTACGTTTTCCACCCTGGGACAATACCAATATGTATAGAATTGAAACCACCAAGGAACTTGGGACTTCTACAAGACAGGTCTGGGTTTGAGGCTTTGATTTCGCTGTTTCAATTTGATAATTTATTGATTACCCAAAACATTGACAGGTTGGTGCCTCTAGAGCATCTTGAAGTTTGCACATGCAAGATCCTATTGGGAATGATGATCCTTACTTCCCAGTAGAATATAGTAGAATTCCATTTCCAAGTAGCTGTGGCTCAACATTCTTGGATATTCTTTAGCCACAAAAACTGGATGGCTTCAAATCCTCAAAATGACGAAATGATAAGCCCCGCACAGTTGTAAAGCCTGGAAATATGAAGCAAATATAATCTGTAATAACATCTTCGTTTCACACAACCTTCCGCATGATGTTTTGGGTTACACAAAAGCCATGTTCAAGGTCCATTTTGGCCCGCATATCCAGGTGATTGACTGTATGGTCATGATATTCACTCATTCCTCCCATGAAGATTTACACATATTTGGAGTTTTCCTGAAATAGAAGTACCCCCAAATTATCTATTTGTTTAAAGGATTTCCCAGGAAAAAAAACACATCCCACTATTGGGGTACCCCCATGACTATGGAAACCCCCATTTAGGACCATAGAATGGGCCTGTTTAATACTAGGATGAGCCTGAGGTTGCCGCGTCAACTCCCAGGCGCAGGGTGCCACTGGATGTTTCCAATGTATTTTGCCCAGAAAGATGGGAAAAAAAAACACTGAAAAACCAGTGAAACATGGACGTGTAACCACGAGAAATTGGACATTACCTTTGAACTAGGACTTATCTATTATGTTCTCATTTTGAGAGAAAATATCACCTGAAAAATGTGATCAGCATTGTGGTTGCCCACCCCCGGCAAAAAATGCAATGTGGATAGACAACATACATATATATATATATATATACACATAAACCCTGATAAATCATGACAAATCCTGAATTAGTGGTGATGGCATTAGATGGATAACGTTTGTACGTGTATGTATATATAAATATAATCATTCAATATCCATTACACATAGTGGGTGTGCAATACATCATGTGATAGAGATGATAAAGATACTAGTAATACATATTACACACAAAGTCCGGCTCCAGGCGGGATTTCTGCTGGGTGCACTACACTGTTTCGGTGTTTTAAGTCATATTGTTGGTTACCTATATGATCCTATATGGATATGGGCCTGGGTCAAAATTGGGCAGCACACAAATGCATTGTTCTGAAGACTGAAGAAGGTTTGGCTAGATTTAGCAGCAAAGGTCAACCTTTTTTACCCATGTGGCATCTTTTGGTGCGGTCTTTTCAGCATATTGGTGGTCCAGATTTGTCGGGTTCCTCCTACGGATGTTTCAGCGCTTCATGTGGCTAACAGCTCTTCTGTATGTAGACAACATTCTCTTCATGCAACCACGAGCCATTATGCCTGTGTCTGCAGCCTTGCAATGTGAATGGGATTAAATGTAGCAATGTGAATGAAACTGTTGTGGTCTTACGCGCTTATTTTGGATTCGTCATGGAATATTGACCAATATGGACCTTGGAATATGACGCCTGCCACACCCGGCACCCAAAAAACAGCCGGTTGAGTGGTGAATCTGTTGGGACGAATCCATGGACCTTCTGGTACGGAAACCGTTTTCAAGCAACTAGTAACATACTAGGAGATGGGATAGGGGTATTGAACTTCGCTAACTAGGGCTTTAAATTTAGTTATAAACAACTTAAGGCTTATTAAGCTACGGTAACGACATTTAAATATGTGGAGGGCGGGCCAGACCGCGAGGCCCCGGAGGTATGAAATACCAGTTCGTATATTCAAATGTAGTTACCGTATGTTTAAATGAATTGGATTCCGTATGTTTGAATGGCCGGGCAGGCCAAGGAAAACCTTCCCGGAGGTAGTCTAAAATACCTGTTCGTATATTTAAAAGTCCGTATATTTAAATGTAGTTACCGTATAGTTATTCACCAAGTTATTAGTTATCAGTATTAATAGTATCATATAACCCTATTAACAACTATAGTTTTTTTATCTAGGGGGCCGCCTGGTTCCTTGTGTTGCAATGCCAGGGACGAAGGTGAAGGTGCAGAAGTGCAGCGACAAAGCGACCCCTGCGATCCCTGTGCCTCCGACTTCAACGGCGAATGGGTAGATTACTTGGGGGAAGCCCATGAAAACTTGCGATTTAACCAAACATGATTAAAAAAGATGATTTAACCATTTTAGACCAAGAAAATGATGAATACAGTGTGGTTTAACTTGAGAAGAAAAACAACAGATTTAATCATGACAAGTGATATTTAGGCATATTAGGCAGTGAATCCATGAAAAATGGTGGGATGTTCTGGGGACTCCAACAATTATTGTGTGGAAATGCAATGACTATAATCAATGTTATGTATATATATATATGTATATATATATATAAGTATATGTATATAATTATATATATAAGTATATATATAAGTATATATATAAGTATATATATATATAAGTATATATATAAGTGTATATATATAAGTATTTAAATATATATATATATAAGTATATATATAAGTATATATATATAAGTAAGAAACAATATGATTGTTGGTTTTGTTTGAAACATGGTGTGTCTGTGTGTGTGTTTCCCAAATGGCAATTTTAATAGAACATATAATGATCAACCATCAAATGTTGGATTACCCTATTTTCAGGCATACCCTTCCCTGAGTGTTAATGACTGTTTGGATTTGCATTGTATCAGTTGTTTCTTCAATGAAGGAACATTGGTGGATGATGTCAATTCTTTGAACAAGAGCAAGTCTGCTTTCTTTCAAAAGCCTTCTTGACTTCCAACATTTTTGCCACCAACATCCACACTGCAAGGACTGCTCGGTGGATTCAATCATCTTGATCTTTGCCCTAGGATGATCTCACATTTGACCAACTAACATGCTGATACATTCTTCGGATTTCACATGTTTCTTTTGTGCGTTTTTTTTCCCCTTTGCATCCTCAACAAATATGCTTGAGAAACCACACGGCAAGCCGCAAAAAGCGCTGAGGTGAACCACCCGTTGGGGCACTCGGGGGGGCACTTGAGGATTTACCCTTTGGTACAAGGTGGTTGCCCCCCCCAGTTCTAAGTTAGTTTATAACCCCCATTAAGTATAGGTATACTCCCCATGGTTAATAAATGGTGGATTAATGGTGCATTACTGTAAAGGTGAATAAATGTTAGGAACCCCCATTGAGTATAGGTATATCTACTAAAACCCAAGTTATTGGAGTTATGTGATTCGGAACTGGGGCACCACCAAGCGTAACAGTTTGCCATGGAACATCACCACTGAGTTCGGCGAGTTGGAGTAGTTTACTGGAGGCTTTCGTCCCTAAAGATGCGGGAGATGATCAAAGTGTGAAACCTGGGGATATTCTATATCCCATAGGATCCATGTATGGTATATATGCTAACATTAGGGGTATATTGATGGTAAATGTTACCATATATAACATACACGGATCCTATGGGTATGGGATTTCATTAGATTATCGCCACTATGATATTTTAAAATATATTTTCTTGGCTTGTCCGAAATTGAATACCCCAAATTGGTCATGTCAATAGAATGAGAATCAACCATGAGATTGTGTTTGCCCTATTCTCAGACAAACCTGTATGAAACTGTCATTTTACCACGGGCTTTCCGGCTGGGAACCATCCATATATGTTCAGGATCAAGCCAATGACATGGTGTATGCCTTTGCAGACCAAGCTCATCTACAAACGGGTTTCTCATAGAACTACAATCGGGTTCAAAATTGAGAGCAAGCAGTGCCCTAAAGGATTCTTGGGATTGGGGGAATCCTTCCCGGAATGGCAAAAACTTCCACTTTCGGAATGATTCGAACCATTCCAATGTGCCGTGCCCAAATGAATCCACAATTGTGTTTCAACATTGTTTTTAACATGGTTTAAATGAATTTAACTGTGTTTAACGATGTTTTATGGGAAGACCTAGAATTGGGTTTCCCTAGAATTTAGGAAGCAGCCCCTGGCGTAAATTCAAAGGTGATCCGTCAGCAACGTCAGCATTGTCTATTTTTCAGTGCAGAGAATTGCAGGTGTTCACCTCAACCAGAACAGGTGTTACCCTCTGGTAAACGTTTACATAGCTATGGAAAGTTCCACCATGCTATTAATGGGAAAACTCACTATAAATGGCCATTTTCACCCATCTCGATTGATTATCCCACAAAAAAATAGGTGCGACATTCTGAAGTGATATGGAAAGATTCATGGAAACCGAAATCCTAAACCACCGGAATGGCTTTCCGTTTTGGAAACATATCATGGCAGGAGCCGCTCGGGGTGAAAACCTCGGGCCAGGAATCATCGGTCTCAGCACCATGCAGGCCTGGGAATTCTGGGCAAACATGAGGAATTCCTATCTATCAATGGGGGGTCGTAGCTGGAAAAAAAACATCGAACTAAATGGGGGTTTCCATAAATGGGAGAAGCCCAATAGCTGGTTGGTTTATAATGGAAAAAACACAATGTGTAAATGGATGAAAAATGGGGGTACCCCGGTACCTCCTTTTCAGGTGAATCTTTGTGAATTGTCCAGCAAGCCATGTTTAGATCAAAAATACCAGAGGGATATGGTCGGATAGAGGGTACCACTTTCCCCAAATATTGGGTTGGAGCGACCCTGATAGATATCATTATATAATTATTATTTATGTCGTTTACTGTTAATGTATTGTGTAATCAAGGGATGTTTTATGGGGTTTAAACATCAACTTGAGAACATGGGATATTCATGATGATGATTGAATCAACAGCGTAACACCTAATGTTCCGCAGGGAATCATCTCCGCGAACTCTTGGCGATGTTGACGTTGAGAAAAATATCAAATCCTCTTTGTGTGGATACCAGCCTTTTGTAGTAGAAGCACTGAGTGGAAGTTCATACAGTGGTTTTCCAAAACCATTGGAAGATTTCAGCTGTGCTGTCTTGGCTGAGTCAACCGTTGATGGGTACTTTCGTACTTTAGTTTGTTCCTATAAATGGGAATATATTGACCTAACCTCAGGAATCCCGCCAGTTCTAAGTTCGTGGAGAAGCCCATCAAACTATAGATATATCGCACCTTAAATCCGAGTTAGCCTAGATATTATAAACCCATTTATCTATGTGTAGAATCTAGGGGGGTGGCCCTTGCTGCAACTAAAAGTGTCATTTGGTTTGCAGGCTATCTTCAGATTGGTCATGTTGGAAGATGCTCCATTGACGGCGTTTTCTGCAGGTTGCTGGTTGGTGCTCCATCGCCCGGCAGAGGCCTTGGAAGCTGGGGATGAGGGAAGTTTAGTGCTATTGATATTTGGGGTTTTCCATAAATGGGGGATGCCCAAAATGGTTGGTTTATAAGGAGTATGTTTAAACATTTTTTTTTGCCCCAAGACCCAAAGCAACTCTGGGCCCTTCAAAGTGTCATGCGCGTTCCTTCGCTTTGCTTAAAGGTATAGGATTTGCACGCTGCGAGGGTTTCTTCATCTGTATGGCTGTGAAATGCCTGAGGGTCACCCGCCTAGACATCACTTCAGCCTCGCTTGGCAAAAACTGGTGGGCCAGGAAAGAAAGCAACGTTGAAAGAAGTAAATCGCTGCTGTCGAGTGACTGGGCCGGACTTAAAGTGGTTTGGATTCTGAGGATTGTTCGATTAACTGTACCCTCTGGGAATCAAACATGGCAATTGAAAATCCCTTATACAGTAAAACGATGCTTTACTGGGAAAACTTTTATAACTAATGGTGGATTTTCCATTGCAATGTTTGATTGCCGGAGGGTATATAGATTATGATGTGGTATGCCCAATAAAATGTGCCATTTGTTGGCATTCTTTTTCAGGGTTCCAAGGCTCTAAATGCTAGAGGTAGGCTGTCAACTTGCTACGCCTGTTGTTTCTGTTGGAGTTGCTTTTATGGGTAAAACCATTATTGATGCACCCCCATAAGCTGGGGTATACACTCCGTTGCACTTCGAAGTGATTCACGGATATCGCTTACCCTAGACATTGAGATGTCAAATGGTAGTATACTGTAGATGTTGCGTACCTGGCAAGCATTGGTAAGCCAAGATGCTGGATGCTCAAATCCTTATTACAGGAATGATCAATGATCCTACAAGAAAAAGGAAAGTGGTGTGGGAATCAGCAGGTGCTGAAGCACCATCCCTCACTGCTTTCAAATTCTTCTTGCAAAGAAGATGCGATCTCTCAACTTTCAGAGCTTCCGATGTCATTGAGATTCTGTGAGCTTGCTTCCCAACCACGTGGTAGAAAAAGTCTAAGAATCTCGCTTGACACCACAAACATGGTTCAAAAAGCAGCCAGATGATCGTAGCTTGTCATCACCAGCTCCATGAACCCGTACAAATGCATTTGGGCAAACTATTGGCTTCACAACGATGCCAAAAATAGGGGATGTAAGTGGTCATCATTAGAGACCTGGTTGGTGCTTTGGAACATGAATTTTATTTTTCCATTCAGTTGGGAATTTCATCATCCCAACTGACGAACTCCATCATTTGTTCAGAGGGGTGGCTCAACCACCAACCAGAATTATTACTATATTTGGGAGAATAATCATCCATTGGTCCATTAACCAGCTATTTTAGGGTACCTATTCCCTATTTGACAGAGACGTTGTTTTGTTTTTTCAAGTTTCTGCGTTGATAGTTGTCCGGTTTGATCGAGATAGTTGTCGGGTGCCCAAAATTTTGATGGTGAATTAGTCCCTACGATTTTTGTCATTGTATGGGGTACCCCATTTTCAGACAAACGTGTATATATATATATATATATATACATATCTACATACGTATATATATATATAGTATATACACATATACATATATATATATATATATGGGTGCCTCAAGCATGTTTTCTTCTGTCCAGTTGCAATGACACGCCACATCGAGGTGAGCAAGTCACAAAGATGGAAGCTGAGCTGCAGTTGGACCAGCTATGGACTCTGTGGCACACGTGGATATCCTAAAATGCAAGTGTTTTTTTTAATGGAGAACATGTGGAGAAAATGATGAACCACGGGTAATTACCCTATCTTACCCTATCTTTAGACAAATCCATTTAGTGGTTGTATCCAATGTTTCTGATTTGGTAAAAAGCTGTGTGAGAGGATGCAAACATGATTGGAGAGTCTTGCCCTCCGTCACAGAGAGCCCCAACTTCCCCAGTTTAGCCAACTTACCATGGCGGCTTACTTACCTGTCAAACCAAGGATCGAACCGGCACCATTGAATCATCCAGGCTTGCAGCGGTGTTCATCTTTTGTTCAGCTTGTAAGGTGGCATGAATGGAAGTGCTTGACCATTTCCCATGCCTTGCAAAGTCTTGGATCGTGTGCAACAACTATGACGATTGCAGAATTTCTGTTCTCAGTTGGTGCTGGCACTTTGCAGGGACAGCGAAAGGATTAGAGATCCATCTGCTGGTGTTGCAGCAGCAGTCGAGGATCCGCTTTCCCTCACACAAGCGGAGAGGCGACGCCGGGAGATGCAAAGACCAGTGAAACTGTGTGAAAGCAAGTTCTGGAATCTTTGCCCAATGAAACGATTCTTTTCTTGAATCTTAGACACGGAACATGGATTGTTTTTTTTTCCTTACTGGATGGGCCCATTACAAAAATGTGTTCAAAAGCAGTAGCTCTTTGAAGCCAGGGTCGCCTGCCAGGCAAGAAAGTGGTGGAAGAACTTTATCGATAACAGAGAGTGGCTTAGCTACACTGCAAGTTGTCATTGCTGAGAGCTGAACAATGTTTTTGTTGTCCTGCAAAAAGGGGCCTGACGACGCCAGCGTGTGAAGTTGTTGCATGGTTTGATTTTCACATCCACATAATTAGATATAATAAATAATAGATATAATTATATTTATTCATTCATAATTATATATCATGTCCTTTCTTTTCAACATTGAATGAACCAGATAATTCTGAAAACTTCTCAAGATTAACAACTTTCAAGCCACTTTGGTTGTTCTGAGATGTTCTGCGCCTATGTTGCAATGACCACGGATGATCTGGGGATTCAACTTGAGGTGAGACAAGCCAAAAGGTGGAAACGGAGCTGCACTAGACTGGCTGTTAGGGACGTTTTCTGTGACAAATTCTGTTGTATTTTACACAAGCGATTTTAAGAACTTACATGATAGACATGATGATGCTCTCCAGAATGGAGAAGTTGTTCATCGTTTTGTATTGCAAGCTTGGCTCTATTGCTGTTCTACATAATTTTCTAGAGTGTCACCACTCGAGGGCACTCCCAGCTCTTGGTTTGCAGACCAACCATGGTGACCGCTGTGACTACGAAGACTGTACGCTGGAAGTTATGAGTTTACAGAATTAGACGAGTTACAACATGTATATAAACCTTCTATAACATGTCTATAACCTGCTTGCAAGTATGTAAAGTGTCATAACATTTGATAAGTAATTTGTAAGTTTAGCTAGCCGGCTACGAGAAGTTGTAAATGTTTAGGTAAAATATAAATGGTTAATGAACTTATCGTAAGTATCTTAACTGCATGTTTTCTTTTTATAACTATGTTAACAGACTTAACATAAGTATGTAGGAAAAGTTATCATAAGTTATCTGAAAGTTAACAAAAGTTATAAAAAGTTACAAAAAGTTAGTATAAAGTTATATAAAGTTTAAAATATGTTTGCAAGAGGGCAATGAAAATGTTTCTTTATTTTACATTTTTCGAGAGTTTCATTAAGTTTGTGACAGCTATAGTTTAGCTATAGTTTAGCTATAGTTCAGCTATAGTTCAGCTATAGTTCAGCTATAGTTCAGCTATAGTTCAGATAAAGCTAGCTATAGTTCAGATAAAACTAGCTATATTTCAGACAAAAATATCTATAGTTCAGAAAAGAATGGCTATAGTTCAGACATAAATAGCTATAGTTCAGATAAAAATGGCTATAGTTCAGATAAAAATGGCTATAGTTCAGACAAAAATAGCTATAGTTCAGACAAAACTAGCTATAGTTCAGAATAGAAGTCGCTATAGTTCAGACAAAACTAACTATAGTTCAGACAAAAATAGCTATAGTTCAGACAAAAATAGCTATAGTTCAGATAAAAATGGCTATAGTTCCGAAAAAAATGGCTATAGTTCAGACAAAAATATCTATAGTTCAGAAAAAAATGGCTATAGTTCAGACAAAACTAGCTATAGTTCAGACAAAAATAGCTATAGTTCAGATAAAAATGGCTATAGTTCAGATAAAAATGGCTATAGTTCAGATAAAAATGGCTATAGTTCAGTTTAAAAAAAAAACATGTCGCCTCAGGTGTCATGATTCCTGAAACATACATAACTGAAACGCTTTCACATCACTTCGTCGATTCAAAAAAAAGGATATCATATCTGAAAGTTCTTTCAGAAACAAGACAGTTATAAAATCCACGTGGTCGGAAACCAAGGCAAAGACTTTCAAAAGTATAAAAATATACAAAAAAGTTACAAAAAGTTATGAAAAGTTATAAAAAGTTAGCAGAAGTTATAAAAAGTTAGCAGAAGTTATAAAAAGTTAAGACAAAACTTACAAATAAGTTATTAAAGTTAACATAACTTCCTTTTATCTTTTTGATAAGTCATGTTAACTTCCAACATAAATCCTTTAACTTCTGTATATCTAGGCTAAGTCTGTAAAGTCTTATAACTTTAAGCGTACAGTCTTCGTACCTGTCAGACCCAGGATCGAACCAGCACCATTGAATCATCCAGGCTTGGAGTCGTGTTTTTTTTCTTAATCTTTTGTTCAGCTTGTGATGTGGCATGAGGCATGAATGGAAGTGCTTGACCATTTCCCATGCCTTGCAAAGTCTTGGGTTGTGTGAATTGCAGAATTTCTGTTCTCAGTTGGTGCTGGCACTTTGCAGGGACAGCGAACGGATTAGAGATCCATCTGCTGGTGTTGCAGCAGCAGTCGAGGATCCGCTTTCCCTCACACAAGCGGAGAGGCGACGCCGGGAGATGCAAAGACCAGTGAAACTGTGTGAAAGCAAGTTCTGGAATCTTTGCCCAATGAAACGATTCTTTTCTTGAATCTTAGACACGGAACATGGATTGTTTTTTTTCCTTACTGGTTGGGCCCATTACAAAAATGTGTTCAAAAGCAGTAGCTCTTTGAAGCCAGGGTCGCCTGCCAGGCAAGAAAGTGGTGGAAGAACTTCATCGATAACAGAGAGTGGCTTAGCTACACTGCAAGTTGTCATTGCTGAGAGCTGAACAATGTTTTTGTTGTCCTGCAAAAAGGGGCCTGACGACGCCAGCGTGTGAAGTTGTTGCATGGTTTGATTTTCACGTCCACATAATTAGATATAATAAATAAGAGATATAATTATATTTATTCATTCATAATTATATATCATGTCCTTTCTTTTCAACATTGAATGAACCAGATAATTCTGAAAACTTCTCAAGATTAAGAACTTTCAAGCCACTTTGGTTGTTCTGAGATGTTCTGCGCCTATGTTGCAATGACCACGGATGATCTGGGGATTCAACTTGAGGTGAGACAAGCCAAAAGGTGGAAACGGAGCTGCACTAGACTGGCTGTTAGGGACGTTTTCTGTGACAAATTCTGTTGTATTTTACACAAGCGATTTTAAGAACTTACATGATAGACATCATGATGCTCTCCAGAATGGAGAAGTTGTTCATCGTTTTGTATTGCAAGCTTGGCTCTATTGCTGTTCTACATAATTTTCTAGAGTGTCACCACTCGAGGGCACTCCCAGCTCTTGGTTTGCAGACCAACCATGGTGACCGCTGTGACTACCTGTCAGACCCAGGATCGAACCAGCACCATTGAATCATCCAGGCTTGGAGTTGTGTTTTTTTTCTTAATCTTTTGTTCAGCTTGTGATGTGGCATGAGGCATGAATGGAAGTGCTTGACCATTTCCCATGCCTTGCAAAGTCTTGGGTTGTGTGAATTGCAGAATTTCTGTTCTCAGTTGGTGCTGGCACTTTGCAGGGACAGCGAAAGGATTAGAGATCCATCTGCGGGTGTTGCAGCAGCAGTCGAGGACCCGCTTTCCCTCACACAAGCGGAGAGGCGACGCCGGGAGATGCAAAGACCAGTGAAACTGTGTGAAAGCAAGTTCTGGAATCTTTGCCCAATGAAACGATTCTTTTCTTGAATCTTAGACACGGAACATGGATTGTTTTTATTCCTTACTGGTTGGGCCCATTACAAAAATGTGTTCATAAGCAGTAGCTCTTTGAAGCCAGGGTCGCCTGCCAGGCAAGAAAGTGGTGGAAGAACTTTATCGATAACAGAGAGTGGCTCAGCTACACTGCAAGTTGTCATTGCTGAGAGCTGAACAATGTTTTTGTTGTCCCGCACAAAGGGGCGTGACGACGCCAGCGTGTGAAGTTGTTGCATGGTTTTATTGTCACATCCACATAACTAGATAATATTATATATAATTATACATAGTTGTATTTCATTATATATATATATATAATGTCGTTCCTTTCCAACATTGAATGAACCAGATAATTCTGAAAACTTCTCAAGATTAACAACTTTCAAGCCACTTTGGTTGTTCTGAGATGTTCTGCGCCTATGTTGCAATGACCACGGATGATCTGGGGATTCAACTTGAGGTGAGACAAGCCAAAAGGTGGAAACGGAGCTGCACTAGACTGGCTGTTAGGGACGTTTTCTGTGACAAATTCTGTTGTATTTTACACAAGCGATTTTAAGAACTTACATGATAGACATCATGATGCTCTCCAGAATGGAGAAGTTGTTCATCGTTTTGTATTGCAAGCTTGGCTCTATTGCTGTTCTACATAATTTTCTAGAGTGTCACCACTCGAGGGCACTCCCACCTCTTGGTTTGCAGACCAACCATGGTGACCGCTGTGACTACCTGTCAGACCCAGGATCGAACCAGCACCATTGAATCATCCAGGCTTGGAGTTGTGTTTTTTTTCTTAATCTTTTGTTCAGCTTGTGATGTGGCATGAGGCATGAATGGAAGTGCTTGACCATTTCCCATGCCTTGCAAAGTCTTGGATCATGTGCAACAACTATGACGATTGCAACATTTCTGTTCTCAGTTGGTGCTGGCACTTTGCAGGGACAGCGAAAGGATTAGAGATCCATCTGCGGGTGTTGCAGCAGCAGTCGAGGACCCGCTTTCCCTCACACAAGCGGAGAGGCGACGCCGGGAGATGCAAAGACCAGTGAAACGGTTAGTGAAACCAAGTTCGGGACTTACTCGTAGGGCCTGATTGGGACTGATTTAGTTGATAGAACCACTCTGGAATTCTTTTGAGGCCTTGGGAAACCTTGTCTTGAACTTTTGAGATCTTTGCCGAATCCTTGAAATGGTTCTTTTCTTGAATCTTAGACGTAAAACATGGTTTGAATGTGTGCCTTACTTTTTGGGCCCACTATAAAAATATGTGTTCAATAACAGTAGCTCTTTGAAGCCAGGGTGGCCTACAGCCTGCCAGGCAAGAAAGTGGTGGAACTGAATCGTTGACAGAGAGCGGCTCAGCCGCGCTACAAGTTGTCATTTCGGTCCTGCAAAAGGGCAGCGGCGACGCCAACTTGTGAAGTTCTTTGCACGGGCTGACCGTCATCTCCGAATTTCTACATTGTCTAGCACTTCTTCAATATGTTTTTTGCTTTCTTTCGGAGTCATTTCCGTTGTTTTGTGCGCGTGTGTGTGTGTTGCAATGACCATGGGTGACCTGTGGTTTCAACTTGAGGTGAGACAAGCCAACCGATGGAAACTGAGCTGCAATGGATTGAGCAGTTAAGCCGCATTCCACACTGGGTCTCAGGAATGTTTCTGTGGCTGACACATCTAGTGGATTCTGCAATATTCTCCAAAAACGATTTTGATCATTAGAGTGATAGATAGTTAGATGGTATTGCTCTTCACAAAAGAGATTTTCGCTACATTGCAAACTATGTCTATTCTACATGCTATTTTGTAGAGTGTCCCCAAGGGGCACTTCCAGCTGGTTTTCAGACCATGGCGACTTCACTACCTGTCAGACCCAGGATCGAACCCGCACCATTGAATCACCCAGGCTTGGAGTGGTGTTCTTTTCCTTTGTGCTTATGATGTGGAAGGATTCATTAGCTTCCACTCTTCACTACCACTGCGCAAAGTCGTGACACATTGGTGAGCTTGTTACACCATGTCTTGCAAAGTCTTGGGTTGCGTGGAAGAATTACGACGATTGCAGGATTTCTGTTCTCAGTTGGTGCTGGCACTTTGCAGGGACAGCGAAAGGATTAGAGATCCATCTGCGGGTGTCGCAGCAGCAGTGGAAGACGCGCTTTCTCTCACACAAGCGGAGAGGCGACACCGGGAGATGCAAAGACCAGTGAAACGGTTAGTGAAACGTATTGAAACGTTGTAATACGCAAAGCTTTGAGCATGTTTGAAAGTTTACCCTACTGGATGTGCATTGGGCATATTGTTTAAACGATAAACGCAGACAGGCTTTGCAAGATGTTACCTACTGGCTGCCAGGCAAGAAAGTGGCGGAAGAACTGAATCGTTGGCAGAGAGTGGCTTAGCTGCACTACAAGTTGTCATTGCATGTCATTGCTAATTTCTGATAAATGGGCGTTTCCACAAATGGTTATATCCAACAATTGTTGGTTTATTTCATGGAAAATCCCATGAAAATGGATGATTTGGGGGGTACCCCTATTTCAGGACACCCCCAAATGATGATAAATGTGTAGTTCCTTTATTTAGGGGAGCGACGACGCCAGAATTATTTTGGAGCCATTTGACTTGTATACTGGGTAAATTTCATCACGACCGAAGCCTGTTCTCCCGAACCCTGGAAATCATGGTTAATTTTAGGGAAATCATCCCCAAATGGCCGCAAGATTCAGGTTAGTGAAATATTATAATTTACCCAGATAATTTCATTGGTGTTGTATTGGCACTTGGTGGATTCATTTGAGGCGAGCCAATCCAAAAGATGGAAGCTGGGCTGCAGGCTTCAAGATGGTTGTCTGTGATTTTGCTCTTGTGGTACTGACTTTGGTACAGGGTGGTGCCCCAGTTCGTTAGCTAAGTTGGTGCAAATAAGTCCAATTTCACTATGGTTTATATATAGGTGATATATCATGATATATCTATATAGTTAATGGGATTATAACTCATTTATAATGGGGCACCACCTTGTAGACATGTTTGGCTTCTTCGTCGTGCACCTTTGGACCGAATTGAAGTTTGGTGAGCTATGGTGAGTTTCCACCATCAGCTATGAAGATTATGAAGCCATTTCAGCCAACAAAGATGGTGACTACGAGTCAGTCACACTCAGGAACGGACAAGCACTGAGTCTTCCAGGCGGAGGGGACTCAGACAGAGTTGGCAAACTTGGTTTGGTCACAGTTTCCACATGTTCAAACTTGGATAGATAGTCCAGATAGTCGGACCTGAGTAGGATGTCATTGTAATGATGGTCAGTAAACATTACTATCCCCAAACATAGTATATTACCAATATCTTCTAAATATATCTATATATGCATTGAATTGTGGGTGTTGTGGATTAAACTGACGGACAGGAGTTCCCTGTGATCCTTTGTCTAGACCTTTGCAGGGACGGCGAAAAGACTGGAGATCCATCTGTGGATGTTGGTGCAGTGGCGGTCAAGGATGTTGCTTCCATCGCAGAAGTGGAGAGGCCGCACAACCTTTCTGGGACTTTCTGAGAGCTCGTTGATCCCATATTTAATTGATGAAGAGGAACATGCATCTGTACTTCCTAGTGAATTTCCTTTCAAAGAAAATGTTGGTACGCACTTGTCCCATAGTCTTGGGCTTGGTATTAGCCTATTGTGTACTTTTTGTTAAATATATTTATTATATATTATATTTATATTATGTAATTTTGTATTGCATGTAGGGAATGTAATGGGCAGGTGTGTTCCGCCCATTCTGGCACTTGGCAGGGACGGGGAAAAGACTGGAGATCCATCTGTGGATGTTGGTGCAATGGCGGTCGAGGATGTTGCTTCCATCACAGAAGTGGAGAGGCCGCACAACCTTTCTGGGACTTTCTGAGAGCTCGTTGATCCCATATTTAATTGATGAAGAGGAACATGCATTTGTACTTCCTAGTGAATTTCCTTTCAAAGAAAATGTTTGTACGGACTTGTCCCATAGTCTTGGGCTTGGTATTAGCCTATTGTGTACTTTTTGTTAAATATATTTATTATATATTATATTTATATTATGTAATTTTGTATTGCATGTAGGGAATGTATTGCATGTAGGGAATGTAATGGGCAGGTGTGTTCCGCCCATTCTGGCACTTGGCAGGGACGCCGAAAAGACTGGAGATCCATCTGTGGATGTTGGTGCAGTGGCGGTCGAGGATGTTGCTTCCATCACAGAAGTGGAGACGCCAGGTTTTAAACAAGATGGTTTGGACGTGTGAGGAAATTGATTTTTGTTTTTCCTTCCTATCGGGTGCCTTTTAAAATTGCACATGTGATTTGATATCCCTGTCATAGTAGAAAATATAGAGGCATCATCAAGCACAAAGACCCTGCAGACTGTTGCTTGGATGGACATCCAAATTACATGTTATAGTCATTTGGCAAATGATCGTTAATTAAAAAATCATGTTTCAGTCTAATGATACGATGTCGCCTTGATTTCATATAGAATGGGATGAACAGAGTCGCAGTCTGGGCATTTAGCTTGTAAACCCAATGATAAGTTCCTCTTCTTGGGCATGTTTTGCTCACTTGCTCAGTGGGATGCAAATTCAAGTATTACGGATCCCAACTAGTAAAGCATAGTGGAACCCAGGTATATTAATGTTACATGTTTATATATATATGGCATCTTCCCAGCTCTACATACATAGGTTTTATCGGCTATCAACCCGGAATCAGGTCTAAATCGCGGAAAAAACCCTTTCCACAGTCATGGTTTCGGAGCCTGTCCCAAGGGATGATGACTTGGTGGTGGAAGATTCCGTGTCCGTCACGGAATGCGAAAGTCCTGAGACTTGGCGAGTTGGATCAACAATACTTGGGGCTGCAGTTGAAGGGTTTAATGAGGTTTAATGGCTATTGAAACATATTGAAGCTGGGTTAACCCATGGTTAACCCATGGTTAACCCATGGTTGACCCATATGGATCCATATGGTCAAATACTTTATGGTCACTTTATGTTAAAGATTTGTTAAACAAATAGGAGCCTATGGGGATGGTGAAACATATTTTTCCAGCAAACCATGATTGATTGGCAGAGGTTTTTGTTCACAAATATTCCTATTCCACTCATCTCCTATTTCTATATCCCATTATTTAATTTGAATTATTGCATGATGTTCCCTGAGTGTCCTACGTGTTTTTAAGCATCGAACTGCCAAATTAGGTGCCAAACTGAGATCTATTCACTTGGAAGCTGCAATCATTTGGACCACTGGGACGATTTTCATGGAATCACATCAGGAAAACCTTTTTTGTTCCGGAAACTGACTGGGGGATTAACACTGATGAAAAACATGTGGATTTGGATCGATCTGGAATTCAATTGAGCTCAATCCAAATTCCAGAATTCCTGTTTTGTTTGCCTATAGGAAATCCTTGGAATTGTTCCCTTAGTTCTTAGTTTAATGCAGTCACTAGTGATTATTCTTCCAAACCTGTGCCTTTTCTAAAAGAGGGCTAGAGTGAAAGTTGATCAAATGGTGGATGTACTGGGTCATGCTTTGGATTTGTGGAGCAATTTGACCTTTCAGCCATGAACCTGGTAACACTAGCAAGCAATGGTTGGCAAGTTCGCCGGTTCCCGTTGTTTTACTTAGGTTTCCATTTTTAGAAGTGGCTTGTAAAACTCTACTACCCTTTTCATGTGACTTTAAAAGTTGCCCTCTGGTTATTTCACATTGTGATTTTCCAGTTTGCTACTTGTAAATAGCCAGATGGGCTGGCTGAAGTTCAAAGGTGATGGTTACTTCAGCAAGCTGAGGGTGTGTTGTCCATCCCTTTGCATCCGCAAATTCTTTGTTTTCCTGTTTGTAGCCTGACGCTGGGATGGTCATCCAAATGAAAAATCTCGGGCTCGTGTACAGCGACCTCAGAGGGACACTACAGATGTTGGTCTTCACAAAGCCTGCCAAGTATGGCTTATATCATGGGAAGTCATGAGTCGCCACTCAATCCATGGTTTGCACAGTTTTCCCTCGGATCCATCCATTGATCGGCCAAACATGGCCAATCCTAGGTCAATCGACTGGATGGGTAGAAACTAATCCTTTAGTCTTTTGGTATCAATGGGATTCTCTACTAACCAGCTAAGATTTTTTTTTTGCATATGTTTATATATTTTGCAGGGTATCTAAGATTGGCCATGAATCCATCTGAACCCCACCATTCGTCAGATCTAGTGGCACCGAGTTTCCAAGGTGGGCCTGGCGTCGCGAGCCAATTGGTGGAGGCGGTTTCCAAGGGGCGGTGTTTTAAGCACCGAAAGTTGGAAAACAGGGTTGCTTAAAAGGGGATTCTGATGGGGTTATCACTGTTATCACGGGATTATAATTCTACTATATTGGAGGTGCCCCAAATCGTTCCCTAAGTTGATTTGTAACTCATTAAGAAAGAGTATATCGTAGGCATGGTCATACTTAGCGAGCTTATCACAAAACTTAAGAATTGGAAGGGCATGACATATGGAATGCTATTGGCTTGTTCCTTATCAAACCAGCAAAAGAAAGTCCGCAATAGGTTTTGGAAACTGCTGAACTAGAGTTACCTAGCATTTAAATGGATGTATGTAAGCTCACTTATGGTTGGTAGGGCCCCCTCATTGCTTAAAACCTGCGAGATTTCAGAGGATTGCCATGTGGCACTCCGACCTGCCTAGTAATGGAAGATGTACCATGGCCAGACTACTGATGGCCTGACCTACAGCAGAGGGGAATTTTGGTAACAAGAAATAATGTTGCTTTGCTTCGCCCCACAAAGATAAAGAGGTTCCTGCGAGATCTGCGAGTTGTGCATAAACTAATTTTTGGAGTTGTTACAGTTTGTTCGGATTTGGTAAACATTAGGCCATTCCAAGTGACCATTTGAGGTTGGTGAGCGGCTATTTCACGTCTTAAGCGATCTCAAACCAAGAAATGCAAAGGTCACTTCGAATGACCAGGAGAGCTGCCTGTAATGTCAACCCCGGATTAATAAACAATGGTTTACTAAGCCTGGGGGTTACCCTCCACATAGATCTAAATCGTAATGATTCATGATATGATACCTAATTGTTACCCCCCAATGAAACAGCCTAGGGATTTATTATTCCAGGAAATTACTGTTTCTAGTTGACCCAGTGACCTAACTATATTGAATGTAATTTAATCTGTGTTTACGTACCCAAAGGCACAAACATGTAACATCCATAAATCAGTGCTGGTTGGAGTTTTCGGTGGGGCCTGGATACGGAGCTGGTTGATGTTGGGCAATTCTGGTGGCTCCATCGTGCACCCGCTGTGTATGGGCCAGCATTAACCTTGAATCCAGGTGATTGTCATGTTTGTTTTCATGTTCTTGAACAACCATTTTTTGGGTTTTGTTGCGATTTCAAGTGGCTTGTTGAAATGTGTTGAACAACCATTTACCATTTTTTTGGGGTTTTGTTGAAATTTCCAGGTGATTGAACAACCAAGTCTATGGGCATGTTCAAATCAATGGAATTCAACGGATGGTTTTCCAGCGTTGAACTCCTTGGGTGGCCGGACTGTTGGACGCCGGACTGGCCACGTTTGGCCCAGGGATGATCCGAGCGAAGAGCGGGACAGCGACGAGTGGTCTACCTGTGGGCCGATGTGTTTCTCCATCTCTATGACTTACTGGTGCGTTTTACGTAGGGAATGGACGGGTTGCTGGGGGTTGCTGGGATGATTATTACTAGTGATTCTTGATCATTCCGGAAAATTCCCTACTGGGCGCCAGTAAGATGATAGGGACAACATGTTGGAACATGACCTGTGCATCATTTTGGGTACCCCAAATTTTGATCGTTCACCATCATTTTGAATCATGTTCCTCATCAAAACTACTATCTGCTTGGTGGTTTGGAACATTTTTTCCATAATATATGTGATGTCATCCTTCCCATTGACTAATATGTTTCAAGATAGTCAAAACCACCAAGCAGATTCATTTTTCAAGGTACCCTCTGGTAAACGTTTACATAACTATGGAAAATCAATGAACATCACCATTTTTCATTTGTAATTATTGGATCATTTTCCTGATCAAAGCTATTGTCAATGGATTGGTTTAAGGGAAAATAAATCTACAGGAAACCATAGATTTTCCCATTAAATATGGGGCTTTCCTGTAAATTTCCCTTAAACCAATCCATTGATATTAATATTGGAGACATTTTCAGTTTAATTCCAGACGTCCCTTGACATCGCCCCGGTGGGCTCTTCAGCGAGGAATTGAAGATTGTGCCGCTGACTCCGGCGCAACAAGCCCCTTGGCAAGCAGCAAGTTCTATGGAGAAACGGCTGATTTTGTTGCAAAACACAGGAAAATACCATAGAGAAGTTTTTTTTGCCAGCATTTCATAATATTCCGACATAGCTTCCATTCAAACTTGTCAAAGTATGAACATGTTGGTGGCCAATACCCTTTTTTTGCGGGTGCTGTGCGGGTCAAGGCATATTCCTTCCTTACTTGGCAAGTGGAAAACCTAAGGCTTTGTTATGTAAAACTGTATTCTTACTTGCATATGTTTAGCCAAATCAAGAGTTTGCTGATCTCCGTGACTCAAGGAAAATCACACATACAAACTATCAGGTTTGTTATATTTCCAACCCTCGTCGTGTGGTAATCCAAACATGATCCCCATGTTTGATATGTTTTGACGAGCACAAGAAAAACACAACATATTTTGTTACGGTTGTTTAGTGGTATTGCCACAAAATGATCTCCCACTTGGGGAACCTTGCAACAGTAATCACCGTTTCCTTTTATTGGTTATTGTAAGTCTGCAATTTTATTGCTAAAACCTTCACTTGGAGGATCTCATTTAGTAAGCGTTCAAACGCCAGCTACAGTACAAACCCCAGTGCTGCTGCCACCATTGGCCCATTGGCTGAATAGTTAGTGAGAGGGTTTAAATTTTTTAACCCTGATTGCTGGAGTTTATTGGAATATACCCAAAGTACAATTACCTTTTGCGTAAGCCGAACATCCAAATCCTGTTGATGGTTAAATCATAGATGTTAAATCCCCAATGTCCTCATTATAAGTCCTATATGACTGATTGTTTTCTATCAGGTCTTTGGATCATGTTCAATCAGGATGTAATATCGTTTTAATATGTTTCAATGGGATTTCTAGTGAGCTCAAAAAAACGGACTGGTACCCCATTGAAAATAACGTATGTTATAACCATCATTCATCACAATTTAAATCATCAGATCATCATTAACCACTATTAGTGACTATGATCAATACCCCATTTAAGTCCATGATAGTCACTAATCACTTAATAGTCACTAATAGTGGTATTAGGTATTAGATAGCTTATAACTATTAGATAACTATTAGATAACTTAAACTTAAAACTATTAGATAACTGCTTTCTAGGGCTTTAACTGTAGTGCAGCCCGGCCCGGTAGAGGACTCCGAGATGCCGCAGACGTCGTGGTCGCAAGATTCCCGTGGCTCGGTGGAGCCGGGAAGGGGGGAAGCCAAGGAAGATGAGCAGTTGCAGTTATGGCATGTTATGGCCATTTAATATAGTTATAACTGGTTATTTACATGGGATTATACATTCTGTAAATGGGCGTATGTATGTACTTATGACTTATAACTGGTATTTCAGGCCATAACTGTAAAGATAGCATATGATAGCGTTCAACCAAAATTAACCAAGAATTTAATGATAGTCTAATGGGAATTTAGCATCAATTCAATGGGTGCTTAATGAGATTTTAACTATCAGTGATATGGGAAATCAGTGATCAATGATCCGTGAGCCATCAAATCCAGTGTTGATTATTACACGAAAATGACATTACCTATATTATACAAAGGATTATTACACCAAGATAGGACTATTTACTAACCAACCAGTAACCAGTATAATGGGATGGGTAAACTAAGTATGTTTCATGGCTTAACTACTGTACCAAGAGTTTCCCAACCACATGATAGCTGTCAAACCCCAAAAACACACTGCACATTTGTTGTTTTTGATCGAAGTCAGCATGTGAACATGTGTATTCTATTGATTGAAATCTTTGAATCTCACATGAACATGGGCATTTGGGTTTATTTGCAGTGGGTGTTTTTTTGGCCTTACATGGTTGATACATGTTAACAATGTTACCGATAAATGTGGTGGAAATATGGTCGGAGAAATAAACCAAACCTTGCAAGGTGGTGTCACTGTGGCCCCTGTGAGGTTGCGCTAGAAACGCTCTAAGACAAATGACCAATTTTCAGGTTTTGAGGTCGGTGATATATAGTCCATATAGAGACTATGTTGTCAGGGCAAAACATGTGGTCCAAGTACAGCAAACAAGTAGTATTGAGAGGTATCCATGCCGAAGATGACTTGCGAGGCTCGATACTGTTTTTTTGCATACATGATCAGAGGCAAATGTCGATGGTCGGACTCCTCAGCCAATTTGGAGTGCGGAGATCCCAGTGGAGACCACTCCTGGCAGGACTTCTCTTTGAAAAGGTGGTTCTATCGATTGCGGATGGTGGGAAGCTCTGTGTTTTGCTCAATGTCTTGGGCTACGAAGTGGGATTGTGAAGTTCCCTTCAGTCAGCTGATGCGAAGTTCGATCAAATCCGCTGTCACGAAGTGATCCTTCCCCATCTTCGCATGAAAAAAATCAGTAGCCTGAGGTAGAACTTAAAGATGTATACGGATATTCCATTGTATTAATAGGTCAGTTTCCTAAGAAACCATTGGAATTAACATGCCTGGCTTTGTATTTTAGCTGGAGGTTCTATTATGTTAAACATGCACATGTATTAAGCGCGTAAGCAGAGCTGTTAAAATACTGCAACTATGAGGATATATATATATAATGTTTTCGATCCCATTATATCACCATGGTTTCATAATTTTACAATATTCTATTCTACATTGTTCATTCATTGTTTGTATACAGTAGTTGTAACTATCATACTTACATATATACTTACCACCATAGTTGTTAATACACTGTATCACCATAGTGAAGTATCTACGCCGTAGCCCAGTGAAAAAGTGGTTAGCCTCGCCTGAGGCTTCTCGTTTGGATCTCCCGCGGCACCTGAACGTGTGCCCAGCGTCACCTGGGGCAACACCATGAATTCGGCCACCGAGACGGAGATTGGGGGAGAAGAGCCTCGGCTTTTTTTGGTGGGGTTCCAGGCCGCTGCTTCGGAAAGTTTCGGATTGAACCAAAAAAAAAGTTGTGACATTACCCGATTTAAGCAAGAAAAAAATCGGATTTCAGCGGTTCAAGCAACAACCAAATCGGGATTTTTTGTGAAGCACCACAGGAATCAACAGCAAGAACAAGTTGATTTGAGCGAAATTGAACAACCAAAACAAAATTGATCGCTTCGTCGACCAACAAACTTGGGGATTTCATTATAACAAACATGAAGCTGAGATGTAAGCGAACTTATTTGGAGTGGTTGGGGTTTTAAGAGAATATAAGCTGGTACCGAGGGTAAACAGGAAACGCGTTCTACAAAACGTAGGATGACTGGTAGATTCATCATGTACTACAACCCAGCTATGATGCCCAAAGACTTGAATGGTATGTAGATCTATCATGACTGGGTAAGCATGTCTGTCAAACCACCATTTTTACACCATGAATCTAGAACAAGTTTGGAGATCACAGAAAGGCCTTCCCTCTATTTGTTAATTGGTGTTCCCCCATGTTGCCCCATCTTACTAGTTCAATATATCCACCTTAAGCCCATCTGTTTCCGTATTTTTAACCCAACTCTATGTAGGGGGGCCCTTTCTGCATCGATTGGAATTCCATAGGAAGCCGACACCCTGCGCGATTTGCACAGCAGGCACGGAGGGGTAATTTGTTTGAAGGGTCCAGACCTGGTCGACCAGGCCACGGCTCGCGCCCCTGCCAAGTTTAACAAACTTTGTCTAAGGCAACTGCAGATATATCCACCAAAATGGGTATGTGTCAATACCTATAGATACATTTTTGGTGGGATGAACATCCATAAATCCCAGCTATTTTGGGGTTCACTAGGTACCAGGGTTTTGACCCATCCCCAAAATCCTCGCCGGTGCTTTGTGACATGACCAAGTGACGATTTGAGGTTTCGGGAGTTGGATTATTTGTTGGAACACTTGATGAGTGCAAAGTTTTTGTCCACATCCTGGACTCATTAAAGCGGAGAGTTGTTTGAACTTTTTGGATTTCTGCATTTTTGAGCCAAGTTGACCAACTCAACGTACAACTGACTTGATTGAAACAAAACTGACTGGCCGACACCGGCCTCACCAGAATATCTCACAAAGTGTCCGCTCACATGATATGTCGCATTGTTCCCCTCAGCAGCATACACCCGCCCATGCCTTCCCTTTGAGTTGATGTGCAAATTCGACAGTACGTTTGCCAAATGGGCACCTCTCCGAATTGCGCAATGGTCATTGACAAATTGTGCATACTCTTCTCTTATTATTCCTTTCCAAATATGTCATCTAAGCCCTTATAAACTTAATCCTCTGCGAATATTTCTCTTGATCCTTCAAATCTGGTGCCTTGTATTCATTGTTGTGTTTATGCTTTCATATTTCAGAATTCAACAAATTCAAGCCATAAATTGGTTTCACTTCCAAGGTTTTGACAAGCACGAGCTTAGATTGGAGGATCTCATGCCTGGGGCAAACTGGCAATATGCCTGGGAAAAGCTAAGGTTTTTGTCCAGCCGCCCAGAAAAATATTCCAACATGTCTCCAACAATGCCGCACTTGAGTTTTTCATCCTTTGAACTTTATTCTTTTCCCAAATTCAAATTGAGATCCAACCAAAAATTGATTCAATAGGTTCTAAAATTAGATAAAATTAGTCCGAAACCACCATAGGGTTGAAATATTTCAGCCTGAGACCCTTTAGACCCCTTCAGGCCTTTGGAAGGTTTTCCCTTTCAGTCCAAAATTGTGGACTGCTGGAGTTTCGAGGGTTCTTGAAATAGGGGATCCCCCAAGCCATGGGTTTCAATACTTAAAATGATTTAACTTTGGATGACCTGCCCCCATTTTAGGAACGTTCAGGCAAGGTATCCGTTGGGATCCCATCATATACGATTAGATTCAGCCACTGGGACCTTGTCCATGCATGATATCTTTAAATTTGGCTCGGAATGATGTTTCCCGAATGCGTAGCGAAGGGTTCTTGTTTTCTTTCTTGGGAGTCTGGGCGTGGTGGACTGTTGGCGGGTCGTTTTCGTGTCGCGGGTCTCCAATCGCGTCGTCCCGCTGTCTATGGGGAAAGTGAGAGAAGGTGATGTTTTGTGATGCCTTGTGCAAGCTTTGTAGTACAAAGTAGTACTGGGACAAGCTTTGTGGAACAAAGTAGTACTGGGAAGTGCCTTGTGCAAGCTTCGTAGTACAAAGTAGTACTGGGAAATGCCTTGTGCAAGCTTTGTAGTACAAAGTAGTACTGGGAGGTGCCTTGTGCAAGCTTTGTAGTACAAAGTAGTACTGGGAAGTGCCTTGTGCAAGCTTTGTAGTACAAAGTAGTACTGGGACAAGCTTTGTGGAACAAAGTAGTACTGGGAAGTGCCTTGTGCAAGCTTCGTAGTACAAAGTATTACTGGGAAATGCCTTTGTGCAAGCTTTGTAGTACAAAGTAGTACTGGGAAGTGCCTTGTGCAAGCTTTGTGGTACAAAGTAGTACTGGGAAGTGCCTTGTGCAAGCTTTGTGGTACAAAGTAGTACTGGGACAAGCTTTGTGGAACAAAGTAGTACTGGGAAGTGCCTTGTGCAAGCTTCGTAGTACAAAGTAGTACTGGGAAATGCCTTGTGCAAGCTTTGTGGTACAAAGTAGTACTGGGGATTTCCTTGTGCAAGCTTTGTAGTACAAAGTAGTACTGGGACAAGCTTTGTGGAACAAAGTAGTACTGGGAAGTGCCTTGTGCAAGCTTTGTAGTACAAAGTAGTACTGGGAAATGCCTTGTGCAAGCTTTGTAGTACAAAGTAGTACTGGGGAGTTCCTTGTGCAAGCTTCGTAGTACAAAGTAGTACTGGGAAGTGCCTTGTGCAAACTTTGTAGCACAAGGTAGTACTGGGAAGTGCCTTGTGCAAGCTTTGTAGTACAAAGTAGTACTGGGAAGTGCCTTGTGCAAGCTTTGTGGTACAAAGTAGTACTGGGAAGTGCCTTGTGCAAGCTTTGTGGTACAAAGTAGTACTGGGGAGTTCCTTGTGCAAGCTTCGTAGTACAAAGTAGTACTGGGAGGTGCCTTGTGCAAGCTTTGTAGTACAAAGTAGTACTGGGAAGTGCCTTGTGCAAGCTTTGTGGTACAAAGTAGTACTGGGGAGTTCCTTGTGCAAGCTTCGTAGTACAAAGTAGTACTGGGAAGTGCCTTTGTGCAAGCTTTGTAGTACAAAGTAGTACTGGGGAGTTCCTTGTGCAAGCTTCGTAGTAGAAAGTAGTACGAGGAAAATTTTACTGCAAGCTTTGTAGTACAAAGTAGTGCTGGGAAGTGCCTTGTGCAAGATTTGCAGTATAAAGTAGTACTGTGAGGTACTGTGTGGACGCTTTGTAGTACAAAGTAGTACTGCGAGGTGTTCCAGATGTGTCAAGCAAGAGTGTCCAACAAGAGTGTCTTACAAGAGTGTTTCAGAGTATTGAGAGAGAGAGAGAGTGTGTGTGTGTTTTACCAGCGTGTGCCACAAGAGTGTCGAGCAAGAGTGTCAGGCAAGAGTGTCTCACAAGAGTGTCCCATAAAAGTGTCCCAAAAGAGTGCCCCACAACAGTATGCCACAAGAGCGTCACCAAAGAGTGTCCCACACGATTGTCCGAGAAGAGTGTCAAGCAAGAGTGTTCTGCAAGAATGGTTTTTTAATGCGATCGAGCATCTCCTGTTCGCTTTTCATTAGTCTGTAGGAACCCTTCTTCTACGTGAATTTTTAAAAAACTGCATTCCGGTTCGTGCCTTCTATCAGGTTTTTCCCCACCTGCCAGGTGAGGGTTGTTAGATTTTATGTCAGTTGCCTCCTCCTCCTTCTCCTCCTTCTCCTCCTCCTCCTTCTCCTCCTCCTCCTCCGCCTCCTCCTGCCTCGTCCTCCTCTCCTCCTCCTCCTCGTCCTCGTCGTCCTCGTCGTCCTCGTCGTCCTTGCTCAACTGCGACCTGCGATCCACAGTGTTCTCTGCCGGACCTCAACCACGACCATCCACGCCCAGTGTTCCCTGCCGGACCTCAACCACGACCATCCACGCCCAATGTTCCCTGCCGGACCTCAACCACGACCATCCTCGCCCAGTGTTCCCTGCCGGACCTCAACCACGACCATCCACGCCCAGTGTTCCCTGCCGGACCTCAACCGCGAGTATCCACGCCAAGTGTTCCCTGCCGGACCTCATGTAGGAAGATATGGGACAAAGAATGTGCAGAAGAAAGTTAGAAAGAATGTCAGAAAGAATGTCAGAAGATATGCCAGAAGATATGCCAGAAGATATGCCAGATAGAATGCCAGATAATATGCCAGAAGATATGCCAGATAGAATGCCAGATAGAATGCCAGAAGATTTGCCAGATAGAATGCCAGAAAATATGCCAGAAGATATGCCAGATAGATATGCCAGAAGATATGCCAGAAGATATGCCAGAAGATATGTCAGATAGAATGCCAGAAGATATGTCAGAATATATGCCAGAAGATATGCCAGATAGAATGCCAGAAGATATGTCAGCTAGAATGCCAGAAGATATGCCAGATAAAGTGCCAGAATGTTTGCCAGATAGAATGCCAGCAGATTTGCCAGATAATATGCCAGAAGATATGCTAGATAGAATGCCAGATGGAATGCCAGAAGATTTGCCAGATAATATGCCAGAAGATATGCCAGATAGAATGCCAGATGGAATGCCAGAAGATATGCCAGAACATATGCCAGAAGATATGCCAGAAGATATGCCAGAACACCTGCCAGAAGATATGCCAGAATATCTGCCAGAAGATATGCCAGGTAGAATGCCAGAAGATATGCCAGATAGAATGCCAGATCGAATGCCAGAAAATATGTCAGATAGAATGCCAGAAGATTTGCCAGTAAGAAAATGTATAAATGTCATGGTGGGGATCACACGAAGTAAAGTAATTTAAATATTAGATGAATTGAACGCTTGATCCAAAAGGCCTTTTTCGAACGTGTTGCGTAATTTTGAGGCTGTTTGCAGGGACCAAAGCGCCAAATAGTAAAAAGAATGGATTGTGCCAGGTTCAGGGTGATTTTTAGTGATATTTGATATTTGTACGATGCAGCATGGTGTGACGGCAAATAAGGCACCATTCTGCGAACTGAACCATAGCCAATATCTCCTTCTGCCAATTTAGTTCTTCGATTAGTTAATATGTGTTCATGGATGTTTGTGAATCATAGGTTGACCGCAAGTGCTTTTGAAACCTATGAACATTGTCAGATCCCATAGCCAAATGACAGAAGGAGAGTTGTTTTTTTCCGAGCCTGGCGATTCAACCTTTCCAGGGTAAACTGTGAATGGTAAACCATGGGAAACCAAGTGTGAACCATGACCCAATAACCAACCTACAATGGTATTTACACCACCATATACCATTCAATTCCGCTGATATAGGGGATTGTGTATTATTGGCGGATGTTCGATGATGTTGGATGTTGGGGTGTATCTATGTTAGGTCCAAATTGCTGCAGTTTCTGCTGGTGCATCATTTGTATTGGTTTATCGTCTTCCATTCTGTATTCTGGATGGTCAGAAACAAACAACTACAACGCAGGCCCCAAGATAGCTGGATTGGCGTTTAATTAGGCCAAGGATTCATTGTGGATATCTTTGCAGTTGGATTGGTCAATAAACCAACCTTTGTCAGCTGACATCTTATAACTGTGCGGCCTCACTTTGTACGATGTGTTCCCCGCAGTTGTAACTTGGTTTATAAACCCAATTAGGATTCACTGAGTGATTAAGTTTGGTTATATATCTATCACAAACGCTAGATATATGACAGCAGTTTTCAACTAACTTAGCTATACTTAGCTAATGAACTGGGCCAGCACCTTCAGTTAAAGCCGTTGACCAGTTTTGAATTGGTATAAATAGGGCCCTAACTAACTGTTGAAATTTTCTTTGTTTCCCCGAAGGCATCAACCACATTCAACCACCAAAACCAACCTTCTGCTGGCATCCTTCAGCCAAGACCCCAAGACCTCGTAGGCTGCGAGACCCCGTGGTGTTGGCCAATCGATTAGCGTCTCATGGCGGAACAGGGCGTGGAAATCCCCATGTTTCTGAGGGAACAGCATGGGGAAATCGTCTGGTAGGTGGTTTATTATGGTTGTTGGCGACTAAAACCATGATTTTTTCACCATGTTAGAGGACGCGATATCTCATATATATATATACACATATCTATTTATAATAATTCCAAGTTTATTGCGTTGGTATCTGCATGTTCATCATCCTGTTTTTGAGTTAGGGGATTGAACAAGACTCTCTGAACAGCAACAATTAAGTATTCGTGATTGTCACATGCCCAACTTTCCACCTCTTTCTCTCAAACTGCCCCACACAATCCCATATCCAAAGTGGCATTTACAACTGAAGATTTGTCGCTTGCCAGACTTGGATAGATTTGGACCAAACGGCTGGGCCAGCTTGGTGCTGAGATACGGGGAACGCGTTTGGACCAGGGCAATGACGAATCTGCCCGTGGGCGCAAACGCGGTCAATCTTTGTGGCGAATCTTTCGAAATATGGGCAACAAGGCGCTCGCGGAAGCGACTACTGTGATCACTGCCTCCTATGCAAGCAATCGATCATACCTGGAATCCGCAAAATGCCGCCGGCAGCGGGGTCCCCTTTGGTTGCGATTTGACCAAGCTACTCTGATGCCTTAGATGAGCAAGCCCCAAGTATAGAGGATGACCCTGTCAGCAATTTGCAAAAGTTCTTCCATTACACTAAGACACATGATGTGGAAAGACAGGAAAACAGGTCGTCGTTGTCCAGAGACTTAGCTTGGAATCAGACATGGTTTGAGAAGGACTTGGACTGGGAGGTCAACCAAATATCTCTTAGTTTGTTCATCTTTTCTGGTTAAGGGCGAAAGCGCAAGGGCGTTAATCATATATGAGAATCTAAGTAGGGTTTCGAACAACCTCCATGTAACAAAATCTTGAAATATATCGCCCAAAGAGCAAAGACATGAGACATACTACCATTTGTCACTATCCAGGGGAACAGGGATGAAACTGAACATGAACACCATGGCTGTTTTCTTGAATCTTGACCCCCGACCCACAACCTCAGATTGCACTGCTTTCTTTGACAGAGCCTGCGCTGTATCTTTTCTTTGGGTCCACCACATTAACCATAGCTATAGCTTAGGAGGTGGATGGGCCTCTCTGTTTGGGACCTTCTGTCAAGTATACTTAACTCTCCAGGACTTTTTATTACCAATTCAGAGCTATTATAAGTCATTCAAGACTAAATATAAATCTTTCAAGGCTCATAACAATCTTTTGAACCACGAAAACCGGTCTAGAAAGAACCCAGCAAGATCCATGATGAATCAAAGGCAAAACATGTTTCAATTATATGTAATTCAAGTGAAAGTATATAATATAATCATACTTTATATTTATATATTCTTTACAAACAAGAATAGACAAAACGCTGTCACCCCCGTGCAGCTGTCAAACAGAAAGAACGCAGCAGAGGCAATTATGAATCAAAGGCAGATCCTGTTTTTGCTGTATGGCCTCCAACATGAGATGTGTTCGGGCATTCCTGTATCGTGCGTTGAAACACAACACATGTTTGCGGCCGAAATGAGAGAAAGCGTGCTAACATGTCCATTGTTGCACGCAGCATCGTGCACAATGCAAAAACACATTGCACGTTTCGAGGCGCTGAAACAGCTTGAGAACCCGAATGCGTGATTTCAAGTGAAGGTTACTCAACGAATCTATGTAACTTGCGTTGCGAATCCCAGCTGCTGACCCACCACATGGTGAATCTCAGATATCTCATGTTTAGGTTTCATTTGAATCCAGCACAGAAAGTGCACTTTGCGTCAGTTTCTGCACGTTCTGTCAATGTGTGCTTTCAGGATACCATGTTTCTCTTTTCAACGTGCTCCACGCGCAGCAGGCACATATCCAAGCGACCATATACTCGACATGCTGTACAATGCATGCTTCTATATCTTAGCTTTGTGGGCTATGGCACATCTCTTTCCACCGGATTTTCAATGAGCACTCTCGCTGCAAACTCCCGAACGGAACCTGTAGAAAATACATGGCGTTGGAGGCCCCAATCCTACATACAGAGCTTTGGACCAACCCACACTTAGTGTCTTGAGATGATGGAATGAAACTCTCAGAAACATAGGGGCTCCAAGCATCTACTAACCGGTGTTTGCTTACATTTTTGCGCCAAGCTACGCGTATGAATTTCGTTACGTACAAGTGTTTTGGAGCCGTTCCAGCGCAGTATTCCTGAAACACATTTTGGCCACCCATCAGGCGGCCATGCCAATAAATCTACCAAATCCAGCCAGACTTCTACAGGGTTTCGCACAAAGATTTCTGAGACCTGCCCCCAGTCAACGGCGCCGAGGAATTTGTAAATAGCGCCAGGTTTTTTTTTTCAAATGTATATATAAATAGTCCCAAGGAATTCCTGTCGGATTTATAAATAGTCTTGATTTGTTTTCTCTTTAAATGGTTTTCGGCTTTCTAAATAATCTCGGGACTGGACTATTTCTAAATCTGAGAGGAAATCCTTGGAACTATATAGTTTGGAGAAGGGAGCGGAGGAGATTAGCGAACTCTATCAAAAAATGCATACAGAAGAGCGGGGGATTTCACTTCGCATCTTCCGGGCGAAGGCACGAACATGCTGAACGAACAAAAGCGAAACGTATTGGACATCCACAGTGAGATGATCAAAGCACCTCCTCTGAACCAGGTCTTTGGTTGGGCTCTTGGGTTCGAATTTGTCTGTCTTTGTCTCTGTCTGCCTTTCTGTCTGTCTGTCTGTCTGCTTGCGTGCCTGTCTGTCAGTCTGTCTTCTGCCTTGTGCTGCTACCTCGTTCTTTTGGCCGGATGCCCTGTCTCTAACTTGCAATATGTATGTTTATTTCTATATATCTAGTATCTGTTTCATGCTCTACTTCTCGTCTTCTTGTCTCGAAAGAGAGAATTTTTAACAACATCATGATGTTTTATTAATGATATGTTCTTTTTAGAAACCGCTTGGAACCGTTCCAAGCCGCTTATACCTGGCGTATCTTAGGCCACGGGAAAAAAAACGCCAAACCTCTCCGAACGGTTCTGAGCTACTTAAAAATTGGTACAAACAGCTTTGAACCGCTCCAAACAGTTCCAAGCAATTTTACCGCCAAAACCCTAATTAGTCCCAATTAGTCCTGAATAGTCCTGAATAGTTTTGAAAGTACAAATAATAGTTCTGAACCGCTCCGCGCTGTTCCGCGCTGTCGATGAACAATCCTTTTAAAAAAGGTCTGAAACCGCTCTGAACCGTTTGGAACTGTTTCTAAACAGCTAGAGATGCTTGGCAGAAACCGCTTGAAACCGCTTGAAACCGTATATAAACAACGGTTCTATGTTTATGCAACGCTTTATTCTTTGATTTGTTTTTATTTGTAAAACAAGGTATGCTTAGCATATATGAAAAACAATAAAATATAATACAACATCACCCTTTAACATAGTATAACATGATCAAATAACATATCATAATGTGATATGATGTAATGTAATGCAATGTCATGTATATAATGTAATGAACATAAAATACAGTATAATTTGTCCGTTTTCTTAAAATCTACCTAGCTTATGTGAAATACACAATCACCTAGGACCTAGCACATACAACGTACAACAGATCATGCAATCTTGTACAATGAGGGTAAAGTGCGTACTTTATAAATAACCCTACAACATTTATAAATAGCCCCAATGCCAATTTTTGTCCTCACAGTTAAAGAGGCCGATCCACCTCCCAAGTTATAAGTGTAAAACAACGTAATTTATATAGGATATGGGATAGACTCCAGGTATCTACACCGTTGTCTTTATATATATATACACGTGTTTTTTGATCATTCACCGCTTCCTAAGTCAAGATGAGCCGTTAACTACTATCTGACCACTCGCTACTAAATCTACTAAATAGGTTTACCATACCCTTTAGCCTAGAAGTTTTAAAGTTGGTCATGTAGATGATATTCATGATATTTCATGATATTTTTCCGACCAGCTTTAGAATTTACCGTTTGGTTATTGAACGTAGCTATGGGAAATCACATTTTTTAACAGGTAAATCATCATAAATCATCTATAAATGGACCATTTTCCATAGCTATGCTAAATAACCAGAGGGTAGAATATCTTCTTTGAATCTTACGTCTTACGTGAGAGTTTGTCCCCGACATGCCCCAGGTTTGCCATCATGTCCAACGATTCTTTGGAGCGCCTGGCCGTTGAGACAGGTGGAGATCTGAATGAGACAAGGTAAATTTACAGGAAACCATGTGGCGGTTTCCATAGATGGGGGATCCCCCAAAATGGATGCTCATTCGTTTGTTTCCTTCTCTTAATCTTTTTAGGATGATGGGGACCACAATCCAAAACCTGCGTTGATGACATGGGGAATCATATGGAACCATCCCAAAGTCCCAAAGTTTGCCCGGATATTAGCGGTTTGACTGGCTGACATCCGAATGTGGTTTGCAATGTCACACATGTATAACCCCCGTTTGTTTATACTCCTGTTTGTCGAACAGCACGCCCATTACTTTGGCCGATTCCTTATTTTGGTTGACATATGGGTTTACCAAAAACAGAATACCCAAAATAGCCAGTGCTTGCTTTAGTTTGTTCAATAAAAAGGAGCATTGTTTGGAGGTATAGCACAGTTCGGGAGTATGCCAAGTATACCGCCCGTATTTTTATAATTTCTCCTTGTGTATGTAATGTTGCCATAAATTCATAAAATTTTCTCATATGTCAGTGTCGCTCCAACCTACAAATGAGAGCCGCAATGAGAGGGACTTTGGTGTTGTTACTGATTTTTGTTCCATGATTTTTGCATCTTTATTTATTCAATTTACCGCCCCTGGAATGTGGGGTGTTGGAAGCAACCCTGTATGTTGTTGGCTACATATTCCATCAAGGCTCCCAGAGCCATCGCGGGGCATCTCTGAAGGTGAAGCAAAAGGGTTGGGGAAGCGGCGGTTGATAGCTGGGATTATGTATGATTTGTATGTATTGTAATGATTATATAAATGGTTAGCTTTGTGGTTATATCAATAGTTTCCACAAAGTATAGTTTATCATACAGTAGTTTCAATAATATGTATATATATATATGCTTATTATTGGGGCTGCCTGCAATCTGGGAAGATTTTATCCACAGCAATAACCAGGTCACAAGAATGATGGTTTATAAGGGGGCGATCATTAAAGCAGTTGTTTTGCTGATGTGGAACCTGCAACAATTTGCCCAGTACAGTAACAGGGGCGAATGGGGTCCTTGTGTATTTTACTTGCACCATGATGGTCCATTAATGGTTTTAAGATACGGATTGTATGAATTGGCCCGGGTACTTGGAAGATCAATCCAAAAGGTAACTAGTAAGTGGGGTTATAAACCACCCAGACATACTCTACGGTAATCAAGCGTGGCAATGAAAAAATCCTGATTTATAGATGATGTCAGTGCTCCGTTTGATTACCGGAGGGCAAGTGGGATAACATGAAATTGGGGTGATTACTTGAAGATAAATTGGAGAAAGCAATTCCCATTGAGTGGTTGTCCTCGAAGTAACGGCATAGCGTGGTCCTTCAGATCCAACTTTGAACTTACCCTTTTATAAAGGATTCAAGAGAGGATGTGTTGCCCTCAAAAGAAATGTCGTGACATGTTTTGATGTTTTGTTTAATTATGTGATACTTCAAACTGCAATGTGGGGAATTCGTAGAATATGGCTACCCCCAAATCATCCATGTATTAATGTTTTTCCATGAAATAAACCATCCAGCTATGGGGGTACCCCCATGACTTAGGAAACCCATGTTGGTAATGGTGCTTACTAACGTTTCGGGTGAATTCATCAACCGGGATCTAGGCAGGTTTGTTTTATACCCTTGGTTCATGGATGTTGAACATGTTTGAGCCATTATAAATGGCATATATATATGGTTATGTTCATGGCATTATTAATCCATGAATGGGGTTATAACTGGTAAAGGGCCCCAACTGTATTTCTTTTGAATCTGTCGATATCATCGCAGAAAAATCACAACCAAATCTGGGATAAATTATGGTGACCTCATTAGCCAACCGAGTCCCATAGCTGCTGGGCATGCTTGAGCATCCGCAGCTGTGGAAATCATCCCAAAAAAGAAGACATTTTCGGTCGCTACAATGAATGTCATTTTGTGCTGGTCAAATACTCACGCTCAATCATTCTTGCTGGTTTGCTTGTCAAGTCCGCACTACAATTGAATCAGCCTGATTCGTAAATATCAGAGTTACTAATTCTAAACTCATTGTTGGTTGGTTACCCCATAGGATCCATGGTGCTGCTATATATGGTAACATGGATCCCATCAATATACCCCCAATGTTAGCATATATACCAGCACCATGGATCCTATGGGTACACCGATGTTTCCATTTTTTGACCGGCTCAAATCACCTGGCGTTCCCAACGCCAGGTGTCAGTCGCACCTCGTCGCTCCAGAGCCGCGACTTCGCCCGGCTGACCTCAGTGGCTTCCAGCGTGGCGCGGCGCGAAACGAAGACTTGTTGAGCAATTCTATATATATATATATATATTACATACATATATAATATATATATATATACATGAGACCCCACATACATATATAAGCACCAATATTTTGGCAATTATGATTATACGATGAACTTTGATATTACTAGTAATACTACACTACAAGTATTTTGTAGTGATAATTGATAATATGATTTAATACGGTAATATTATATGGATTTAGTGGTTTTATTGCTTGTTTCTAGGATGGTTTGATAATTAATGCTATACTCTTGTTTTAGAATTAAAATTAGCAAAAGTAGCAATAATGTAGTAATAAGTTGTTGCAGTGATCATCGATAATCATAGTACGAGCTAATACGTTGAGAGTTTGGTTTTATGGGTTCATAAACCGACCTGATATGTGGAAATCATTTGTGCCATTAAGCATTCCCTCGTTGATGGGTTAATATCGGGATATAAGGCGACTTATGTTGGCTTATACCAGTACTACTAGTATAACTATTGATTGGTTATTGGTTATAGTTATAATGGTAAGCTACATGATAACAACTATTAATGATGCAGAATTTAGTACTGATACACAATGCGTTAAAATAACAAGATATAGACAGATCGATCCTGACTATAACATACAGTAAGTCAAATGATATAAGTAGGATTATTCATGATGCCTAGCAGCTTTAAAAAAAACGAAATACGTTTAAACTTCTTACAAACCACTGCCAGTTGTAGCATACGTAATAATCCCAAAAAATGTAGTGATGGGTAGTGATAAATTCAGGTCAATGAATGATCATAATTTGTCGAGATTGTTGATGAAATTTAAATGTTAACCATCTAAAGACATGATTAACATATATTTTTAATGCATATCATGATAAAATCATGTTAGTTAAATCATATGTTTTGATGTTGTGGCTATTGTTTTTTGATGTTAACACATGTGTTCGACAAAAAACATACATGATTATCATGATTTATCAGCCATCTACATATATTGGTATATTTGTTTATGTGTGTTAACATATAGGTTTGATAGTTAGATGCTACTGAGTGTAATGACAAACTTGTAACGATGAATTATATGTTCCTCCTATGTTTGTTGATAGTTTGGATCCAAGTACCTTGTGAGGAAGGATTAATGATTTGGTGGGTCAGGTCCCTTCTCAGAGAGTTTGATCTGGGTTTTAACTATCGGAATCTATCTCCCCTAGGTATCACAAATACTAATTAAACCCGGTGTTTTAACCAGCAGCATGGGGATTTAACCATCATTTTGTTTGATACACCAAATGATTTATAATTGAGAAAATGATGGTTGATTGCGTACTATAAGGGGTTTTACTACATGATCTAGATGGTATGACAATAAATCATAAGTCATAATCGGGTACGTTTTCATGGTTCAAGGGAAAAGCCGGAAAAGCAGTAATGTACTGTTGGTATCAATCGATATCGATAAATAACCATTATTTGTAATTTAATACATGTAAATTGGATATAACTGATTCCCACTAGGTCCCTCAAATAGTAGATTAAAATAGTATCCAATGGGTATTTGTAACCCAATGATGACCCTAAGTTTACCACGCGTTTTAGGTTCAAATCACAGGTCATTGAGCTACCAGAAGAAACAACTTCCGGCGCGAAATCAGGACATTGCGGAGCCTGGGCACTTCAAAAGAGGCGCCGGGGGAAGCGGGTGAAAGTAGTGGCCTTCGACCCCAGAACATGTGTGCCATGGTCCAACTAGATGGAGCTATCAAAGGCATGGATGGACAAGGGAAATTCACGGGAACCTAATGGTATAAACAACTTTTGTTCTGCAAAAATTGGATGATATACCCAGCCCTTCAGTGATGGGATTCAACCATCCATTTTCATATAAATTTAAGACATGAATCCAGGATTCGCATGTTTTCGACTGGATAACCTGGATAACCATAAACCAGATACCATGTTTCGACCATGGCACATATGGGGATGGGTCAAGGTGGTCAAGGTTTTTGCTGTACCCCTGAAATGTTCACACCAAACTAGTTTGGACTTATGGATGTAAAAGGTATTGATCCATAAACCATCATAAATCAAAACTATTTGGGAATGGGTCAATACCTATTAATAGCATGTTTAGGGGGATGAACATCCATTTACCAGCTATTTTGGGGTTCACTAGGTACCAGGGTTTTGACCCATCCCCATTTGAAAGGTGTTTCAGGATTTCTCCCTGAAATGTTTGTATAGGTATTGATCTTCAAAAAGCGCAGCTTTGAAATGCGGATGGGATGTACATCCATTGTTTAACAGGGGCAACCAACAACCCATTTTATTAGAACATATGATAGGAGATACTGTGGATGGAAGAAATCCTGCATCACCTTGGATGGTTGAAAGCCTATAAAAAATGGGATAGACCACCTATCAACTGGTGCAGGATTTTTCCATCCACCGTAGCATCGAACAACATGATACTTTGGGGATCCGACTTTCGGGGCCCGCCAGACACAACTTGGTTCCTTTCTTATCCATCCTCACATGAGCTACAACCAAAATGTAGGTTAATGGAGAGTACCCTCTGGTTATGTCAAAATAGCTATTGAAAATGGCCATCTATAGTGAGTTTTCCCATTAAAAATTGTGATTTCCCATAGCTATGTTAATTTACCAGAGGGTAGTATTCGAGCGGTCTCTATTTTTTGGAAATTGATCTGGGGCTTGGGAAACGATTTTACAGTCTTCAAATTACTTTACTTCGTGTGATCCCCACCATGACATTTATACATTTTGTTACTGGCAAATCTTCTGGCATTCTATCTGACATATTTTCTGGCATTCGATCTGGCATATCTTCTGGCATTATACCTGGCATATCTTCTGGCAGATGTTCTGGCATATCTTCTGGCAGATGTTCTGGCATATCTTCTGGCATATCTTCTGGCATATCTTCTGGCATATGTTCTGGCATATCTTCTGGCATTCTATCTGGCATATCTTCTGGCATTATACCTGGCATATCTTCTGGCAGATGTTCTGGCATTCTATCTGGCATATCTTCTGGCATATTATCTGGCAAATCTTCTGGCATTCCATCTGGCATTCTATCTAGCATATCTTCTGGCATATTATCTGGCAAATCTGCTGGCATTCTATCTGGCAAACATTCTGGCACTTTATCTGGCATATCTTCTGGCATTCTCTGGCATTCTATCTGGCATACCTTCTGGCATTCTATCTGGCATATCTTCTAACATTCTATCTGGCATATCTTCTGGCACTCTATGTGGCATATCTTTTGGCGTGGATACTCGCGGTTGAGGTCCGGCAGGGAACACTTGGCATGGATCCTCGCGGTTGAGGTCCGGCAGGGAACACTGGGCGTGGATGGTCGTGGTTCAGGTCCGGCAGGGAACACTGGGCCCGGATACTCGCGGTTGAGGTCCGGCAGGGAACACTGGGCGTGGATGGTCGTGGTTGAGGTCCGGCAGGGCACACTGGGCGTGGATGGTCGTGGTTGAGGTCCGACAGAGAACACTGTGGATCGCGGGTCGCAGTTGGACGAGGAGGACGACGACGAGGACGACGAGGACGACAAGGAGGACGAGGAGGAGGCAGGAGGCAGGAGGCGGCAGGAGGAGGAGGCAACTGACATAAAATCTAACAACCCTCACCTGGCAGGTGGGGAAAAACGATAACATTTACTTCTATACCAAAAGCTGAAAAACGATAATACACTCTTCAAAAAGTGATGACTTGGAGCTATATACCAAATATTGACCGAGGCCCACATGTTTTTGGCTCGCTTTTTTTCAGCCAATGATAGAGTTGTGGCTGTGGTTTTTATGTTTTGGAACGCAATTAGTTAATCATTTAGAAGGACACCTTCTCATGAATCATTCGCTGATGCGGATCCAATTCCTTCACCAGTGTTTGATGGATTCCTATACACTGGCCATACACTTTTGGTAGCGACATTAAAATATGTGGAGGGCGGGCCAGACCCCGAGGCCCGAGGAGGTAGTATCAAATACGCAGTTCGTATAAATATTTAGATGTAGTTACCGTATGTTTAAATGAATTGGATTCCGTATGTCTAAATGGCCGAGCGGGCCAAGGAAAACCTTCCCGGAGGTAGTCAAAAATACCGAAATAGATCCTGCTCGTATATTTTAAATCCGTATATTTAAATGTACTTACCGTGTATATATATATATAATATATATATATATATACATGATTATATATATATTTATATGTATATATATTTATATATTATATTTGGTGTTTTAAGGGGCTAGATTCCTTGACTACACAAGGTGCTAAAAGTGCAAAACTTGTCCAAGAATGTAGCGGGTGTGTGCTATGGCCTTTTGCCAGTTATAAGTCAGTTATAACCCCATTTATAAGTCAGTTATAAAGCTATGACTTACCTGGGAGCACTTCGAACCATGTATCTATATATATATACATTTTAGCTATCCATCAAATACAGGTTTGGCCCTTTACGAGTTATAAGTCAGTTAAAACCCCATTTGTTGGAATGATGACCCCATGAACATAACCATTTATTTATATATGCCATTTATATTAGCTATCCATCAAATACAGTTTTGGCCCTTTACCAGTTACAAGTCACTTCTAACCCCATTTATGGAATGATGACCTCATAGTACAACATGTAATGTTTATTTAACATGTTATAACATGTCTTAAGAAAAAAACGTGAATCACTCTCAATCACCATAAATTAACATCCATTAATCACCACCGATGTGACAATTTACAACAGGTGATTTCGGGCTGAAAAACCGTAGGAAATCGACCACTCACCTTGGCCGCCGTTTGTTCTTGTTCAGGATTTACCGGGGACGAGCTGGCTGTGCCGAAGTTTGAAAGGACGAATGGATTTACCGGTGGTTGTCCAGGTGGTTATATGTATGGTGTAGAGTTTCGGGTAAAGATTGGTAAAGGTTCACCACTTTGGGAATGTTGTGACTATGATTTTTTTGATTTTGGGTAGATATTTCCACAGCACTCTTTAGATCATAGGGCTTATAAACCAACTTAGGACTATAATTTGCAATGTTGCTATGAATCATTTTGGTAATACATGTCCACCACTAAAGGTTTTTATGTTCACCAGGCTTTTGACCCACCTCCATATATGTTCAGGGTTGTGCCCCCTAGTTTTATTTATTGATTTCTAAACCCATCTAAATTGTACGTATATCAACAAACATGTTGGTAGTATGTATTTATGTGCACCATAACTCCAACAGTTTGCCTAGTTATAAACGTACTATCTATGGGGCCTCTCTTCCTCTATCCTATACATTCCTATACCAGCTTGCATGATTTATGGAATTGGGATTGAATGGGGTAGAGCCGATGGCATTTGGGGGTGTAGCCAGCCATTGTAACGGCCGCCAACCCTTCACACCTTTTTGAAAGAATGTATCTACTTGGACGTGTGAGACCTAGATTGGTTTGTAGAAAGTTGATGACCACGATTAAGTTACCCAGCTACGGAGCTGAAAAATCCTCGTTGTAAAACGTTGTACAACATATGGAGGTTTCCTGAAAATGGGGGGGTATCTCCAAATCATCCATGAAACTGTTTTTTTCATATAAACCATCCATTTTAGGTACCCCCCCCATTTTTACAGTTGAAAATGCACCTCCAAGCGAGTTGGCGAAATTCGTTGGGGGAGCAATTATGAAAACTGTTTGATAAACTAATAAACACTTGAATTTTATTATATATGTCAATCGTTTGAAACTATGATCAATATATGAATCACAATAGTTTGATAAACTATGAATAGTACAATAAACTATAATATAATTGATAAACTATGGAGTTCGTACGATAAACTACATTATATACACTATATGCATCTGTAATAATTTTATTCAACCAAACATTTGGATGGTTTTCTGCCTAAATTTGCGGGTTTCCCGCTTTGAGGTTCAGCTTCATAGCATCTTCAACGCGATGGATGTGGAGCGGCTACCACTGTCCGGGCCCCATATCCCCAATACATGGAATATAGCAACTCCCACTAAAGATAGAACAGTTAAATCCTAGCAAAATAGTGATGGTTTTAATTTACTGTTCTGTTCGTGTGGTGGTTACTATATAGTAGCATATAGTAACTGGATCTTCCCATATGATCTTGGAATAGTCTGTTGAAGTCTGTTGCAATCCAATTACCTCTGTGGTTGCCATACAAGTCCGATGGGTTCTTTGCCGGACAGCCGCATGAGAAACGTCAAGGATAGTCGATGAAGACTAGGGGGTTTTGGCATCAGCATGTCACAGCATAAGTGTGTTTTTTCCTGCACAATATGCATGTCTTGCGCACTAGCCTTCAAAGCAATGACACGAACATCTCTGCATCACTTGGTGACAGCCGTTGGGCTTTGAGACGAGCCAGGATTCCTGGGGTGACAAGTGGTTTTCTATGGGAGAAAGTGTAGCAACCTCATAGCCAGCAGAAAACCATTAAGATGTTCATATGGGTAGAACATGGTAGAACCATCGAACATGGTGTTGAATTGAGTTGAGAATGAATTGAATGGTTTTGCCAATCAACTGAGACTAACACGTTAAACCGAAGCATATGAAAATCATTGAACATCATTTATTCGTGGAACCATCCATCGGAATTTAAGATGAACTGAACACTACTCAAAAAGACAAGATGTGTATATGAACGTCTGACATGTGGTTTGGTCCATTTATCTTTGGGATATGAACAGTGATCAATGCCCCAAACGTATTTGACAATATTTGACGGCGAAGGGCTTAAATATTGCACCAAATCAATCCACTAGATGCCATTCAAATTGCTTTGATGGTGCCAAACAAGGCACAAATCCTTGAGTCTCAGCGGGTCTCTAATGCTGCAGTACATCAATCCGCCACATACCTATATAATACATTACATTAAATTATATATATACTATACATTGTATTACTATCCATTAAATTATATATATACTATACATTGTATTACTATCATCCTAGGATTGGCTCCATGAAACACACAGACACTTCCGTCAATGTTGAATCAATCCATGGACACCCGATGACTTTCAGGTTCCAGTTGTTGTCCGATCTGGGCCACAGTCGAGAAGAGGCCCTCGGTCCTCGGTCCAAAATTGTGAGTCAAATCTGATTGGTAGTTTCATGATTCATATGTTATGTGTTGAAACATGTTGGAAAAAAAACCAGAGGTGGCATTGTTTTTTTTTGCATTTTCGAGGAGTTTGGCTTACCATTGTCGCTTGCCATGGAAACATGCTCCAAACCCCAAGATGCAAAACATGTCAAGAACAGAATTTGGGTGGGCACTTGTTTTGTCTGGGTTCGGTACTTCGGTACTCAATTGTTTTTGCGTTTCGTGTTGAGATTTTTGTCTGATCTCTTGATGATCACGGTAAGATGTAAGCGGCACAAAATCTGAGATGACATCTTTGAGCCATTTTTTTTGAGTGTCTGAGACACTTTTTTGGGTTTGGAAAATGGAGCCTATAACATATTGATGGAACACATGGGTTTGTCTGAAAATCTGGTATATAAATGTATATAACCCATTCTATGGTTTATAAGCTTATTTCTTGATGTTGTCATTTTCCTAACATGAAATTGCCGTTTCACTTGGGCAGAAAAACCTGATTTTTCCAGACCCATTTTTGATCAACGGACGTTGGGCTTGGAACGAGACCCTCCAGGCTGCCGCCATGGAAGCTTATTTGCTGCCCTTGCTTCCCTCCTCACAGGCTGAGTGTTTTAGGTTGTGGCTGTGTCAGAAAATGAGATCTGCCACAATTTTGTTGGATTTTGTTTTTTGCTTAGCTGATGGTTGACATGTGGATTTGGCCGACTTGTTGCTGTTCAGCAAACCAATATATATATATACATATATATATATATACACATACATATATATATATAGAGCTTGCAAAGCTATCTATAAATGGCTAATCACCTTACAACAGGTATATCCAGATGTTTAATCTGATGCACCACTGCTAAAACCCAATGTGGAACCCGAAACGACAAGCACATGGTTCAACACTTGTTCTAGGGGTTCTATGTTGGAGTGGCAAAAATTGCAGATTTTATGGATTATTTGCCTTGGTGATTTTCAGATTGAAAACAGGGACATTCAGCCGCCAGGGGGATGTACTGGAGGTGTTTAGGTCTTACCTTTAAGATTCTGGGACTTCTCCCAAGCAAGGCCAACATTTCTGGATGTTGATGTCTTCTCCACCTGGACAAATGTCACAGTACATGTCAGGATAATGTGTTAACTACTTATAAATGTCAGAGTTGATGTCTGAATGTATGTAAGCGATGTGTCACATGAACTTCGCCATATGTCAGAATATATGTTTGGGATACATGTCAGGATCAAGGTCAGTATAGGTGTCAAATTGTGTATGTATAACGAACAAATGTCCTAGGATACTTGGACTTAAGCATTCAATTAGGGAATTGCAACCAACCGGGGAGAAGTTTTCGGCACCACTTGTTGCAAGTCCTGCCCAGTGACTTCACAGTTTTGCATGATCCTGTACAGGACTTGGGACTGACTCTACTGATGTACCTATAAAATGATGTGATGATTATGTGACTAAAAACAGACAACACTAGATTTCTCAGGAACATGTTCTTTCATTTTTTTCGTGGGGACTAGTGAGGATTTGACGTCCCAAACAGTTGCGCTTCAGCGCAGCATTCACATAGCATTTTTCATCAGGGTTACCCATGTTTACGCTCCGGTGATCAGTCACATGGACTGCTGGAAAATCCCCTCATTTACGAACTTGGATGGGGATTTCCATGGGATTTTCGCCAGATGTTTGTTGTTGACCTCCCCAGGTTGGTTCAAAAAAGCCCATGGATGGACCATCTTAGATGACCCCATAAAAATTCAAGATGAAAGCAGAACTCTGAAATGGATGGACAACTCAAGATCATTTCCTATTGGATACAGGATGATACAGGTATATGATGCTATTTCATGGCATTATATATATATAGGTGTGGGTCAACACCTATTTTTGTCAATTTTAGTGGGAGGAACATGCATTTAAATCATGTACCAGCTATTTTAGGGTGCACTAGGTACCAGGGTTTTGACCCAGATCCATATGGCTCAATTGGTTTCAGGTCCCAAAGAGATGACAAGCCCAAATTTGTTTGGGTCCAGAAAGGTACCAGCATCTACGGTCACCAATTCCAGAAGGGTACCTTACTCGAAATGACAGATTTCATTGATTTCATTGGGACTTAAATCACCTATTTCTACAATCATCATTGACTGGAAACTGGGTGAATATACTTCTATCATCTTCTATCCCACGCATCATTGGCTGGAATTTGAACAAATACTTCTGTCATCAATTTGACATCAATCTATGGTGTGACATCTAGAAGTTGGGTAAAATAACATCTATCTATGCCTTGGTTTGACCGACTAACAATTTGTGACCCTTGTCAGGACGGCCTGGTGAGTTGTGAAGAGCTGCTCCGGTTTCTAGCACCTTGGTGATGTCCATGGAAATTAGGGGAACGTTTGATGAGAAAATGGTTGAACCAGAAAAAAATATGAAGATGATGAAGTAGCAATCAACCATATGTTGTGGGAGAATCTTCTTTTTTGTGAGGTTCATAATCTTAATAATCTTGTTGATGAACCATTAGCCCCAATAATTTTCAGGGAAATCCATATGATGCCATATTCTGTGGGAGAATCGCAGGCCTTACATAGACCTTACATGTCGATCAGTAGCTCTGATTTCGGGATTTCACATTCCCTAAACATATGGAAATTGTGATGGGGAAAATGACGAGAAGGAGAGAAACATTGATAATGTTGGGTAAGTTAGAGTGACCTCACGTCGTGACCTCACTGGAATCATGCTTAGGATTGAGGGGAATCATCCCAAATGGCCTTACTATAAAGTATTTCAGGTATTTTCAGGTTAGTGAAATATGACAATTCAGCCAGCTATTAGATACATATGGGGTTAACTATCATATAAGTGTTAAATAGCAATATATGATCATGCCATTCATTGGGTATGTATATATATATGTATATACATATACATGGTTTCATAATAGTTGCCATTCACATAATATATATCTGGGTAAATTATAACGACCTCACTATTCTCCCTCACTGGAATCATGGTTAGTAAGGGAAATTATCCCCAAATGTTGGGTATATAGATTGGCCATTTATAATTTGCGAAACAAAACGAAAAAAAAAACAGAAGACTTGGGATCAGAGCCATGTTTGGTGCTTTTTATCGAAGCCGCCGGGATCCGCCGGATGTTGCGGAACTGAGATCACCATGGGATCACAGAAATCCCGGAAAAAAACAATGGTGGAACAGGAGGAATAAGTGTAAGGTTAAGTTTTTGCAACTGGGAAATATTGTATATATAAGATATTTATATATATAATATAAGATATATGGACAATAGAGTTAGAGTTTAACAGGTTACTGGCCGGTCGCGACCGGCATCTACATTTGCCATGTCGAACTTCCTCGTAGAACTGGGATGATTTTTCAGTTACAGCCGCCAGTCACTACCCTCTGGTTATGTCAAAATAGCTATTGAAAATGGTGATTTATAGTGGATTTTCCCATGAAAAATGGTGGATCTTTCCATAGCTATGTTAAATTACCAGAGGGTATACCCAGATCAAAGGGTTGATAGTTGAAAGCCGCATCCCACTTTCAACCCATCTGCTACCTGTGATGACAGGGACTTGCCCTTTTGCGGCGACCCTGTAGTTGTTGAGCAAGTCATAACCTGATCGATGTTTCGGGATTAAAGTCCAATGACGCGCGGTGTGGAAAAAGGCACCCAGTAACCAGATGTTTTGTCGCACGAAAAATAGCAAAATCCAGTAAACAAGTAGATTTGGACATGTTGGTTTGTCTGAAAATAGTGTACCCCTACACCCAATGGTTAATGATCAGTTAATGATCATTATCCCTACTAAATGGCTATAATTGGGGGTATACCCCATTTTCAGACATACCCATGTTGGTCACTTTCCCTTGGTTATTTTCTTTCAGATCGCCTTGAGATTTGCCTGGAGATCCTGGGCTCAGCTTAGGCCGAGACAGCCTGAGAGGTTGGTCTTCCGTGTCCCACGGCGTGGGATTTTGGGGGGGTGAAAATGGTCATTTTCACCAAAACATGTTCGGCCAAATCAGCGAACATGGAAATGTATCTATATTTGCATATATATATATATATCACCTATAGATATATATATATATAATCTAGCAACTCACCTAAACCTTGAACTGACGCATCACAATTGTGTTGGGTTCACTGGAATCATGGTTAGTAAGGGAAATGATTATCCCCAAATGTTGGGTATATAGATTGGCCATAAGAGTTGGGATCAGCGCCATGTTTGGTGCTTTTTATCGAAGCCGCCGGATCCGCGGGATGTTGCGGAACCGAGATCACCATGGGATCACGATGAAATCCCGGAAAAAAACAATGGTGGAAAAGGAGGAGTAAATTGTCATGTAAGTTTTTGCAACTGGGAAATGTTGTATATATAAGATATAATATATATATATATATATCATATATATAAGATATTTATATATATAATTTAAGATATATGGACAATAGAGTTAGAGTTTAACAGGTTACTGGCCGGTCGCGACCGGCATCTACATTTGCCATGTCGAACTTCCTCGTAGAACTGGGATGATTTTTCAGTTACAGCCGCCAGTCACTACCCTCTGGTTATGTCAAAATAGCTATTGAAAATGGTGATTTAGTTCGTGGATTTTCCCATGAAAAATGGTGGATCTTTCCATAGCTATGTTAAATTACCAGAGGGTATACCCAGATCAAAGGGTTGATAGTTGAAAGCCGCATCCCACTTTCAAGCCATCTGCTACCTGTGATGACAGGGACTTGCCCGGCTGCGGCGACCCTGTAGTTGTTGAGCAAGTCATAACCTGATCGATGTTTCGGGATTACCAGAAAATGAAACGAACCACTTCCGATTCAAGTCCAATTAACGCGCGGTGTGGAAAAAGGCACCCAGTAACCAGATGTTTTGTCGCACGAAAAATAGCAAAATCCAGTAAACAAGTAGATTTGGACATGTTGGTCACTTTCCCTTGGTTTTGCCTGGAGATCCTGGTCTCAGCTTAGGCCGAGACAGCCTGAGAGGTTGGTCTTCCGTGTCCCACGGCGTGGGAGTTTGGGGGGGTCAAAATGGACATGTTCACATCAAAAATGTTCGGCCAAATCAGCAAACATGGAAATGTATCTATCTCTGCATATATATATACACATATATATATATATAATCTAGCAACTCACCTAAACCTTGAACTGACGCATCACAATTGTGCTGGGTTCACTGAGGGTCCCAATAGGTATCACCGATGACTGATTATATACTCATTCTTGGAGTCATGAAGGTCCACTCAACACCAATGCTTTACTGATGGCGGAGATGTGTGTATGTTTTTGTATGTTTTTTTTGTGTGAAATTGATTTTGCCGGGCCAGTTATGCAATTGTCAATGTCGCTATTGTTTTCATGAAAACTATCACGTCTCATTATCCTTACTATTATCAACATTGCCAAAGATATTTTGCTACGCAGTCATTTGCTAATCATATACCAATTCATTCATGAACCCTGATTGAGGACTTGTAAAAGTCCTACCTCTTCTTAGCTCTCCTTAGCCACTGGGACACACCGTGCCTACAGAATCACTTCAAAGTGGCAATCACTTCCCCGAGCCCTAGGATTTTATCTAAAACAACATATATGGGGAAAAAAGACATGAAACTACAATTTACCACCATATTAAATAGGATTGTACTGTTCTCTGTTTTCGGTTTTGGTAAAGTTTTAGTGGCCACGTCATAGCCGCGTCAGAGCCTTGCACGCCAAGGAGTCAAACGCAGCGCTATTTTCACAAAGCAGCGCGTGCTGGCTCCAAAACTGGCCAAGAAACAGTCAACGGAGATAGAATACTCACTATGGATATGATGTGAAGCCAATATGTTGCTATGGGAACCCGAGAAATCGACAGAAATGGACTGATTCTTGGCTTTTAGACCCAAAACTGAACATCAGTCTTGCTTCATGCACTCGGCCAGGGTATGTGAAGCCAATATGGCCCATGACAGCACTCGACCAGGGGGGTGTGAAAGCTCAAATTAGACCCAGACATCCCATAAAAGAAAGTGAAAGATGGTAAACGTTTCAAAATCTTGGACGAATGTTTTCATATTTATTGGTACTTTGAAGGGGTTGGATATTTGGGTACTATGCTGAGCATGTCCTATTGAATAGGAGCTACTCAAGGTGCCAAAACAGCTCAGCAGTGTTTTGTTTGAGTACTCTCCGGCCATATTCATGACCATACCCATAGGATCCATGGTGCTGCTGTATATGGTAACATTTACCATCAATATACCCCATTTTTGTTAGCATATATACCATACATGGATCCTATGGGATATGTATTGTCACAGTGCAAAGACATGCAAAAACACATTCAAACAAGATTTGGCAAGCGTATTTGCAGCTTGCCATTCAGAATGAGGTGAACATAGGTGAACTCTAAATGAGAAGATCCAAAGCTCATTCCCCCTCAACATGTTGCTGGTACTTCATGACTTCCAAGATCTGGAACCGAGTTGCTGGGCCCAATAGACACCTGAGATTCCAGGAATCCAAGGGATTGGATAGAAAATGGATATGTTGGGTCCTGTAAAGAAAACATGTCATGACCTGCGGTTGCAGTAGCCACGGTTTTCAGACCCACTGGAGATATATGGAGATATATGGAGATATCTTATGATATCTTGAAGTCATCAGTATCTTGAGATATCTTGAGCATTCATGAGCCATGTTGTAAAGTAGCTCTGATTTTTCAGTTGGGTGTATCCGTCCTAGCCGTCTGACGGCCACGGAAGGGCCAGGATTCACCTTGCGCGTCCCGGCCCATGTGAGCAATAAGATGGGGGTACAGTACCAATTTATTTCTAGAATGTATATACATGTATATACTATAATGTGCTAGTATCACTATGTTGGGGAGTAACTCCCCTGATGAATCAACAGAGTTCATTAATCCCTGCTTGACATCAAATCCACATAGAAACAGTTTTGGGGAAGACACTCTGGAACTGCAGGAAATTCACCACACAATGGGTACAAGAGAATCAAGAGAAGGATACCTTGCAATACTTGGATTCGATGTTGCAACAATTACAGTAGCTAGTAGTTAGTGTTCGTTACTCAGCGGGTTATACATAGATCTGTCAAAAAAGCACGACTCTCTAGTTCTGCCAACATCTATAGCAACCCCCAAAACAGCATAGGACAGTTAAAACCCTGAAACCATGGTGGAACATCGGAACATCATCCGGGGAACACGTTTCTATTTTGCCAAGCTGGTTGCAACCCAGGAAATATCCAAGTTTTTCCCGTTGTCCCGTTGTCCGGTTGTCGTGCCGCTTCGCATGGCGAAGAAGAAGGATATCCCAAGTGTTTGTCATGTACTGGTCTCAAATATCAGGACACTGAAAGATCCATACCCATAGGATCCATGTTGCTGCTATATATGGTAACATGTACCATCAATATACCCCATTTTTGTTAGCATATATACCATACATGGATCCTATGGGACATAAAACTATATATAGAACTCGGTCCATGTGTCCCCACAGGTTTCTACGGGAAGCAACAAGTTGCATCATGTTGTGGGTTAACCAATAAACACTGGTTATAACTATAGTTCATGGGGTAAATCAACCTGTGTGTCAAGAAAGGGGATTAGATCATATAAAATCCCAATTAATATCGGAATCCCAATTAATAAACCATTTAAGGAGATGCTTACCTGATTTTGATGACTTGGGGATTGTTTATAATGAGGTTTTCCACATGTGCAAAATCAACATTAACCGAACATCTGGAATCATTAACCCTCTGATTATTTAACAGTTCGCCATGGGAAATGGCCATAGAAATAGATGGTTTACCTATTAAAAATTGTGATTTTCCATGGCTATGTTAGTCATAACCAGATGGTAGGTAAATCTCTTCGTGCCCTTGTGACCTTTTTTCAGTGCAGAAGCTGGTTATCACCATCCCCCAACGGTTTGTGGGCTTGCCCACATTCCAGGTATCCATTCATAAACATGATTGGTTATGTACCCACTATTAACATCTATTAACCATTGTTAATTATCATTATTGTATGTTTTTATATAATATATATATATATACACACCGTTTTGCCACATTACTTCTACATCAGGAAGTGATTCGATGCACATCCACGCAGTGAGATACACCCAACCCAGCTGCCCACTCTGAGAGTTGAGCAGCGGCGCAAGAGATAGCGTCTCTTGAAACGATGACCCATGACCCAAGGAGTACACAAGGAGTCGCATGGTATCTCAGATTAGCCATATATGAGGGTTTCCATAAATGGCGGTGACCCAAAATACTGTAGATGGTTTATAATGGAAAATCATGTTAAACTGAATGGTGCATAGCATTGAACCTATAAATGTTTGCATGTTTGTTGACTTCCATCTTCCATCCTTCTGTACTTACCCGCCCTATGTTCCCCATTGTTCAAAGGGTCTCCCAACTTTAAGAGACGTTACCCATCCGCGCCATTGTGAAAATGTGCTGCACTTTCGGCGCCAGCGCCCATTTTCGAACCGGCGGACCGCACTGGGTAGGTTGGAAGTGAGACTCGAGCCTGGTCAAACATGGATCTGAAATGAGCCTAGAGACTGGATCTATAAATGGACCTTGCAATCCATTTAAGAAAGTGATGGATGATGATGATGAGATTCTAAAACAAGAAGAACTGTCAGGATTATCCAAGGAACCCGTTGCTTCCAGCGCCGTTGATGCTGCCGCACGGACTGTTGGTCCGAAACGTGGTCAGAACGGTGAATTTCCGAGCCGCGCAACGCGGCGGTCTGCTCCAAAAGGAGAGAGGGAAGGACCATTTTCTGGAAAGAAATGGATACAGTTAAAGCCCTTTACCAGTCATAAATGGTTATGTTCATGGGGTTATCATTTCATAAATGGAGTTAAAACTGACTTATAACTGGTAAAGGGCCAAAACTGTATTTGATGGATAGCTAACAGGATGCTAACAGGTATAATATATATATAGATACATGGTTCGAAGTGCTCCCAGGTAAGTCGCAGCTTTAGGGAAGCAGTCTTCAAAGGAGCCTCCGGTAATGAAACATGGCAAGCTGGGAAATTCTCTATCAGCGGAGGTTTTGATAGGAAAATCATTGCAGGTACAGAGCTGATAACTGCAGTAGATTCTACAGTTTACTGTAAAATAGGCCCAGGAGTTTGGAAACAGAAAAACGCCAGTATCAGTATAATGCAGTAAATAGCTGCTGGGATTCTATAAATAGTTTCTGGGATTCTGTAAATAGTTCCTAGGATTCTACAAATAGATCCTGGGTAGCTATGGCCCCTAACACAGAAAGAGGCCAAAGCAGTAAGTAAAGTTTACACCTTCATTTGATCACTTCTGATTTCTGGATGTGCTAAAGTTTCTATGAAGGGATCCGGTTCTCCAGCATCTCTGTTGGCCACTGGATTCGCAAGGGAGAAAACACATCACAATGGCTAGGTTCGCTGTCGTCATCATCACTATAGCTTGGTGAACCATCCTATTTCTTGCGCTGATGGTGATGTGATATTTCCCCATTGGAAAAGAAACATTGGGGGAACCACTTTTCTGACTCATGAAACCCACGAAGCCCTGACACCTCAACGATCCAGCCATATCCAGCCTTTGGAAGCTTACCCAACTGTGGCATGGCTTTGAGTCATGGATCTCTTTTTGCCCTCCAATTAATTCAATGAATTTAAGAACACGGTGTGATGTCTCCAAAAACCACTCTTGCTAGGACACTCAAAATACCCATAAAGCACGCATACAACCATATCAAACATGTAGCTTTAGTACTTAACTGCCATGTTTTCTTATGGCTTTAAGTGATTTTTTTTTGGCGAACGGTTCGACGTTCGAGATCTCACGATGCCAGGTCAATTCAAAAGAACAAGATCTTGCGAAACGTTGTCACTTGGCTGCATGGCGATGCCTTGGGGAAACCATGGAGAGATGAGTTACCGTGCCTTGGCAGGGGGAAAAGCTGGCGGCAATCGAAACTGTGTACAGATGGCGTTCTCGGCCTTAGGCAGTTTGCAACTGGAAGGTACCCAGATGTTTTTAGGTCAAACCAGCAATAATGTGGTTAAACAATTAGGTAATACCACATTAGGTTTGGAAGGTACCCAGTTTGTTTGTTTTCTTTTACCACATTGTTGGAACGTTAAACACATTTTTGTGGTAAAACCCAACAATACACCATCCCCTTAAATGGTAGGGTGATGATTGGGTTTCCCACATGTTTGTTGTTTGTTTGTTTTGATCATCACCGGGACATGATGAAATGTTGATCAAATCCAAGCTACGTGGCGGGGATATGACTCGCCATTGATTTGTTTGATCCCAAGTGTTGGTTATTAATCAAACCAAACTTAGATTATATCCATATATCTGGGTAAATTATAAAGACCTCACTGCGACCTCACTGGAATCATGGTTAGTAAGAGGAATCATCCCAAAATGGCCTTATTTCAGGTTAGTGAATTATTATAATTTACCCAGATATATTTAACCAACTTATGTCTCGCCATATCTTTAGATAACTTTACTATACTTATACTTTAGTTGGTTTTTGTTCAGCATAGAAATGGCTGGAATGACAATCATGTTTGGGCTTTTTATTCTGGTGTGCCTTGCAGGCAGTATCTTACCCCTTGAATCTTTCCAAATCTCTACCTGGGTTCAAGATGTCACAACCCCGTTCCAGGTCGTTTATGTTATATATATATATAGAGAGAGTACATAATATACGTGTGTTGTTTATTTATCACATTTTTAGTGGTCAAAACTCCCATCACATTTCAGTGCTTAATGTATATAAATATAACATTATACATTCTCTATATCATTATATCAAATTATGTATATATATGTACATAGTACATATGGGTAAATCATAACGACCTCACTATTCTCCCTCACTGGAATCATGGTTAATAAGGGGAATCATCCCCAAGATAGCCTGAATTCAGGTGAGTGAAATATTATAATTTACCCAGATATATGTCTGTCTGGTACGACATTATGTTAGTAACCAATGATGATTACAAATTATTGATATTGGAGCAGTTTGGATTTGTAACCAATTATATTTATCACTATAGTTGTTCTTCAAATTCACTTCCTAGACAAAAGTAATCACATCTATGATCATGGACATGATTATGACTATGATGATGTTTATTATCACCATGATTGTTAAACATATATGGCTATGGATCAATACCTATTAATACCATTTTTAGGGGGATGAACATCCATAAATCCCAGCTATTTTGATGTTCACCAGGGGTACCTGTATTAGATGCATGCATGGCCACCTGTATAGAAACCGCTTCCTTTCCAGGTCACTGCAGCGCGACGCTGCTCCGCACACACGGTGGTGCAAGCCAGTGAGGCGCACGTTGAAACGGGAACGGTGGTTGATCGTGTGTTGAAAACTGGGTTATAGATCTGGGAAAATTATAACGACCTCACTGTTCTTCCTCACTGGAAACATGGTTTATTTTAGGGAAATCATCCCCAAATGGCCGCAAGATTCAGGTTAGTGAAATATTATAATTTTCCCAGATGGTTAGCCTCTGGTAAACTAACAGTTTGCGAACTGACAAATGGCCCATTTATAGTTGATTTACCTATCAAACATGGTGATTTTCCATAGCTATGTTAGTTTACCAGAGGGTATAGACAATGAACATATGGGGGGGTTCATGGGGGATCCCCAAAAGCTGGATGGTTTTTTGAATGGAAAATCCCAAACAAACATGGATTAGAAATGGTGGTTTCCCCATGAAAATGGACACCGAAAAATTTACTGAGGATACTGATAACTTACAATTACCAAATGATGTTTTTTTTTTTCGGATTTTCCATGGACATGTTACTGTTACCAACATTTACCAACCATTATTTGTAACATAATGGTAGTAATAGCAGCTTTTTTTTTTCCTAATGGGTTACGGGTTTCTGATTTTTCCATGGTGGAAATCCATGTGCGTTGATGACCCTACGAGTTATACAACCTAATTTATTGGAGATTATAAATTATAGCAACCACTGATGATTATATGAGTGTGAGACACGTGCATGACATGCAATTGGATTTGTAAAGATGTCGCATGTGTCTAGAAATCTGGGCTCAGGAAAATATTAGCATGAAGTTGTTTAGTGCTATTGCCGTTCAGCTACTTGCCATATTGTTGCGTGAGGGTTCCAAGCGTGTGGAAGAATTTCATTGCCCGGCCATTGAGTTCACTTGCAATTGTACATCCTCTGAACAGCCAGCGCACATTGCACCTTCTTATTTCCTGATTGTGATCACTGGTGTATCTGGAGTTTTGTTGGGTGGACTAACAGTTTGCTTGGTGAAGGGGATTTCCACTAGAAAGAATGGAGATGAAAGCCGGCACGTCAGACGCCGCGGTGGTGGGGTGCTTGAAGACCCTCCTGCCTGGTAGACGGATCCTGGTGTGGTATGCCAATGATCATGTCTGGCATGAGATAATTGTGGGCATGGTGGCAACAGAATCCCTGGCAGCAATTTATACACCTGACTCCGACCTGTATCTCGAAGACTTGACTTGCAGTGGAGTTGACGGGCCATCGAGGCTAAGAAGTCTTGGTCCTAGAATGACTCTGCCAAGGAACCTGCGTGCTCGAGCATATCGATTTCGAGCAGCGGTCACAGATGATGACATTAGGAAGATTATTTTGGATTCTGCCAAGTTGATTGAGAGTGAAGGTCACACGGTGGTTTTACCAGATGATGTTGTGGATTCCAAAGGTGCTAATGTGAACATTGACACATTCTTTGATGGCAGTTGCCCTCTGAGGGTTGTTCCAATTGGTGCAGCTGGGTCGTCCCCTCAGACTCCCAAGAATGCCCTGGTTGTTAGACCGGCATTGGGGGACAGTGTCTGGCTAGCGGCTGAACCTTTGGGGGGATTGCTCCTTGGCCAGGAAGTTTCTCTAAATGAGGAAACGGATGTGCAGTGTGGTGACCGCTTTGCATTAGCCTTGCGTCAGGGTGAGTATGTGAAAGTCGAGATGGTCAGAATCAGTGATGCCGCTGACTATGCTGAGAAGCGACGGCAGCTTTTCTCTGGTACAGCTGCTTCTTCTGGGTCGAGTGATGACAAGGCAAAGAAAGTGGAGGAGGATTCAGAAGTTAGGACACTTTGGGTAGATTTTGATGAGCATGGTGACAGATTCAAGCGGTGGCGAGATGTTGTGAAAGAGTCATATACTCCTTCATTCGATGAGAAACCACTTGAGGGTCCAGCGACGGGGCTGCATCTGATCAAGCATGCTGAGCGGCACGGGGGTGACCCGAGGCTATGGCTGCAGTTGTGGGCCAGGGCGAAACACATCGAGGTGACTGACCGTGTTCATCACGAACTTAAGGTATTGACGGATTGCTTGTACTTTGCTGGTACCCATGATCAACTCAACATTCCTGCCCTGGTGTCTATGGAGATTGTTTGCAGACGTGTGCAAGCAATAGTGGACGCTTACAGCCATGCTAGCAAACCATCATGGGAGAATGCCAAAATCTTCACTGGTCAAGGGACTCCTGAGGACATAGTCTCCCCTAGCGTCAGGACCTATGCAGCCAAGAAGAACAAGGACGAGCTGGAACTTTTGCAGGCAAGGCAGAAAGTCCGGGAGTTGCGCGTTGGTGGAGGATCAGATGATGTTGACATTGTTGATGGACTGCCCAGCAAGCCTCCAAAGGGTCCCAAAGCCAAACCAAAGGGCGGACCCAAAGGAGGTGGTGGGCAGGCAGACTCATGATGAATGACAGGTCGGGGGGGCTCATGTCCCCGTCCCCTCCCGACCGGGCCTATGAGAAGGGGGCCGCAATGAAGCAGCCTGGATCGTCAGCGAAATTTAGCCAGCGTGAACGGGTGCTATTTCCATTGCCACTTTTTGCATGTCCTGGTCATAAGACAGGTGTGTCTCGTCCTGTCAAACAGAGGAGGCACAGAATTCGGAAGGTGACTGAGAATTGCAATGAGGCCATCCGAGGTCTCAACTGGCTCGCTGGTTGCTATGACTATGTAGAGAAGTATTGTGAGCTACAACATTGCAGTCCTCTTCACCAAGAAGTCATGATGCGTGTGGATGGTCTGGTCCGTGATCAGAAGCCCAGTGGCATCATTGACTCACCTGAGGCAGCACTCCGATCGCTGCTCAGAGGAGGGTCGCCCTATGACTTGGCGGTCTCCTCGGAAACGTTAGCGCCCTACCGAGATGACCTCCTGAGTGTTCCTCATGATGTGCATGGATGTCCGAGACTTTTGGATGTTCTGCCTGCTCAGGATTGTCAGTTTTTGGAGGAGGTGAACGAGCTGATGCTGAGACGAGATGATGAAGTTGAAGTGCCACCAATGACACCCTATTGGGACCCTGTGCTCAGGCACAATCGTTCTGCCTATCGGAAGCTGGTCAGAAGGCTTCACTCCATTGGGTACTTCACCTACACCTTGGAGCCCAAGTGCAAAGTTGGCGTCTTCTTTGTTTGGAAGTCGTCGAGGACCAAGTTGCGGATGATCACTGACGCCCGACCGGCAAATCGGCTCTTTCTGGAGCCACCTGGTGTCAGTTTGATGACTGGTGAAGGGCTTGGTCGAATTGAGGTTGTTTGCGATGACACCATTTTTGCTGACATCTCTGCGCTTGACAACCTGGAGGTCTTCATAGGCCTTTCTGACGTTAAGGACTGCTTCCATCGGATGCGTGTGCCTAGCTGGCTCGCTAGGTATTTTGCTTGGGATGCAGTCACGGCGGCAACAGTGGGCATGACAGGCGTTGAGTTGGAAGGGAAGGTGCTTGCAGCGAATGACCTCATTTTCCCCTGTGCCGGTAGTCTATGTCAAGGTTTTTCATGGTCATTATACTTTGCACAGAAGGCGAATGAATACCTGGCTGGATCGATATCTCCTCTTACTGATGCTAAGCTGGCCAGTGATCGGGGTGGACCGGTTATCCTGCATGTTTCCAAGGATGTTGACTCATCTGCTCACTTCTATGTCTATGTGGACAACCTTGGAGTGATCAGTGTGGATGAAAGCGAGGTGAAGGTCGCCATGGAGGAGTTGCAGGCTTGTTTCAACAGCAAGGGTTTGGAGCTTCATGGCAGTGAAATTACTCAAGGCAGTGTTGAAGCTCTTGGTTGCGTGTTGGATGGCAATAGGATGAGAAGTCGATGTAATGCTAAGAGGCTTTGGCGTGTTCATCATGGTATCAAAGGGTTGCTCAACAGGGGTCGATGTAGTGGCAAGGCACTGGAGATAGTCATTGGTCATTGCACTTTTCTGGGACTCATTAGCAGGGGCAGTCTGGCTTGTTTTCACAGCGTTTACTCCTTCATTCAGAAGAACTATGGACAAGTTGCGTCCCTGTGGCAATCTGTTGTGAATGAGCTGACTGCTTTTATGGGACTCTGTTTTCTTTTGGTGCAAGATTGGTGGCGCCCCTGGAATAGACTGGTAACATCATCGGATAGTTCACTGGTTGGTTATGGCGCGTGCAAGAGTTGGTGGCCAAAAGACTTGGTAGCTGAATCTGGCCGTGTGCAAGAGCGAAGTCGTTTCCGTAGACGTGATAGTCATTCAGCTAGGGAATCAGCCCTAGTCGCTGCTGGTTTTCACCTCAAAGGCACGACTTGGAGCCCTGTTGATGAGAAAACCATGAATGAGATTGCTGAGTCTGGCTGGGAGGTAGTAGATGATTTTCCTGAAATCCCCTCTGGTGCCCTGAAGAGAAATTTGTGGACACCTGTTTTTTGGGGCAAGTGGGAACACAAAGAAAACATTGGCATCCTCGAAGCTCGAACCATTTTGAAGAGCATCAAGCGAGTTTGCATGACTAGGTATGGCCATGACATTCGTCATCTGCATTTGAGTGATAATCTTGGAGTTGTTCTTAGCATTGAGAGGTGTAGGTCTAGGAACTTTAAAGTGCTGAAGGTGATCCGTTGTATAGCTGCATACTGCTTTAGTAGAAATGTACAGCTTGCCATTAGATGGATCCCTAGTGAATTGAATGTTTCAGATGAGCCCTCACGAATTCATGACCCAAGTGATTCGAAGCTGTTGGTTGACCTTGTTGTGGCCGGTGATTTTGAAAGGTTTTCTCCTCAAAGTTCCCCCCTGCCTCATGCCAACGCCACATCGGAAAAGGCGACTGAGCCTTCCCCATGTGAACGCACCAGCAGACAAGCGACAGCAGACTGCGACCAAGTCCAGGACCCTCAGCCTGACAGTTCCATTGGCTCCGACGCCCAAGTCATCTCCCGCTCGGAGGAGGACCCTGGATCAGGAATTTGTGACTGGAAGACTGAAGGATGGGAAGGTCAAACCTCTTTGCCTGCCCAAGTCAGAAAAGGAGTTAGCAGTCTTGTTGGACAAGAAGAAGTTCGAGGTGGAGTATCAGGAGGAGTCAGACAGCGACAGCACGTCGTCAGAAGTGAAGGAAGAGCAAGGCGGAGGATGGAGTCGCACATTGCGAAGCAGGCCAAAAAGACAACTGCAGAAAAAGGTGGACTTGCTGATGTCTGGGAGCGTGCATGGAAAGAGCATCCTGGAGACGGCGGCCATATCTGCAAGGGCCCGAGAAAACTACACTCGGAAGTGGGAAGAACTTTCGAAGTTGGCCAGATCCAAGGGTGTGAGCTTGGACAATGCGGAAGCTTTGGATTCAATGCTTGTGGAACTCTTCGACCAGAAATTTCTGGAAGGCGAGGGTGCTCACTATGGGGACTACATGTTGGCCTCCCTCATGGACATGAAACCGGCGTACAGCCGGATGGGAGACAAGAAGATCCCAAGAGCCTGGCGGTCACTACGAGGATGGCGCAAGTTGTGCCCATCTCGCTCGAGACTTGCCTACCCATTGGCAGTTTGGGCGGCTTTGAGCTGGCGGATGGTTGTGCACGGCCATCTCAGCAAAGCTGTGTTCAACCTGCTCCAGGTCTCTTCTTACCATCGGCCAGGCACTTTGCTGAAGCTGAGGAAGTTGGGCCTAGTGAAGCCCACTGCTGGGGTGACCACGCATTGGTCGATCCTCACGAGCCTGAGCGAGACTTCAGATGTTTCGAAGGTTGGGACGAAAGACGACAGTGTGATGTTGGACTCGGAGTGGATTCAGTTCATCACACCTCTGCTGTCAGTCCTTGCGAGGGGGCGTCCTATGGATCGTGTTTGGGACTTCACCTATGGAGAGTACCTGGCAGTCTTCAACCGATGCGCATCGGAGCTGAAGATCAATGTAGTTCCATATCAGGCCCGTCATTCAGGGCCAAGCATAGACAGAGCTGCAAAAACCCGAGATCTCGACGAGGTCAGAAAGCGTGGAGGATGGATGACGAGGCAGAGCGTGATGAGATACGAGAAGGCAGGAAGATTGGCAGCGACATGGCAGAAGCTAGATGCAAACATTCAGACAAGCTGCAAGTCAGCCGAGAGGTATCTGGAAGACATCATGCTCGGCCACAACTATCCCGACATCCCACTGCCGAGTTGAAGCGTGAGCGTGGCTACCTTGCAGACTTTTTTGCTGGTTCATGCGGTGTTTCCCGAGCTGCACAGAAGCTTGGTTTTAGCACCAGAGAATGGGAGTTGCTTCATGGTGAACATGCTGACCTTACCAAACCCATTGTTCAGTATAAGATCAAATGCGATATTCAGAAGAAGTTGGTCTTGGCTGCAATGTTGGCTCCACCTTGCTCCAGTTTTTCTAGGGCTAGGGACAGGACCATGGTGATCAGAACGAAGCAATTTCCATGGGGTTTACCGGACTTACCACCGCATGAGCAGTTGAAGGTTGATCAAGGTAATGCTTGTTTTCGTGCGGCTCTCAAGATCATCAAATGGCTGGATAAGTATAAGATTCCTTGGATCCTTGAAAACCCGTCCAGTAGTAAAGCCTGGTTCATTCCTGAACTTGTTTCTCTTCAGAATGCTGCTCATACTCATCTGGTGGAAACGGACTTTTGCCAGTTTGGCACTAGGTGGCGCAAACGTACAAAGCTCCTTGCTGGTAACATGACTTCAGATGATATAGCACGATGCAGTCAGCTTTGTTGTGGTGCCCCTGGTGTCTGTGATCGAACAGGTAAAGGTCATTTTCAACTAACAGGCAGTGCTCGCAATGGTGTTCCCTGGACTCGTATAGCACAACCCTACCCGAAGAAACTTTGTCATCACCTTGCATATGCACTTCTTTGTCCATACTTGATGAGTACAGCAAACCTATCTCATTGACTTCATTGATGCGATCCTACCCTTTGGCTGCAGCCCTCAGCACTCACAGACAAAACAAGCAAACACCCCCCCCACACCCCCCTTTTTGTTCACATGTTCATGGTTTGGGTCAAGTGAGGAGCTTTGTTTTTCCGTTGTTCCATTCCATGGCGGTAACTCAAAGCTTGCATGTACATGATTTGGGATGAGGCACTCCTTTATTCTTTTAAGATCTCAGGAGCTGCCTGTTGCACTTCTCCTTTCGATTTCAATGCTCAGTGCAACGATAGTGCAAGCGTTACTCAGAAGTGTGCCGCCTTGGAAAATGGATTGCGGATGTCATAGTAGTGATACTATTGTAAAATGATATTTGTCGTAACCAATGATAATAATAGTTATGTATCGTGATAATTGATATAGTCACTGGACCTTGTGGGTTTTCAGCATCAACTATACGTGTTTAGTGGATTTAGTTAGTTTCTATGGGAATTTACCTTGGAAAGCTGGACAATTGATGGGGAAAACATCATCGAACTACCATCCTAGTTTCACATTTTTGGGCCTTGGGGGCTCAACTATAATCCGAATGAGAATGCAATTGATAAATCATCCTGGTAGCGCTCAGTGTCTTGATATAAGTAATATAAGTATTCCTACTTTTATCATTTTTTATCCCATGTCACCATTCTGGATACCATCTAGTATAACATTTCGCACCCATCTACTTAATGATGATTTACCATGGATTAATCCATGGATTTTCCCATGATTTACCCATGTTTCACATGTGATCTTCAGCTATGTAAACGATTACCAAAGGCTAACCTGAATCATCGGGTGCCGGGAAAGGTATTTCGAACATGCCAGATAAGATCACCTAATAAATTGGCAATCTTTCATGGGGACAGTGATATAGGGCACCCGAAAGACTTGGAAACCTGCAAGATATTCAACTACTAAGACTGGGAAGAAAGAGGACAACAAATGTTTCTAACGTTTCTTTTCTTGCAAGAGAACTAGCCCAAACTGCAGTTTCCAAATGGTTCCTTTACAAACTATCATGGCTACAAACGGTTTGATGCATATCCATGCATATCCTGCATATGCTGGGTGAATCTTTAAGCCGTTAAAAATCTTGGCGTGTCGGGATCAAAAGGATAAACACTGTTTCTGGATGGTGATTTGGAATGTATCTGGTTGGTGGTTTGGAACATGAATAATCATCCCAGCTGACTAATATTCTTCAGAGGGGTTGAAACCACCAACCAGGTATTATTTTCATTTATGGTCCATCCTATTTGGCACGACAATCCTAATGTATTTTTTTCATTGGCATTAAAACCACCAATCAACGGTTTTTGGGTTTCTAAATTTGATATGACTCATTATGTAACAAAATTCTTAGTTTTTGTTCAACATGTTTTTAGTTTCCTATTCTGTATATGTGTGCTTCGATTCCCCTTATCTCAGCGGAATCTGTGGTAAACCTTGAGCCCGCCATCGCAGGACTTGCAACTGCGCCTTTGGGATAGCCGTAGCTCGCTGGGCAAAGGACCAGTGATGGCTGTCGCTTGGACGGAGTCGGAGTGGCGCGTCAGTTTTTTTTCCCGGGGAAAGATCATCAAAGATGGGGTTTTGATATGTTTTAAAGGCATCAGAAATGTATGGATGAAATAAAAATAAATGTTCTTTGACTATAAATAAGGGCTATGCATTGTTACATGATACCTGCTTGAGGATGATTGTGACCTGTTGGGCCTTTTTTTTTTGGTGTATCGACCAAGCAGTATCAAATGGTGTTGTTGTGCATTTTGCTGGGCTAAATCCTGTAGATTTTTATGCATTTACCCTCTGGTAAACTAACGAAACTATGGACAATCACCATTTTCAATGGGAAAATCCACTATAAATGATCATTTTCAATAGCTATGTTAAATTACCAGAGGGTAGTTTGTTGCCAAGAATAGGCAAATAGACCACCCAAATATATGATAATATATGTGTTCTTGCAAGGTATGTCAAAGGTGGCAACAACATGAAGTGGGGATGGATCTAAACTTAGGGCCCTGAGAACTGGAAAGCAGCAATTGACACCCAAAATTATGGATAAGTAATCATAGTAATAACATGTAATTAATTCACTAGTCTGAATAGTCGGCCATGGGGGAATGATTGGCCCGATCCTTAACCATCATTGTACGATTCATAGTAATGCCATCACCCTATAAGAGAATACCATCTGGTTATATTTAACAATATTTAACATAGCCATGGAAAATCACCATGCTATTAATAGGTAAACCCATCTATTTCTATGGGCCATGTTCTATGGCTATGTTGTTAGTCATAACCAGGTTGGGTCTACTTCCTTAAATCGAACGGCCCAAAATTGAGAGAAAAAAACAATTTGCGGATCAGGGGATGGGATCTGTTTGGTGGGTCATAAGGGTCATAGGTGGTCCCCGAAAAGGCTCTGTCTTGGATGGTCTGCATTTTGAAAATCCATTTGAGTCGGATGTCAATGGTGTCTTTATGCCAGCATGCTGCCTGCACAAATGTCTCGGTGCGCCTCCGAAGATCTGGCAACTTGATGTTGATGATGCTCAAGTGATTTAGCGATTTCAGAGTGCCAAGATGTTCCAAGTGAAAAACCCCAGATGTGGGCCCTGCAGAATCGATATAGATTAATATGGGGTTCATACCAGCAAAGATTAGAAACGCATTTCAACCGGCCCCCAAAAATCCTGATTCTGGTGGCAACCCCCTGATTGACTGGCAGAGTTGATTAGTTCGGGGTTGGCATCAATTCTTTTTGTTTGAGATCCAACCAAGTCTATAATAATATGTGGGTATGGGTCAAAATTAGGTACTCCAATAATTGGATGGTTAGTACTAAACTAGACTCACATCTGTGGTTTGCTAGGTCTTCCATTTTGACCCACATCCATGTGGAAGAAGAGGAAGAAGAACCCTTCTGCCCAAGTTCCAACCCCAAATCATACTATCCAGCAGGAGGCCATATCTGGTCAGATGTAAGAACTGGCCAGAATTGGCCCGTTCTCCAAGAACGTCAACAGACGAAAGGAATGGACGGATTTTTTTGTAAGGTTCATTTCACTGAACTACATTCATTAATGTATGATAAAATATGTGATTTATCTATCATTTATCATGATGATTAATTCACTATTACCATTATCACTATTACCATTATCACTATTACCAGTATCACTATGAATTACGATCATGATTACACTTCACTATAGTTCAGTGTTACTATTTCACCAGAGTTCACTCAATGATCATTAAATTTTCACTTCGCCGCCCAGGTACGCGCAGGTCCCAACCAACTGATCTGCCTGGACGTGCCACAGGTGAGAATTCCCTTGCTTTGTGGCTTTTAACTTCTTGTTGATATGTGGATAAACTAATGATGTGGAGAAAATAGGGGTCAAACAATGGGATTATATATGGGATGTATAGGGATTATATGGGATTATATGTGTAATATATATATATATATGTGGGATTATATATTTGATTGCCACAATTTTGAAATTTTATGGGATATATCCCTCCTGTAAAACCATCATCATATGTGGAAAACCCACCATGTGTAGATCATTTTCTAAACTGGAAACCGTAGGTTTTTCACATCTATGTTAGTCCATCCAAAGGGTGATTTCTCGGGACATGAACCTGGATGATTTTGTCGCAATGTCGGGCTGGAATCCTGGTAACGGGAATCACCCCAAATGGGCCTTCAGGTTGGTGAGCGATTACTAGTCTATTGTAGAGAATTGAGGTATAGGAAATGCCAACGCACTCACTTTACCCAGGACAACATGCCCAGAAATTATGGGCCAAAAATATGGTACAGTACCTCAATTTTAGGATACATCATATATTAACCTAACACAATCATGTGTTTTTGTATTTACATAATGGAGGTTTCCTGAAATGGACCCCCAGTTAACATCTATTTTATTCATAGGATTTCATGGATTTTCCATTTCAGGGTCCTGAAAATCCCATTGATCATAGCTGGTTAGTAGATATTCCCATGGATTTTCATTGATTTTCCTCTAGGTTAAAGGATTAAACATCATTAAACTAGCCAAGGTTGGGGATGAAAATATGAAAATCCCCTTGATTTCAGGGCCCCAGGGCCCCAGGGCCATGTTTTTTTCAGAGGCGGACGCGGAGAACGGCGGTGCCAGCTGGCTGGCCTGTGGCTCCAAAGGCTTCAGCCGCGAGAACTGCGAGGTGAAGGTCTTCGACCTCCGAGGTCCGGGACGAAGTTTGGGGAAACGATGAGAAGAAAATCTGGGGAAATGTCATGTGTATGATATATATATATATATATAGATAGATAGATAGATAGATAGATGATCTATATTTACATGACAATCCTTGAATATAATGGATAATGGCATGTTTATATAATGAGTAGCATGGGGGGGGTTCTGGGGAATCTGATGGTCAACACCAGGGAATCGGATATAGAACCTGAATATGTGTTGTTCTATTTGAAGAGATCATCCAACAAGTTATTGTGATGCTTTTTGGTGCAGTTGGGGTGACATAGTTGTAAGACCATGCTGATTTGGTTTCAATAAATTTGGATATAATCCCTGTAACATCCTGTAACTACAGCAACAAATAGCCTCCCAAGGGACATGGAATTGAATTGTGAATTTACAATTTGATCTACTCCATTTTTTGGTGGCCATGAACAACATCGTTTGGAACAAGATGGGCAGCACAGCAGGTTTCATATAGCATTGATCTGAACACAATGCAGAGAACCATGCTTTGGCAATGGCACTCAAGTCGGAATGGCTTATTCAATTTCATTTGGATAAAGGCACTATCAAACTGCAAAAAACGGTACCACTAAACAATGCTTGTAACTTACTTTGACCCTCATACTCCATGCATGATTTACTAACATGTTATCATGTTGGAGTAAAGGTACCATTTTGGAAGTATATTGATGGCATTTCAGGATCTTGATGCAAACATCTTACAATATGGAGGTTTCCTAAAATGGGGGTACCCCCAAATCATCCATGTTTATATCCCATCCAGCTATTGGGGTACCCCCATGGCTATAGAAACCTCCATATGGGGACAAAAAAATCCTGGTCATTTGTCACCAGAGCCCCAGCACTTGATTCGTGACAGTAGATGTTGCCATAATTTTCTTATCTGGGGTAATACCCTTTGGTAAACTAACATAGCTATGGAAAATCACCATTTTTAATGGGTAAATCAACTATTTCTATGGCCATTTTTAATAGCAAACTGTTAGTTTACCAGAGGGTATCCCAATATGTCCCACTTATAAGGGGTTATAATCCACTTGCTTACGGCAGCCAATTGTTGCAACATCTCCAAACCATGTCGAACCTCAATTTTGTTGCTTAAATAAGTCTTCAATCCTATATATACCCATATGCTCCATGTATGGAATATTTACCAACATTTGCCCTAAAAATCACCCAAATGTAGGTAAATATACCATACATGGAGCATATGGGATATATTTTTGAAATTACATCCCCATTTATTGGATACCCTTTGGTAAACTAACAGTTTGCTATTGAAAATTGCCATAGAAATAGTTCATTTACCTATATTAAAAATGGTGATTTTCCATATAGTTTTCTATAAACGTTTGCAAAAACCCGAGGTTTTTTTTTCAAAGATACCCTCTGGTAAATCAACATAACTATGGTTAAAATTTCCATTTTTATCCATTTTTCAATGGGAAAACTCACTATTTCAATGGTGATTCACTAGCTGGGCAGGTTCTTTGCGGCAGCAGGCAGCCCTCGCCTGCGCGGATCAGACCATCGAGGCATTGCATGACATTTCTATGTGGGACTTGTTTTTTTTTTTCGGGAAGATGGGACAAACTGGATCATATAATTACAATTATATAATTACAATTAATTATAATATATATAATATATATATATATTTATAATATATGTATAATGTATGTGTAATGTATGTATAATATATATATATAATATATATATTTATTTATAATATATGTATAATGTATGTATAATGTATGTATAATATATGTATAATATATGTATAAATTATATGTATAATAATATATGTATATTTTTTTGATCTAATCTGATGATGGGATCTATTGGTTTCGGGAATCGCCATGGATGATGGGAATTGGAGGAACATCCCCAGCTGAAAGAATTTGATTCGGCACCCTCGGGTAAACGTTTGCAGAAAACTATGGACAATCACTATTTTGTGATAGGTAAATCAACTATCAATGGGCCATGTTCAATAGCAAACTGTTAGTTTACCGGAGGGTATATGCCGATTTTGATGAGGCTTGGAGAATCCATTCCCCAAAATTGATATTGAATCTGTCAAGACGTTTAATTAATCATATTATGTGGAGATCATGGGGGATGAGCCTCCATGAATTCCAGGTATTGGATCTAGTGATTTGTTGTGGCCCCTGATTTGGGTAAATATGAATTGGCGGGCAGGGATTCATAACATGGAAATCATCAAATTTATGACATATACAATCTTCTCAATTCTTGTGGTGGAGCTATGGTCTATGACTCCCTGATCTTATTGGGAGCTTGACAAATTTGAAAACAATAACTATCGCAATGTTGCAAGCGTAGAGGAACTGGTCATGTAGCTCCCCCTGCTTTACCACCTCATGCACAGGTCGTTTGTGGTTTCAGTCCTTATCTCCAAGAGCTCTCCACCAGCTACAGCTCTTGGACATACCCCTAATCTGGAAGTAACCAAAGTAACAGTGACAGTCTAATTAAATATGTTGCTTGAAACGCAAAAATTGGAGTTTGACCATACTCAACCAAGGAAAAATGCATTTAGGTGTATGAAAAAGTAATCTAATTCTAAACCAAAATTTAGATGCATTTGAACAGAGAACATCATCAGTAACCAGTGGATTTAGGGATTTTCCTCATTGTCAAAACACTTGGACTGTGCTCGGAGCTGGGTCAAGGTATCCAGGTTGCCTGGAGATAGAAACGGACCTCAGATCGTACATCACTGGCCTCCATCAGAGCTTACAAGGTGGAGAAAAAATATGGATTCATTAAGGGGATATGGCCTATAAAGGAGACAGTGGGCGACAAGCCCCAACAAACATCATTCTCATCCCATTCACCAAGCCTTTGATCCCGTGGATTCAAACTCATCATCTCTATGAGGCTTCTTTTCCATACCAACCAGAACCCTAGAGTAGGTTTTTATCATCTAAATCCACGATTATGGGAAAGTTAAACTACCATTTTCCTATAGTTTCCTATGGTTTCCGTGTGGTTTTCCTATCACTTCCACATCATGTGCTTGGGAAACTCATGGAAACTCCTGGAAGCTCCTTGTCTTTCCATCCCGAAACTGCAAGGCCCTACAATGCCTGGGCCGTGACCAGTGTTTGATTGCCAGTAAGGAGCCGTCCTTTTTCGACACTGCGGGGGTGAAATGGTGGTTGATGATGAGTTGGGGGATTGTACTACCCAACACATTGGGGATTCTAATAATCCAACCAGGAAATCCCAAACCGACCAGGATTAAATGGAATTATAGAGAAAAGTTTGAACACTGCTCAAATGTTGCTTACTCATTGGTAGTCAAACGTGGCTAGCTGGGAAATCCCTTATAAATGGACATGAAAAACCAGCAACACATGAGGAATTGTCCAGTGCCATGTTTGATTACCGGAGGGTAAGCCTTCAAATTCGCAAAAAGTGATGTTTATTACGGAGGAACTCTGAAATAAAAAGGAATCCCAAAGGGCTCTGAAAACCCTGTCCAGTGCGTCTTATGATTTTGGCGACTGTGGATCAGTCTTTGAGACACCATGGGGCTAAATCCTTTCGACCAGTGATATTATATCGCACTCAAGCTTCAAAAAACAAGAAACTAAGCTTGCCATCTGGTAGTCTAACTTGTTAGCTGAAGATCCCTGATACTTATATAAGTCAATGAACAGGTCGGTCATTTCCATACAGATTCTCCCATCAAAAATGGGGTGTTTCATGGTGTTTCTCATGAATTGCCAATCCATTTAACGCGACTCGTCACGTCGGTCTCGCGTCAGCGCGCGCCCAGGACGTCCATTTGCGGGCCATCGCCTTACCCCAGCCCGAGGCGGAGGGTTTTGTTTTAAATGGGGCTACCCCAGCTGGATGGTTTTTGTTAGGGAAAAACCCATCTATAAATGGATGATGGGTAACCCTATTTATGGAAATCTAGTTTATAGATCGGTACCCCTATAACTAGGAAATACCCATCTCTAGATTGTTTATCTATGATGACTAGGGGTACCCCCATGACTTTGGAAATCCCATGAAAGAGCTATCAAACATGCTTCTTTTCTTCACCTCTTCGTTTTGCTCCCTTGTATTTAAGGGTTGTGGTTTTCGAGCGACCCTGTGGGTTGTTGAATGGGTCGAATTTCTTGATTGTTGAATTTGGTCCTTCATGTTTGCCGCAAGAGAATCTGCGCATGGTTGTTGGATATATAAATTGAACCTCCAGTTGTTGTTGTTTCCCGTTGACTTAATGAGATCCCAGTGGTTTGTTGCTGAAGGCTCTATTTTGTTTGTGGCTGGCTTACACTTATTTTTGTTAGGTAAAGTTACATGCTGTTGTTTTTGATCAAATTACATCCGATTCTACTAAAAAAAGGATTTGACGGGTACCTGTTTTTGCAGCTCAAGAAAGTGGTAAGCAAACGTTGTAGACAATTAAACTCTTTGGTAGTTGTATCGCGGCTCAATTTTTGTTGGAAGCACATCTATTTACACCTTTAAAAAAGGGCCCTTTATCGCAGCAGTCAACGATCCCATTATGGGCAAGTTCGTGCACGCAGATCATTTCCTCTTTAGAGGTGATCTAAGTTGACGAATATTTGGCATGCAGAAACTCCAATTTGGATATCCTCTGGTAAACTAACGTAGCTATAGAAAATCACCATTGTTTATGGGTAAATCAACTATAAATCACTATAAATTGCAATTTTCAATAGCTATGTTAAATTACCGGAGGATAACATGAAATTGAGATACATTTCATCTATGCAACATTATGCAACATCAAACTAGAGGCAGGTAAATGTATTGCAATGTGTTTCCGCAGCGTTGAAACAATATGGATTTCCTAAGGGCGTGCGATCATCATGCCATGCATTTCTGAGAAGATGGTCAAACCCCAAAAATCATACCCCAAGGATTATCATTGGATTATACCTCAATTATGGATAATCCAATGATAATCCAATGATAATCCAATGATAATCCTCAGAAGCGACTTGGCTTCTCTCTGTTGCAAGTTGGTTTGGCTTCAGCCAAGCGACTTTGACTTTGACCTTGAAGGTCCTGTGAAAGGAAGGGGACTATAATATACCCATCCAGCACTGGGTACATACACAATACATCACTAGATACATGTTTCTATAACTAGATACATGTTATTTTAACATACAATTAACTGGTTGGTGATGGTTTGGAACCATGGAATTTTATGACTTTCCATTCAGTTGGGAATAATCATCATCCCAACTGACGAACTCCATCATTTTTCAGATGGGTAGGTATACCACCAACCAGATTATTATTAATCATCATTAACTATATAATAACCATATAATCATCAACCATCATCTACAGTATATTAACCACAATGGATTGTTAATATTAACAGTATATTAACCATAAACACAAGCATTGGCATGATATTCCCATGATATTCCCATTAAATCCCATGATATTCCCATGAGTAACATGTTATTTATAACATGTAATATCGACCATAAAGACAAGCATTGGCTGCATTGGGTGCACCGTGTCAACCGCAGGTTCTGTGGGAACGCCGCGGAAGCCATGCGGGCTACACGGCGTCCGGAGACCTGACCGAGCCGTGGCTTCTTTATGGTTAACAAATGGCTATTAATGGTTATTGATGGAATAATATCATGGTAAACATATTTTATGGTTAATAATTCCTCATGCTTAATCATGTTTAAGACACATGCAAAATTCATGCTTGGATGGGAACATGCTTGAGAAACCCATGGTGTTTTTTTTGTTTATTTACATGCTTGGGAAGCCCGGTTGGTTGGTTACTCCGAAATGGCTGAAGGCAAGGTCTCCCCATCAGTCGTGGGATGATGAGATGTTCATGGAAAAATACACCTGGTTGATAACCCATGATTTTTCTAATGGTTTCCATGAATTTTCTAATGGTTAATGGTTAATGGTTAACGCCATGTAGTACATTTTTCATCCCATTCCTTGGTTAATGGTTGATTCTCATGGTTTCTGAATTATATCAACCATATGATTTTTCTAATGGTTAATGGTTAATCATGGTTGATAACCCATGATCCGGCTGGGGTTTTTGTTTGCTAACATGACTGGGGTATATTGATGGGATCCATGGCACACCATATATAGCAGCACCGTTAGGATCCGTCATGGGTAATGCTGAAAACATCAAGAAAAGTTGGGGAAACCTAGGTTTCTGAAAGATTTATGTCTCCACAATTTTGGTACCAATTTGGAGAAATATGGCTATTTTTTCGCGCCCATTTGTTCAGACGTACACATCAAGCAATTTGGTAAGATCAAAACATTGTGTAATGTTGCATCCATATTTGGGGGATGGACTGAAACCACCGAACATGAACACGTGATTATCGGTGTGCCTAGCAAGTATAAATTTGTGTATATATATAATATATAATTATATATATAACATATATATATATATATGATGTTGGCAGTGGAAGTCTAAAGAAGTGAGGGTATGTCACGACGGGAATAACTTGTATATGTGGTGAACAAAAATATATTTTCTGGTAGCATCTCTATTCCTGTTGATTGTTGCCAGTTGATCGATCTGTTTTCCTGCTTCAATCCCCATAGCTTTCCAGTAAATCAACCATCATTGACCGGTTGTCCTAGATGTTTGTTGGGCTTCAATCCCACATTTTCCAGGTAAATTCACCGTTTTCCCAAGTTTTTTTTGGTTCAATCCCTATTTTTCCTATAGATTTTTCCAGTAAATCAACCACAATCAACAACAATTAAGAATTTGTTCCCACATTTTTTCGCCCAACCCCCGCGCTGTTCTGGTGGCTTCGAGGTTAGGCCTGGCCTCGTCGCGTTGCCTTGCTGCCTCGGTCAGTGCAGACAGGGTGGCCCTAGAGCTGCTGGCGCGCGGGGGTGGATAGGTAGGCCAGTGGTGCAGACCTCGAATGATGGGAATTGTAGGGGAAACCATCCGGAAATCATCCTTAACAGGGGCCGAACTAGTGACAGTTAGCGACATATTATAACTTATCCAATGTGTACCGTGTATTTTATCCATATGTGGAGCTTTCCTAAAGTCTTTGGGTATCCTAAATGGAAGATTTTCAATGGAACATCCTATTTAAATGGATTATTTGGGAGTACCCGTATCTTAGGAAACCTCCCTATATGTGTATATATATATATATACGTATACCTGGAACCCAAATGACCCCTCTTTTGGATGATTAACCCTCAATTTTATGGGTCCAAAGTTTGAAAACAAAGGTCATTAGGGTTCCAGGTATATATATATATATATTTAGTTTATACTAGTCAGTTGTGGATCTAGTTCTCTGTTTTGTATTCTAATGTCGACGTATAAATGATGATATGTATCCATACAAGCTATATGTACACATAGTCTTCTTGAAACAAAAAAGAAAGGCGAGACACATAGACTGGAACAATTCGTGTTTCCACAGTTTCTGCAAATCAACGCATTGCTACGGTATCTATGAATATGTGCCGACCCCGTGGTTTGCCCGGACTGCAATATTGAGGATGCCCAGTTGTTGAACATGATAAGACAGATTGCAGAAATACTGCGAATGCACAGCGGTTTCAGATTCAAAGTTTTCAGGATTTAGGGCTTTAGGGTTTTACGCTTTAGGCTTTTAGGCTTTAGAAATTATGATTTAGGGTCCGTCGTCTGTGAAATACCAAAACACTGGCCCTGCGCAGGTATTTGAGCATGTCAAAGGATAATGATTGAACACCGTTCTAGCCTTAGGGGAAACCATAGGGTCTTGCCACGCGGCCGTTTAAGGGGTATCTAAGTCTTACTAAGAATAGCCATGTGATTTGGATGGATTGCTTTTGGATGAACTTATATACTGTATTATATTTATCTGGAACCAAAACGAGCACCACTTGTGGGGTTTGACTGTTCACCATTCGCTGGTTTGATTTCAATCACTCGATCCATGTGTTTAAATTCAATCGGTTGTCCTTGCTTACGTCCCATTTTTGTCCATGACACCTGGTGTTCATTCCAAAAGCAACTAAACTCAACGAAAAAGACTGGGCTATCACTCGGTTTTTCACCACAATCAGATGTGACTTGGTTACCCTCTGGTAAACTAACATAGCTATTGAAAATTGCCATAGACATAGTGAGTTTTCCCATTAAAAATATTAAAAAATTGTGATTTTCCATAGTTTTTTGTATGTTTACCAGGCCGGGTCTCCGGAACATCCCCTGGCCTCCCATTTCCATCCCCTGGGTCATCCTGGTCAAACCTTCCGCTTCGTCAGGCCGTGGGAGAAGAAGCCAAGTTGTTAGCCTCCAGCGGGTGACAAAATGCCAGCCGATCTCATTAGGAGAAGCGACAAATCCTCCGGTGATTCATAATGGTGTTTTTTTCATAGGAAATTTTGGAGATCTCATAGGAAAATGAGATTCAAATTTTGGAGATCTCATAGGAAAATGAGATTCAAATTTTGGAGATCTCATAGGAAAATGAGATTCAAATTTTGGAGATCTCATAGGAAAATGGTATTTTTTTCCAGCGACAAAAATGGAAAAAAAACACCGTATGATACTTCTAATAAGTAAATGAAGCCATAGGAAACCATAGAAATGGGATTTATCGCTGATTTATGAGAGCTAAATTGGTGCAAATAAACTCCAATAACGTTTGCATTTATGTCTTTTACAACTGTAGCACTGAGATTATAAACCAACAAACATAGCTGAGGGGGCAATCAATAGCTTTTGGGAAATGTTGGTGGGAAATCTGGAAACTGTCGAAACGGCATGATGCCTACGGCCTGCGGCAACAGAGGTGAGGATAGACATGAAATAAATAGCTGTGGAACATAGGCATTTTTGAAAAATAAATCACCAAACTATATGAAATTGGTAATTTTCCAGAGCTATTTTTAAATTTGCAAAGGGTATCCCAAAATAGATTCATGTTTGATCTTTTGCCCGTCTTGGGATCACGATGCCCAAAGACTTATGATTTTGGGCGGGTTGAAAGTGAGAATCAGTCATGGTCACCTTTTGACTAGTTAGGATGTCCCTGGATGTAGGATATTTGGAGCTTCGAACACCAAGTGTTGGGTGGGAATGGTCACTCATGGGATATGTAACCCAGAGGAATGGGCCCTTTGATGACAGTTGTATATATAACTGGTTGGTGGTTTCAAACATTTTTATTTTCCATAATATATGGGATAGTCCTTCCCATTGACTAATATTTTTCAAGATGGTTAAAACCACCAACCAGGTTGTATATCTAATCTGTGTAATTTATAACGACCTCACTGTGACCTCACTGGAATCATGGTTAATAAAATGTTAATAAGGGAAATCATCCCCAAATGGCCCAACAATTCAGGTTCGTGAAATATTATAATTTACCCAGATCTAATAAACACATGACAGGATTTATCCGATGAAAATGGTGATTGATCCGATGATCTTGTTGCGAATAGCAGCAACTCTATGGATGTGTCAGGGGGCCCCCGTTGAAAAAGGGGTTGATGGTGGCCTGTTTAGGCCTTCTTTGGTGGGGGCCTATTGGGGGTACCCTCTGGTAAACTAACATAACTATGGAAAATCACCATTTTAATGGGAAAATCAACTCTAAATGGCCATTTTCAATAGCTATGTTAAACTACCAGAGGGTAAACCCTAAGATAATTAATTCGTGTTTATTTCGAACATGACATGGACTTCAAAGATTAATTTGTCATCCCCATTGCGGCTAGTTAAATCCCATTCAATCCCTTTCTGGTTGGTGGTTTGGAACATTTTTATTTTTTCCATTCAGTTGGGAATAATCATCCCAACTGACGAACTCCATCATTTTTCAGATGGGTAGGTATACTACCAACCAGATTATTATTAACCATCATTAACCATCATAAACCATATAATTTTTCAGAGGGATTGAAACCAACAACCCGCTTTTTTTTCTTGGGAGAATCCTCTGGTTTTTGATGCGTCGATTTACCGATTCCTGGGAGAAAAAATGGCGCCGCGCAGGTGAATTTCTTCGCTGAGTGGTGCGTCCACTGTCACTGGGTTTCAAACTGGTTCCATGAAGGGTCAAGTTATAAATGATTTATATGAGATCTACATTGAGTTATGCATTAGGATTTACATTGATTTATATATATATGTGTATGTGAGTTGTATATGATATTATAGGTGATTTGTGTTTTATTTATATTGATTGATATTGATGCATCCCATTCAATTTTGCCATAAGTTCGGGGATAGTCATGTCATCTCCATTAACAACAATAGGGCTTCATGTGCCTAAATACACCTGGTATTTTCGGAATCCCCAATGATGGTGGGATTACCATACTCTTATATGTTTTGTTTTGACCATGGCACATGTGCTAAATGTCAAAGCCACAGAATCCGCTGGTTGCACAGCTAAACCAGAGACCCATCACAGATCCTCATTTTGGATACTGGTGCCCCCCCAGTTATAAACGAATTATAATCCCATTAACTATAGATATATTTATATTACCTATAAACCAGAGTTATTAGACTTATATATGTTCACCAACTTAGCGATTCCGAACTGGGGCACCACCCTGTTTAGATACTGGCAGTGAGTTTGATATTCACTGGTTGGCTACTGGTTGGCCGCCCACTGGTTTTTCCCCACAGACCATTGGTTCAGTCGTCCCTCAGTTGTCGATTCCCCAACTTGGCCACCTTGAGCCTCAAAGTATACCAAAGTATTTAAAACATGATATTTGATGTATAGTAAATGTATCACCCAAGCAAAAGATAGAAAAACAAGATAAACCAAGATAAATTATAATCTAAATAAAATGAATGATTATATGAATATGTATGTATGTATATATATACATATTTTTTACATATATGTTTTACAGGGTTGGCAGGGTTGGTATAGAATAAAAAGGTGATTTCACGCTGACGCCATCGCTGTGTGGGATTCGAAAAGAAATGGCGTCGATCGATGGCGTCAGGTCGGAAGTTTGCCCCCATGTGGAATGAGGCCGCTGGCAGGACCTGGATTGTCCAGTGCTTCCTGGAATGGCCACAAAAGGTGGGATTGTTTTTTTTTTCCATCAAAAAGGTGGAGACAGAAATTAAGGGGCAGTTTGATATTGTATTTTTGTTGCCACCTAGATGGATGGATGAATGGATGGATAGATAGATAGATAATGATAGATAGATATGTATTAATATACATGGTATTGAACTGGATATAAATGGATACATTTGCTCATCTAAAATAAACATCAATCTTGTGCATCCAAGAGCAGCCATGGGGCCATGAATGATATGAATGGGCTTGGGGGCTTGGAATAGATGGAATTTCAACCGTATGGGGGGGTCAATCAATGAGGCATTAGCTGGATTGTTTATAATTGACAATCCTATTGAAATGCATGATCTAGGGGTACCCCCAGATATATGTATAATAGCTGGATGGTTTATAATGGAACATCCTATTAGAATTGATGATTTAGGGGCGTTTAGTGGTACCACCATCTTGGGAACCCTCCATATGTGAGATGATGATGATCCCCAACCAGCGCGCTGACCATTTGTTGGTTGGTTCCAAAGTGTTGAAACCCAAAGAAACTCGCACAGTCGCTGGATAATGGGTGTTGATTCCCCCAACATGTGGTAGTTTCATAGGTTTTGACCCATCCCCAGAGCTGAAACAGACCTGAAAGCATCACATCCAACTGTGATCCACTGAGTCACAGGATCAGTGAGAAGATGCAGTTCCAAGATGCTGAGGGGAAGCAGGTAGCGCCATGGAAAAAAGCGACAAATTTGCACTTTGCCAATCGAACAATCCCATGGAGGGAAGTGGGTCTGTCTTTCAAAATCGGTTATACCGCAAAATGGCCATGTTAAATATGGGAAAATGATGATTCACGCGTGGATTTAGGGGCACAAACCCACGTATCATCCATGAATTGCTTGGACCCAGAATGCAGCTAATCAGTTACACCGTTCTGAAAGTTCGGAAAGGATATTTGTGGGAGGGCATTGTAAAATACCAGGTATCAATCATCAACACTATCTTGAGGTAATAAAGAAAACATAGATATGGAATATCCTTGGTTTTCCCAGGAAATAATTCTATCGTCCCATGAGTTTAACCACATATATATGATATATATTATATATGTATATACGTATACATATATATATATATCTACCTAGACCCATCGTTTGTACCCAAAAAAAATGTGTTTTACACCACAATTTTCGTATTTTTACAATTCCCTTGGTAGTATTTGGAGGGTTTACTTGGGGGTGCTCCAGTGATAAGTGGATATATAACCCATAGTTATAGATAGTTGTAGGCTATAGGGACCATATCCCAACTTATTGGGGTTATTACATGTTATTACCATAGTTATATCATATCTCTTGGTAGTCCCAAGTGCACCCCCCAAAAAAAGGTAGCTGGTTGGTGGTTTGGAACATTTTTTATTTTCCATAATATATGGGATAATCCTTCCCATTGACTTTCATATTTTTCAAGATGGTTAAAACCACCAACCAGGTCGCCAACAAATTGATGTTTTTCAAGCAGAATTTCACAACCGGATGCCGCCAGACCACTGTGAAGTTCCTGAAGATGAACTGCGTGGATTTTCAGGGAAAATGTCAGGAGGATTTCCGCCGAAGAAGTTCATCTTTCGACTGTCTGATAAAATTGGGCGATGAACACCATCCAAAAATTGTGATGAAAGTATGAAAAAATAAGGATTTAATATGACTTAACCATATTTAACTCATGTTTTAATGGATTCTATGAATATCCTAGCCAGTGCTGAATGGGAGGAGTTGTTCGGATATAGGGATACCATCTGTATTCCCTATGTTTTGAATGAGGAGCCGGTTGGATCTAAGAATTGAGAAACTCCCAACCACATGATAATCGGATAAAGTCAGAATGGATTGGAAGGGCATTTTTGAAATGTTTTGAATGTGGAAAATGATGGTATACATCATTGATTTGGGGGTGGATGAAATCCCGCGGTTTGGCGACGTGAGTTTTCCCACTAGTTGTCCCACTGCAAATGATGGCTATACATTGGGGTATTCACCAATGTTGGGCAAGCCCCAATGGCCCCTTGGTGCAGTTCGTATTGAAACCTGGAATGGTTGACCTGGCTGCAAAGTGGAAAGTACGTGGGCTCAACCGGAAGGCCATTCCCACTTAGCCGCATGATATGCATATGTATATTTATAAATATATATATATTATACACTCTCTGGTTCTTCAACATAGCTATGGAAGCCATGGTCCATTTACAGATGATTGATATGATGATTTACCTTTCCAAAATGGTGACTTTCCATAGCTATGTTGAATAACCATATGGTATATAGATAAATAAATAACCACCTAACACACGTATATATAGATATGTATATATATGTATATACATATGTATAGATCTGAATATATATATAATATATATATATATACATATGTATAGATCTGAATATATATACATATATATAATATATATAATATATAATATAATATATATATAATATACAAGATATACCCTTGGGACGGGAGGTTCACTGGTGGGGGAGGTGGGGTTGGGTTTGTCAAGATCAGAAAGTCTTGGCCAAGGATTCTTTTTTTGGAGACTCGCCATGCGCTGGATTGATGACATGTTCTGCTTCATATCCACATTTTGCATTGTTTGGCTGGGTTGAGTCTCCACTATATATATACACTTTTTATTATCTCTAGTGTGTAAAATGTTTATGTACGGTTATTTATGTTACATTTTCTTTAATCGCATCAACCAACTCTGTATGAAACAACTGTCATATTCGTCATGTATTTCTGTGATGAACATTGTATTACGGTAGTATACCCTTATGGATCCAAATACGTCCTGAGAAGGTACTTCACATCGAAAATGCGGACCCTCAGAAGGTACTTGTATCGAGAAGGTGCTTAGGAGAGTATACTTAGACACTCCCTTTGCCTAGAAGAAGGTCTTTTACCCAGTAGCACCCCATTTGTTTTCGGACTTTTACCATCATTTGAGGAGAAGATCCAAGCCTTTCCCACCATTCGGCTCTACAAGCGCGACGGGTGCGCCTTTGTGAAAGTTCCACGGTTGGTTCGTTGTGAATCACCGACCCGGTAATGTTGACGTGCTATTATCAAGGCCCCTCAAACATAATGTTGGCATAACGTTGGCATGTCAACATTAGTAAATCATGCTTAATCTCTCTGAACCATTTCAATCATTTCAGAACACATATGAAGAAATGATACACTATAATACACATGATATCACATGATAGTTATTTTGGGACAACAGATAAAGTTGGGGGATTCAAAGATCTTTCCATCTTTCGGATGAACATCTATTGCCATCAGATATGTCTTTGGTCTGAAAACCAGGGCACCAATTACCCTCTTGTACTTTAACATACCCATAGGATCCATGTATGCTATATATGGTAACATTTACCATCAATATACCCCCAATGTTAGCATATATACCATACATGGATCCTATGGGATAGCTGATAGCTATTGAAAACTATCTTGATTTAACAGGTAAATCCTCCATCAATGGGCCACGGCTTCCATAGCTATGTCAGCTATGTTAAAAAAAAGAACAGGTAATTCTCCCATTGACAACGACCATCGCCTGAAACGCGCGTCGCGAAGCGTCGCGGAAGTTTCCAGGTCCTTTGAGCAGTTTCAGAACAAGAGAACGGTGCCTTGATGAAGTGGAGGGAAGTGGAGGGGGCGACTTGGGTATGTCTGAACTTTCTGAACATGGGGAAAAAACCCTTGGGCTTTAGTGAAATTTAACGTGATTTCATGGAATTTTAGCAACCAAAAAAAAGTGGATGGGTCTGAACATAGGAGATTTAAGCATCAACCTTAATGGGGATTAAATGGGATAAAATGGGGTTTTATGGAATCTAAGACACAAAAATGGTGATGGTACAATGGTACCCTTTGGTAATTTCACAGAGCTGTGGAAAATCACCATTCAAAGGTAAATCATCTTCAATCATCTATAAACTGGCAATTGTCAGTGTTAAATCACCAGAGGGTATTCCGAATGGTCATTTTGATAATGATAAACCACTGGATGGAATAGGGTCCCCTATGTTTAGAAAAACCTAGAACATGTTCATCATGTTTGATCGCATCTGAGGGAACCATCAAACAACCTGAGTTTTGGCCAGTGCTTGTTGGTTTGGTGTCAAACGCTTAGCATGTTGGTATGTCCAGCAATTAGGGATGCGGGTTGATCTAGAAATTGGTCTACTGGTACATGAAGATTGCAATAGCAACCGAGAAAAGATAGAAAAAGTAATGCATTGTATCGCTATGTTAGTATGTTTTTCCTTTTGTATCTTGGGTTTATTTTTTTGTGTCCATGCTCACAATCACAACCTGGTAGGTGACCCAAAACCACTGGAAGTTCAATTGGACACGACTTGATCAGTATCATAGGTTTGGGATGGAGCAAAACTTCCAAAAGGTCTGATGATTTTGGAAACTACATGACAATTAGAATTGACTTCCTTATGATAATTACGATAGTCTCCTATTTGTTTCCCTCGGATGTGTTCCAAGAATAATTGGGTGATGATCTCTCACCACCAAGTGGGAAAGTCTCCGACGGTCCCAACCTTGATTCTTGGTTTTGATCCAATCCGAACCAATCGTCACACCTGAAAAAATTGTCACATGATGGAATGTTATATTCATAGTATTCACCAATCAGACATCTTCGGAAGCTGCACTCATTTGCACATGATTGACATTAAGAATTGTCCAATACTCACACCTTTTTATAAGCGTCAAGTTGAATGATTGGCAAATCGCTTCAGTCTCCAGCGGTGTACCTTCAGGTGAAGAACATCCTTGACTTCATCACTCATACTGTTAGGCTGGACCCTCCTGTTCGGGGTGTTTTTTTCCGTGTCCATCGTGGGTGCACTCACAATACGTAGGCCTAATATGTATGGTATGGCCTAATTGTGGTATCAGTTGGGAATACGTTGGGAATAGGATGGAGGATGATGGAGGCATAGCCGGTAGGGCCCCATCATTGTTGGACCATTGTTGGACCTTGCTTACACTGATGCAAATACATTGAAATACGAGGTAAAACAAAAAAATAGGTCCCATTTCAGGATGATGAGACCATGCTGAATCCCATTTCTCATTGTTTAGATATAGGTAAATCCCCATTCATCATTGGTTAAAGATGGTTAAGTATGGTTCGATATGAGTAACATATGGTTAAACTATGGTTTAAATATCGTTAACGTCGTTAACTATGTTTGATTATGATTAAATCACGCGAAATCAATTTTCTTCATTGGTTTTATGGGTTATTGTCAAGTCCCCATTAGCACCGCGGATCAAATGTGGACCCCATGGTACTCGTCCCCCACTTGGTCCCGACGCGTGGGCAGTGATGTGTGATTCACATGTGTTTTTGTTGGTGAAGGAAGCAGGGCTAAAGGACCACTGATTAAGTGCATATAGATATATATATATATATAGATAGCACATATACAGATAGATTTATAGATAGATAAATGATATAAGATGAGATAAGATGAGATAAAATGAGATACGATGAGATAAGATGAGATAAGATGAGATAAAATGAGAAAAGATGAGATACGATGAAATACGATGAGATAAGATGAGATGAGATGAGAAAAGATGAGATCAGATGGGATAAGGTGAGATAAGATGAGATACGATCAGGAAGGCTATTGATGATCAACGTTGCTCTGTCAAAAGTAGCCTCATATAAGTTCCTAGAGTGACCTGGCGATTTCCCTGAAATCATAGGCCCAATCCAAATTTGTTTGGTTTTTTAATATTGGATCAGGCATTTCTGGACTTGCGGAGCCGGAGGAGGTGGCTGCCCGAGAACTGACAGGCCATTACCCTCGGCTTCAACACCCCTGGAGGAGGGGATGATGCCCCCAGAGACAGGTAAATCCTCAGTGGGTTCCTCGATCATGTCCTTTTTCAGAGTTTCTAAGCCGATGGCTCGCTGAGACAGAAGCCCCTCGGCCGGGGCAAATGCGAGCTGTACGAGGACACGAGAACTTCGACGAGCACATGCGCTAAGCAGCCAGAGCATGCACTGAGTTTGGCATCGGCAAGAGGCGTTCGTTTCTCTCAACACTGTGCATTGGGTGCCAACAAAACGTCTTATTTTTCTCGGATTCCCCACCATATACTATTAACATTTTACAACCCAATTTCTTAATAATCAATCTGACATCAAGTTGGATAATCCAAGTTAGCCCTAGCATTGCCCTAACTGTTTGATTCCCACTATGATAACATATACCTGTCATTCATTCCCACTTTATTCAACAAATCCCAAGTGGCCAACTGGGATTGGTGCGCCAAAACCGGGTTGGATCGCGCGCTGGCACCAGGAATAGTCACTTGATGGTGGCGCAGCATCACGCCATCTTCGACCAGGGCTGCCAGGCTGTGATGCGGGGTTACCCCCCAAATGATCAAATGCCAATTTTCATAGGGAAAATCTGAGAAAATGATGATAAATCAATATAAATGACTGGAATTTGGGGTTCTGTGCCAAATTTTCTGTGCCAAATCTGGATAAGATGGGATATTCCCGCGGATGTTCTCGATGGATAACCCTCAGGTGTCAACCCCACAACTGCATCTTCTGGGAATTTCGAGGCTTCTGAAGAAGTAACTCACCGGGTAAACCAACTGGTTGGGTTGAGCAGGTTGAGTTTTTCAAGATCTTTGGGGCCAATGAACAGAAGCCATGAGGACGGATCCCCTGACGGAGAAGACGGCCCTCCTGTCCTGAAGCCACATGTTCTTCCTGGATGTACATCTATGATATCTATAAAATGGCCATTTATAGTGGATTTTCCCATGAAAAATGGTGGATCTTTCCATTGCTATGTTAGTTCACCAGAGGGTATCTATGTTGGTATATGATGGCTGCTTAGTACTCATTGTAAGTTGTAGAAGTTGTGAAGCAGCACCCTAAACCAGAAACAGCTGTCGGGAATCCAATGGACATGGAGCAGATCTCATCCGACAGATAGGTAATGATAGGTAGATAGTAGGTACCCTCTGGTGAACTAACATAGCAATGGAAAATCACCATTTTTTATGGGAAAATCCACTATAAATGGCCATTTTCAATTGCTATGTTAGTTCACCAGAGGGTAGATAGATTATGATAGATTATTGGAACAGGTTGGAATGGATTGAATGATTGGATGGATATGGGTCCTATGAGCTTCAATGTTTGTTTTGGCTCTTCAATTTTCGACTTCTCAAAAGCTCCCTGTTGGGAGCTGTTTTCTTGCCGTTTAAGTCCCATATTTTCCCAGATCGATTTTCCCGTCTTCTAGCTTCCAGGTGCAAGGCAGACTTTATGTGGCGCGTGTTCCAGGGCATTTCGGCCTTCAGGTGCAGTGCATGGTGAAGCCCATCGATAGGGTCTTTTGTGTTGATTTTGTGTGTTTTGGTATCTTCATGTATTTTTGTTGCGTTTCTTATGCTTGGCAGGGAATGAGGGAATGATCCATAATCACTAGTAATAATCATCCCATTCCCCCATTCCCATCCATTCCCTGCTTAGCACCAGTAAGGTTTGTTTGATCAAGAGGACTGCATGAAAATTCAAGTGTTCTGATCTAATTTTAGGGTTTGCCGGATTGAGCAAGGCCTAGACGCTCACATCAAAGAAATTGGCAAACAAGGTAAGGATGCATTTCCATTGGATATATATTGAGGATCTGTTAGTCACTGTTAGTACATGCGCATATTTGAGCTCTTCAACTCCTTTCACAACCCTCAGATCTATAGTTCTAGTGAAAACCATATTGTCATCAAACGTTCCTCGCCTGTAGCTTGATCTGGGTTCCATCATAGGAAGTGGGAACCAAGGTTCTTACCCCCTTACAGCAACCTCCCAAAAAGATAGAAAAGTATAACAGTATAATTGATGATCATGTTCGTAGGATTTGACCAACTTCGGCATGTCTTTTGGTAGCCAATTGGCGGATTGGCGTTTTACCCGAGAGCACCCGCTGGCGCCATCCTTGGGACATCTAGGCAGAAGCCCACGGCGCGGTGAACGTGAACCCTGCGCTCACCAACGCAACTGGGACGATTCGGGACGATGGTCGACCTTGGGATAACTTCATGGACCGTAGCAGCCATGTAAAAAAATGATGGTTTTAATCCACCCATTAAAAAACATGATGACTTAGGATGGTGGATCCTATTGCTTTACTAACATGATGCCAAAGTCAATGGGAATTCCAGGATCCTAAAATGGAGGTACTGTACCATATAAGGCCATATTCTTGGCCCTTATATAGGCCTTATATATGATAGGTACCTCCATTGTAGGATCCTGAAATTCCCATTGACAAAGACTCAGAATAGAACTGCTCTGGACCGGCGTCACTTAGTAGTTTCTATGATTGGGTGAGATTCCAACCTTCGCCACATAGGAACTTGATGCTGGTGCAACCTGAGCCACATTTAGATTTATTTAGTTTGTTGTTTCAGCATTTGTTCGGTAATGAAGACTTCTTTTGCATGTTCCTCGGATGATTTCAAAAGTTTGGGATGGGTTTTTCCAGGAAGTCATCTCCAAATCGCTCCAAATCGGCTTATCTTAGTTTGATGATAGATTTATCTTAGATCCCTGCCCAGTCAATAGTCAGTCAATTGGAATCCCAGGCTAAAAATCACATGAATCATGGTGTTTTTCAAGCTTCGGTGATGTCGAATTCACCGAGGTGTCGCACCAGATTCGACATCTGTCCTTCGGCATGCAGGATGCCAAGGGTTGGGCCGAAAGGCACGCTGGGACGGGCGGCTTCCAGGGGCTGGTTCTGGGGTTTTGGGGGAACGTGAAGCAAAAAACCGGACAAAACGAAGCAACTATAGGGATTTTGGATGATTTAGTGAAAGTTCCAGTAGTGACATTTAATGGGATTCATATATAATGGAATTTAACCAACCAAAATGATGATGATACCCTCTGGCAATTTGTTACACAGCAAATCATCGAACTAAATGGGCCATGGATTGCAGTGATTGCAGTTCGCAAACTGTTAAATTACCAAAGGGTACTGTGAAACATGAGCAAAAGAAAAATTGGTTTAAGTGGGTATGTCTGAAAATGGGGTATACCCCTAATGAAATAGCCATTTAGTAGGGATAATGATCAGCAAAACCATTGGGTGTAGGGGTACACTATTTTCAGACATGGAAAATGGATTTTCCCATTGTTATGTTAGTGGATAATGGCTATTTATAGTGGATTTTCCCATTAAGAATGGTGATTTTCCATTGTTATGTTAGTTCACCAGAGGGTAAACCAAGACTTTGCCATGGCGCAAAATTCAGATCCGAATCGAGCTCGACTGGTCAATGTCCACGAGGAGCACCTCTATGCTGGCTGTCACATATAAAAACATGTCAAGAAGTGACAGAAAAATCCATGGAATTCCATACATTGTTCTTAACCCATGACGGATCCATGGTGCTGCTATATATGGTACCCCCTTTATGTTAGCATATACACCAGCACCATGGATCCGTCATGGGAAATAAAAATCTATTGCTTTCTGATCTTTTCTCAAAGATTCCCTTGAACCAATCCAGTGAAATATGGCTTGAGATGAGACCTATACCCTTTAAGGTACTTGAACGAATTAGCTACGGAAATCGCCCATTTAGCTTGACGAATTAGAAATTAAACATTGTGGTTTTCAATAGCCATGTTGGTTACATATCTTATATTGCCATCAAAATGCACGGTGGTGGCTGGTTTAATTACCATTGCATTCCCAATCTATTCCGATTATGTCCATGTTGGCTGTATACCCCCATCATTAATCCCCAACATTGCTATCCCGTTATATCCGAACATCTCAAATTACCAGAGGACTCAAAAATGAGCATATATTGGTGATATTTTTTTGGGCTATTGCTGGTCTAATGTATATGACCATAATTTATCAGACATATTTTATGGGAATATCACCATTTAAATACTGACAGATGGATGTGAAATGCGGTTCGTTTGTTTCCCCAAAAAGCAATTATTTTGGTATCCGTCACATCCTTCACCCATACACCAATACACCATGTAATGATCACAAGTTTGACCTTACAAATCATGATTTAAAACCACTGGTAAATGTCCAAAAATTGGTGACCAATAATTTTATCCCAATACACATTATCATACACCTTTTGTATCTGATACCCTCTGGTAATTTAACATAGCTATTGAAAATGGCCATTTATAGTGAGTTTTCCCATTGAAAATGGTGGATCTTTCCATAGCTATGTAAACTTTTACCAGAGGGTATATTTTCAGTCCCATTTCATGATACATTAACCATAAGTAATTGACCAATACACATTAATACACCAAGTATAGTCCAAGTATCTGATATATGTTCAGTCCCATTTCATGATCACAAGAACTTGACCAAGTTCCACACCATTGCGATTCGCGAGGCAATCCATCCCCAAAGACATGCTGCAGAACATCCAACCTTTGGTGCGGATCCCAGCCATCCGGGGTCTGTCGGATCATGGACCATGGATTCTTTAAGCGCTTGCCCATTGGAAAACCATGGAAAACCATGGAAAACCATGGGAAAACCATGGAAACCATGGAAAACCATGGGAAAACCTTAAGCACTTTTTTCCAGTGGAACTACCATGGGATGCATGTACCTACCAAATTATAACTATGATATATACTTGCTTGAAAATGGGGATAGCCATGAAATGTGGATCATGTCAGTGGATTGTGGGGAACCTAAAAATTGTCTATTGCATATCTACTGTATTTACATATATAGATGTATAGACTATCAATTTCAGACTATACTGTATAGATCGGTAGGTATGATTAGCTATGGGTTGAGATTAAGCTTGCGGATGCTGAATGTAAATATATATATATATACTATAATTCAGCTAAAAACCCAAGGTGTTGCGTATCCAGGGTCATCCGCAGTGATTCTATATACATATAGCTTCATATAGCAATTTTCAAGGACCCAGCTTGACTTGATCCTCAAAGGACCCCATAGAGAAAATTTATTTAGGCACCATGTGTCGAAAGGGTTTTGGATGATAAAATATTGTGAGGGTTCAAACCTGCCCGCAGTATGCTGATTCTCGCACTGACCTGGTATACGATATGCTTTCCCGGGCTTGAAAGCTGCAAGGCATTCCCCCAGTCGGGGACCCCCACAAGTAGGGTCTCATCAATAAACTATTATATAAATTTATATAACATCTATTAACACTATTGAGTTTCTCAAAAAGATCCATTCTTGATCTTTTTTTAGTCTCGTGAAAACTGTCGTGTTAAGTCCTATGAAATCACCGATTTTTTCCATGCCCGGCTGCCGTGAGGATGGTCGAAGTTTTAGCGTAGATCGCTTCCACGAAGCGCCACAGCACTATCTGAAGGCAAGCGGTTTTAAACGGGTGACAACCATATCGATCCATACCTGGAGATGGGTCAAAATTCTAAGCCCCAAATGATCAGATCAAACCTGAAAGACATGACATTTTTTTGTGTTAAACTTGGTCACAACTTTGACTTTGAGTCGATTGGTACGTCGAATTACTTGATATGTATCCATCCATATGGCCAAATCATGATGTTTAATGTTGAGGAAATTCAACGGTCGCTTAAGTTTGAGGATGCAGCAAGATGTGTCAAGAACGGTCCTCGCCGTTTTTGTGGCCTTAATTCCCTTGTTTGTTTTTGCATTTTTGTTTGGGGTGAACAACCAACGTGGTAGGTTTATGTAGATTTGGGATGTCTGGTCGAATGGGGTTTGCACATGATACATCCATTGTCAATGGATTCAATCTCATGTTTGTTTCAATCCCCTTTTTGCTGCAATCACCATGTCTATTCTTGGTGCGAATCGCATTCCATTTCAAGGCCACAGCCACATCCCTGCAATGAAGTCGGGGATGATCTGGCTTGGCCAGGAATACTTTCGTACCTTCCCACATCAACAATCCTAAAACATCCTAAAACTATGACTGAATCAGGGATGTTCAAAATTCATGGCTAATTACTATACTATACCGATATGTGATATATTTGTGATATCATGTAGTATCCGAATTCTTGGAGAGCTCTTTATTATCCTCCATCTGACCATTCTTTCTAACATCAAATTCGAACTCGATTCTGGTTGTTAACAAAGATCTTGTGATCACAGCTCTCTGACTCCAAGAATGCGATTTTCCAACTGATCATTTAGAATAAGCAGAGGGATTCCATGATATATCGAGGGTTATCCCAATAGTTGAGACACTTGAGATTCTGAGATATTGTTATTATCATATAATAAATATGATATATCACATGAATAGCATAGTATGTTATTGTGTGATCATATGTTTATAGATATGTTTAGTATGTGGACCCGGCGACGGCTCCAGGTGGTGAGCACCAAAGTGCAAGGCAAGGAGGGAGTGCGAAAGCCTGGAACCAGTCGGGACCGACTCAACATGACTTAACCCTGATTTTGTTGGGGTTCCTGCAAGGGAAACCACGAAACCAAGAGAGGGGATGAAAAATTCGAAAAATTCTCAGTTTGGAATCACTATGGGATTGGTATCGATTCTGAATGGTTTGCAAGTGGCTGATAGCCCATCACAGGGATCAGGGATCTTGGAAGGAAACGCTGCGATATTGCAAGCACATCAGCAGTTGTAATGGGTTGCAGGGCATGGCAACCTCTGGGTGTGTCTTCCAAATTCATGATCTGGGGTTGAAAGAGGTTCCCTTGAATATGTTGAGTCCCCAGTTTGGAAGACTTGTGCTAAAATATTAAAATGGTCCCAAAAAAAAAATGGATGATTTGGGGTACCACCATTTTTAGGAAACATCCACATAGTAACTTTCCCAGATTTTGTTTCGGTTTTTGTTCCATCGATTCTCCAGGCAAAATGTTCATGGTTTCTCTTCAGCCTTTGGTATTCCAGCTGTTCATGCAGGAGGCTTTGCTGTTCACATTCCCTTAATAAGCCTTAATATTGGATGGTGAAGTTCACAGGCTTCCTGTAGATGTGTGCTTGAACTTCCAAGTTTTGATTACTCAGTGGCGTGATCCAAAGCCATGTATTGTTAATTATGCAGATGTACACACTATCTTTTTTTTTCTACATACATTCATACATGATGTATAGATATGTATTGTGAATTAGATGATATCTAGGTTTCAAGAACACACGGTTCTTTATTTCATAGTTGAATACATATATGACACACATATATATATATATATATACAGTACTGTATATAGATTTATATATTTACATATGTATATATATATATAATTTGTAGTATGTACATATGGATATCTTGTGAACATATTTGTTGAAGCTCGTCACTAGACTGAGGTCTTCTACCAGATGACGCACACTGATCGCGTGAGAAAGCTTGAACGAACCAGCGACAAAGCCACGCAGGCGGAGATCGGCCGTCACGGCCCGATCTCTTTTCAAATGGGGCTACTCCAATAGCTGGATGGTTTATAATGGAAAATCCTACTAAAATGGATGATTTGGGGGTACCCCCATATTAGGAAACACCCAAATGCAGCAGTTGAAGCGAAACCAGTGATGTTTTATGGATATGATGTGATATGAATGCGATGACTTACTGACTTAGAACTGATACCGTAGATTCTACTGTATCTCCTGCCATAGCTGAGATTTTTGGTTCTCCAAACACCAAACCCTCCATTTTGTCGTTGCTGGGAAATCTCCGATCCATGGTCATTGAAACGGGAGATTCATGGCGAAGTAAATGTTTTTTTTCCAGCAAACCGTGTTTGAGTACCAGGGGGGGTACATATCTCTAAACATGGGTTGGTTACATCCCAGCCGAGACTATTTTGAACACAAAAATTGGGACACAAGCATCATATGTTGGGCATTGTTGGGCCATTTTGACATGTTTGAGTCCCCCGTAGATGATTGAGTTCCCTGTTTCCATCCATAGTCTGGGTCAAATTTGCCGAATCTCCTCACGGCTCGTACGAGGCGTACGAGTCGTAGCCGTGAAGCATTCACACATGAAACATGACACCTGAAGTTTCGTAAGTTGGGGTTGAGCTTATTAAGAAAAATTGAGAATGGAAACATGTCACAGCAAGTACTCGTAGAGTTCATGAGCCAAGAAAGGAAATATGTTCATGGCCTTGAAGTTCGGACATTTTCACTATGGAATGGTGTGGATACTATCCAACACTTAAATCGGGATATTCAGATATGGCACTGTGTCAAAACCTTGTACCCCTGGTGAACATCAAAATAGCTGGTAAATGGATGTTCATCCCACTAAAAATGGTATTAATAGGTATTGATCCATAGCCATATTCACAACTGATGGACACCCAAGTAGAATCCAGAATGTGAAGGGTTCCATACAACATTGGGGCCGGGGGGGGGACTTGGAAAAGAGCTTGAAAAAGGCTGGCCTTATACCAGTGCCCTGCCCGAATTAACCAGCTGGATGCATGTCTATGTATAGTAGTTTGGAACCTGGTAATCTTTTGCCGGAGAGATAAAGTCTACCCTTTGGTAAACGTTTACATAACGAACTGGAAAATCACCATGTGGATATTTTCAATGGGTAAATCAACTATGTCTGTGGTCATTTTCAATAGCAAACTGTAACAAATTACCAAAGGGTAATCCCATATCATTCCATGATTCACCATTGTTAGTTAAGCCATTAATAACCATTAAATGACAGTAAATCACTGTAACCAGCTCATTTTGTGTCGTTCCTTTTTCCGGATCCGAATGATAAGATTGGCCCAATGGACTTGACTGATTTGACAAAAATAAAGTCTAACAGCGAGCGTCAGAGTAGTGACCATGGGCAAAGGTTGCCCAATCCATGGTGAACTTCACTATACTTCTATATACTGTATATATATATACATATATATATATATACACCATCTGGTAAATTAACATAGCCCCTGGAAATAACATTTGTTTAAATGGAACTAATTTTCCAATCCCTATCTGGCAGGGTCTATGTTAATTTTCTGACGGGTATATGGTTTCGTCTGAAAATAGGCTACCCCATTCAAATCACCAACGATTGGCGATGTACTTGAAATTGGTAGTGAAGATGGCTAGGCAATCATGCACTCCATCCGTTGGACCATATCTGTATATATTTGTTGGTAATTGAACTTTCAAGTTACAACACAGGTTGTAATAAAACTACCAACTTTTAGTTTTACCTGGGTCTAATCAGTTGTTTCATCAACATAAATGGCAAATTTTCGGCTGGTCATTGAACCTATGAGTTTTATATAGCCATCCCTTTGGCCAGGCCCGATTTAGCTATGACTTCTCGCCCATGAGTGTGGTGGTCAAGGAGAGGGAGAAGTTCAGAAGGCTTCGCATTTGTTGATCACAGAAAAGATGGATGTCACAGACATAGGAGTTAACCCATTAATGACACAGAAAATATATAGGGTTAACAAACGTTAACAACATCTAATGGATGTTCACACTATGTTTTCACCCTAGCACATCTATTTTCTCGATGTTTCACCAGCAAATTTCACTGACTCTCGTTGGTAAAAAAAACATATTAATTTTTGAGTCAACCTGGGATGGATTAGCCATGACCGCGACCGTTTGGTATATACTTCATTTTCAGACACATCCACATCTAAATATATCATGGCTGAAAATAATCTAATAATCGGTGTAAAAAAGGCCATCTAATTTGGGTATATCCTGATTTAAAATGATATATTATTCATGGTTTAGATCTATTGTATCATCTTAAATCCCAATGTTTGAAGATTAAACCATGGTCAAACCCATCATTTTCGCTCGGCTTTCCTGCTCTAAGCCACGCGCCGTGCGCCGCGCGTTCAGCGGTGTTTGTCGCGGATGTTTCTGCCGGCGCGGCCGCCTTTGAGGCGGCCGCTCCTGCGCAAGGGCCGGGTGCGGCAGCAGTGGCGGCCTTGAGTCGGAGGGGCTGAAAATGGGGAAAGATGGTGATTTGTTTATCCTCTGGTGAACTAACATAGCAATGGAAAATCACCATTTTTTATGGGAAAATCCACTATAAATGGTCATTTTCAATTGCTATGTTAGTTCACCAGAGGGTAACCAGGAAACAGGATAACATGGGTGGCTTAAGTATTAAAAAAGGGTGGTGAAACCATGAAAAAATGGCAGTTCATCATATTGAAGCAATGAATAATGGATGTGGATGTCTGAAAATGGATGATCATGTTTAGTATTGTAATCCAAACTGCTGCTTTCAATGAGAAAGTTATGGTTGACCAATGGAATTTGGCGGTACATTTTGAACACAACCAATTGGTGAAGGGCTAAACTTATAGTAACTCCCATTTGTAGATGGAAACGCCATCCACTTTGTGTAGTAAAAGAAAAATCGTTTGACCATTGCACATTACAATTCAACCAACAGTTTCTACGCCAATTTCCATGGCTTATAATCCCTCTTTTGCCATCACCATTTCCAGGTGAGATACTACTCGTTAAGTACAAATAAAGATAGGTGAAAGTGAACGCATCAAATTATTGGGTAGCCTCCCCACTAAATAAGTGGTTTAGAAACCCCATTCAGCAAGAATATATCCACCCTAGCTGCTATAGCTGTACCTAGCTGTATCTGCCAGCTCAGCCCCAAATCAGCGAAGTTCAATAAATTCACCATATGTTTCTTGGTGAAATCACATGGGGATGGCTTAGTTGACCTATGAAATTACCATATGACTGGGGGAATAACCATCCATTACCTTCTGGTTATGTCAAAATAGCTATTGAAAATGGCCATAGAAATAGTTGATTTACCCATGAAAAATTGTGATTTTCCATGGTTATGTAAACGTTTACCAGAGGGTAACCAGCTATGGGTACATAGAGTACCAGGTTTTGACCCGTAACCACGTATGTTTTTCGAACGGTTTTTTACGACTCAAGGCGAGCGTTTTTTCTGGGGCACCACCCTTCCACCATGTCAAAAGGTCACTGGACTCCGGGCTCGCGGTGCTCCCTTCCCAAGTCTCTCGAGCTGAGCTGCGGGTTTGATTTAAGCAATGAAAATGTGGTGATTTCCATATGATTTAACCAGCTAGTGTTAAACGTTTAACATGGGACTTGCCATGTTCAACTAATAAATTCTGTCATGGGTGTCATGAATGATTGATCATGTATTGGTGTCTACTCTGACTACTCTGACCGGTCGTCCTTCTCCTGTAATCATGCATGTAGCTACACATACCATCATGTTTCATCTTGATCATCACATGTGTTAAGACACCAGGCATCAAAACCATGACAACATGTTCCTCGCAACCCCCTGGTTCGCCCACACTCAAACAACACATCCAACCAATATGATATACTTATCACCAGAGGATGAATGAAAACACTGGCTACACGCAGTGATTTTGACTTTAAGTTTTCAGGATTTAGGGTTTTTATTTAGGGTTTAGGGTTTTAGGTTTTAGGGTTTTAGATCTTAGGGTTTTGGTGTTTGTTGTCTTGGAAAGTAAAAAAAAACAGAAAAACCCTGCGCAGGGATTTGAGCATGTCATATCGGAATTGGCGGGATTGGCCTAGCTGCAAACCTAGGGCTTGCAGCGAACATGTTTTCCGTAAAGACCTGGAAATGACTCCTGGGGGTGTCTATTGACCTGGTGGGATTCCGTACTGTCTGTAGGAGGGAGGAGGATGCCTGGCAAGTGGGGTATATTACCAAAAACATCAAATTCTGGGTTCATCCGAACATGTGGTATCCCAAGTTTTGATGGTTTATCATTGATCATCCAATTTTCCCATATGTTCCCCAGAGAAAAAAAATTACCAACACATGCATTTTGGGGGTATAAATCCTCTGTTTTCAGACACATCATAGAAATTCAAGTTAAGCTACCCTCTGGTAAACAGCCACATAGCTATGGAAAGATCCACCATGCTATCAATGGGAAAATCCACGAACTAAATCACCATTTTCAATAGCAAACTGTTAGTTTACCAGAGGGTAAACCTCCATTTTCCTATGGTTTTCCTATGGTTTTCCTATGGTTTTCCTATAAATCCACCATTTTCAATAGCTATGCTATGACATAACCAGAGGCTACTCATTGGGGAAGCCCAGGAATCGAAAAAACTCCTCGCCTGCTGAGGCGCCTGATTCACCCTATCAGCCGAGGTGCAGGGCTGGGGAAATGGGAACGAAGAAAGTTCACCAAGAGATGTGGTGATTGGAGCAAAAAACATGGCGGCATGGGTCAGGGGAATACCCTCTGGTTATGTCAAAAATAGCTATTGAAAATGGTGATTTAGTTCGTGGATTTTCCCATTGATAGCATGGTGGATCTTTCCATAGCTATGTGGCTGTTTACCAGAGGGTATCATTTATGGTACATCTATTTACCCATTTGAAAAACCTGAAATCATCCAAAGATGAGTTTGAAGGATGAATTGGACATGATTTGATCATTGGAAATGCTCACATCCATTTCCATGCTGTTTTTGGCGAGATTCTGGCTGATGTGACCCTCATTATCCCTCATTGGATTTTTAACATCCTCCACCTTTGCTCATCCATTTTTGCTCATCCATCCTCCACCAACCAGCGAGCGGTACACTTGGAGTTGAACTTAAACTTTTCGGGCGGGTAGATTCAAGTCGCCCACAGAGTACACCAAGGGTTGTCAACTTTTGGCAAAGAATGGTGGATTGACAAAACACCAAGTTAATGATGCATGAGTGATCCTCTATACATTATATGTCGAATATGTCTGTTAAAAAAATATGGCCCAAATGCAGCATGTAGTAATTATGTCTATTGAGTTAAATATGGGCCCAAATGGAACACAACTCATGTGGGGGGTTCTTAAAATGGGGTACCCCTAAATCATCCATGTTAATAGGATCTTCCATTAATTGACCGCAGAGTTTTGGGATCCCCCCCGTTTCTGGAAAGCCGGTTTTTTCGGCAACGACACTCAAAATACCATGGCTGTTCCTGAGAGGTGCTTCCCAGAGCGCCATGTGAAAGCTCCCATGAGACTCTGTAGGAGGCTGCGGGAAAACATCACCCTGGGTTTGGATGGGGTTACTGGCTTGAAAAGGGTGTTTTGTTCAAAGGGAGAAGATGATAAACCAGTGGAACTTCTGGTATAACCTATTTTCAGATGAGCCCACCTGCAAAGATAAGAATAGTCTGACTTTAAGTTATGGACCTTTGAAGCTACACAATTTCTGAGTTGAGCGGTCAAAATGAAACTGGAAGCTACAGAAAGTCTTTCGCAGACCAAACTGGAACTTGAACTTGCCACTGTCATGGTTTTATCAACGAGAATCGGTGACCTACCAGATAGAATCATGTGACATGTGCATGAAATACCATAGATGGCTATAGCTATAGGATGCTATAGGAGTTGTTAAGGATTTTTGCATATACATCCATTCCTTGCTGTATAAATATAGAATGGGCGTGTCATGATTCAAATAGAGTCGGAGAAAGATCCGGAATCATTGCGTTTTATTTTATATGTTCCCGTGTTGTAACGCACTGAGATCAGTCTGGAAGCTGGGAAGTGGTCAGCTAGTCGAAAACAGCTCCCGCAACCAACGGCGAATCTTATCTCAAAAAGATCAATTGGGACTCTTGGAAGGTAAAGGAAGCTGCAGACTTTTATGAAAGCAGATAGGTCCCCATGGCCCTGGTTGATTTGACGTTCTTGAATATTGGTACGAAAGCACTATCAATTTGCCCGATCATTGGGCGATATACTCGTGTCTAGCATCTCTTAAGGGCCTTTGCTTGGACGATATTGGAGGTTTCGAAATGGTGGTTTAAAAAAAGGTAATAATCCAATAGATCTCAGGTATCAGCATGAATCGCCAAACATAAGTAGATTTATTGTATATAACCTACAAGCGTGAAGTTATGGACATGGGATACATGGGATGGATGTTCATCCCCCTATCCGTTTGCTGCTGACCATGTCAATGATTCTCCAGACAAAAAAATGGCATCTGATGGCCGACTGGAGTAGTAACTGATGTTTAAATGTAATAACTTCATTCAGCCGACAAACCAGATCAAACCAGGATCATTTTCCACTTGGATGTTGTAAGAGTTAGCCTTAAATGGTAACTTAGTTGGTTATAACAGGTTATAACAAGTTATAACCCCTTGTAACTAGGATGTATTGATATGAGATACCCCAGTCACTAGGATTTACTAAAACACGACTCCCTAATTCTGGCTGCTTGGATGCGATTTCTCCATCCAGGTGCGTCCAGGTGCGGCATCCAATCCTGGAAACATCGAGATTCGTAGTGTTGATGGGTTGATGGTTGAATCCCTCTTATCCT